CCCACCCTCCTACCCACTCGCTAAGCTCGCCTTACCTACGCATTGACATCTCGTCATGGCTGCTGAGGACTTCAATGGTCCCTGCCAAGTTGCCTTCCTGGCCGCGCCCGCTCAGCTCTCAAGAAACGCGGCCATGTAGCGCCCAGACGCGTCCCCGCGTATAAAATCCTCTAAGATCCTGATCATTCGTCAGTAAATGGTGCTGTCGAGACGCCGTTCTGCAGACCGCCCTGAACAAAACGGCGCCCACCTGACCGTCTCTGATCCTGAACGAAACGTCAAAGTTTGACATCGTGCACATCACTCATCATTGTCTCAGCCGAGACAGGCTAGCCCATCATGCTAGTTTCGGCAACATGACGTCAGATCTGCGTCAGTAACGTAACCTGGAGTTACGTTACTGTTCCACTCGCAGTTCCGCCTGCGTATGGAGCCCCTATGCCGCCACCCGAGATTGGCGGTGACGGGGCAGCAGATCTGAGCCGTCGACCCGCGCAAATCACCTCCCTTCTGACGGTGATGAGTCATTGACAATAATAGAACTTCTGATACTTTCCATTCCTATGGAAAGCAACATCAAAGTCGAGTCAAATTAGGTATTGAATTTTGAATACGAGGATTGATACATATTACGTTCAAAAACTCCTCGGATGGCAAATCGATTGCGAGAGGTTTCCAGTGAATACTTGTGGGTCCACAGCGCATGCCTGGTCGCAAAAATGGGTAAATAACGTGGCTCATAGGACTATTGAAAGCTATACCATATTTGCATCAATCACGAGCAGTGGGCGGCCTGGCTCATGTGCAAGCTCAGGTGGTCGCCAAGAAACCCCACCTGCCGCCGCCGCCGCCGCGCAGGGATTCCAATGGACTTTCGTCCAGCCACAGGCAGCCCCCCGGCTGGCCGCTGTACCAGCTGGGGGGCAGGCGGTTGGCTCTACCGGCCAGCTGAGTGCCCTACGGACCAGTCGATTTTACCAGCTACCGAGCTGGCGGGGTGCCTTCGGCACCAGCCAGGGTCCATTCCCGGCCAGCCAGGTCCGCCTCAGGCTGCCAGTTGTGGGAATCCCTAGGCACCTGCGCCAGCCTCAGGCCCATGGACCATTTTATCTGCCTTGCACGCTCATGTCAATGACGCCTCTAGCTGCTCATGCATGCCTATTAGGCTGAACTTGTGATTGGTGGACATGCGAGTATTGTCAAAGTCAACAGTAGCTACTACCTAACTGCTGAAAAACTTTTCTTGTCCCCAATGGCAACAAGTTGGGCCTCCACTTGCAGGGGCGGCTGCGGTTGCTTGCTGCGGGAGTCTCCAGAGCTTGACAGCTCTTGCGCAACCAACAGCCGCACCTGTCCGCTTTGGAGTAGCAGCACCACTCTGAGAATGCCTGCCGCCTGCGATATAAGGTTCAATGCCGGCAGGATGGCTGAGGTTTTTCGGCAGAGGACTGGGGGCAGAAGATTTGGGGAACTTCGTTTGAGGACGCATCCTGGTAGCGTGTTTGTTGTCACGGTCCCAAATTGGGGCAGCAGTCAGGTAAAACCCAGCACCACACCGTCCCAGAAACCGCTCAGTAAAACACTTTATTCGTCCTGCTAACAAATCACCACCCCACCAGAACGCTTTTTTGACACCACCACCTTTGAGGAGTCAGTGACCGTACTGTCAACAGGCTTTTGGTGGTGTTACATCGCTGCTTTGCTGAGTTACATGAAGTGGTTTAAGCAGCTTTTCAGCATTACACACCTCTTGGTAGATGCGACTGGCTCTTTCAATTCTCGCAGACAGCGCCCTCAAGAATCAATCGTATCAATAAGCCTTCAAGACCAGAAAGGTGTGCTTCTTCTATCATCTCTGATTCTAGATACCTTTGGAACATGCGGTCAATCTTGTGACTTCATCTTCAGTTATGGTGGATTTGGTGAACATAGTAAGGTGTGTGCTCAGACAGAAGGTCTCTCCTGGCGATGTCCACAGGACTTCTGTGTGACATCTTCTACTCCTTTTTTGTACCGCCTTTCCTACTCCTCGTTGATTCAAGACAAGTTTCTCACCTCGTGTTCAGCAGCAACTGAGTAGCGAAGATTGTCATGAAGATTCTTCAAGCTTCTCTGCACATATCTGCAGGTTACGCACTCCAGACGCCATGCCCCCATCCGCTGTGCCGTCCAGTCCGACCAATCCCCCAGCACTTTCCAAGAGCGCTACGGCGCCGACACGTCCGAAAGCAGAACCAGCACTTCCGACGCCAGCGACCGCTGGGGCAAGGGTACTCGTTTCTATGTTCCTGAAAGACCCCCCTTAGACCTAACCAAAATGCATGGTTTCATGCCCCGGTTGGGGTTAGAGGGCGGGCACGAGTTTCCGGGGGGGGTGATGAAGAAGAAAAAGCAAAAGGGGCTGAGCGATCAGCAGCGGAGGGCAAGGAGGAGGGAGACGAGGGCAAAGAATGTGGCGGACCGGAGGAGGGAAACGCAAATGCTGCCACCGCCGCCAGAGTTTACTGACGAGGAAAAGGAGCGGGTGCGCGAGGCTGCACGTAAGTATTTGCTGTAACGCACCTCCAGTCCTTAAACTGGTTCCCGATTTTGAGTTTGGATTTGCAGTGCTGGGTGCGAGGGACCATATCACTGGATGTGAGACGTTGCCTCAGCTAAGGTTGACACTTGGGTATGCTCATAGCAAGGTTTGGGTACAAGAAGGAGACCGATCGCTTGGTTGCTCTCGGCGCGTCGTTGGAAGTGCTAGATATGTTGCAGTCATGGCACTAGGGAGGCAAGATTATGGCGTGTCATACATTTTCATCCAGCGCAACTGTTGTCCTGACCATCCCTCTCAAAACCCACAGAGATGGTGGTCAAGGGCATGGTTACAGTGTGGCGGTACCTCCCCGTCCTGCTGTACTAAAATACAAAAAAATATAAAGTAAGAAAATAACATACTCTTCACTCTCACCTTATAAAGGTCGCTTATAGTAACAAGGCAATCTTCTGTAAACCATCTTTCAACCCTCCTAACCCTCCGCAGAGATGGTGGTCAAGGGCATGGTCATCGTGTGGCAGTACCTGCCCGTCCTGCTGTACCACCTCCCCGTCCAGGTCTGCCGCCACTGCACCGAGCTCCACGTTGGCCCCAACGGTCACTCCGTTCGCTCCTGCCGTGGGATTGGCAGCGAAGCGCGTCAAGCGGCCCACGAGTGGAGACGAGCGCGATTCGAAGACATTCTCCCGATCTCGGAGGCGTTTCATTTGTGGCGGAGGGACGCACCGCCGCCGTCGCATAAGCTCCAGGCGCAGTGGGGGCGCGTGCCGGCAGTCATGGAGCTGTGCTTCCAGGTGGGGCTGGCGGCAGTCTGAGATTCTGTGGTGTTGATATGCAGATTGATAGGCCTTATGCCAATCTGTAAAAACAATCAGCTAAAAGAATGCATGTAAAACAAAGAGACGTGTTTTTGAGCCGTTATTTCATAATTGATTTGGATTTAGGGGAGTTTCCAGTGCTGAGGGAGTCGAGCCACAAGGAATGGATTCATTTCTCAGACTGAAGGTATGATTTTAGGGTTTGTTTGGAACAGGCTTCAAAACGGATGCGAAACTGACCTTCCGGGAGCCGGGCTTGGGTATGTTCGTCTGACTGCAGAGCGTTAGAGCAGCGTATTGTCCGCAGCTTGAGAGGCAGCTGTTGCTACTCTGCCCTCGCATGTCGCAGGATTCAGTTATCGAGTCCCCGTGCCCTTCATGTGGAAGGACGGATCCTGACGCTCTGGCTCTGGATACCAGCCGCTCAAACGGTGTTTCTTTTGACTTAAACGAGTCCAACCTTTGCTGATTAGCTGGCACGACTGCTTTCCCCGCCTTTTACTCGGTTCCTTTTACCAGGTCTCCAACCCCTCTCTTTTTCGCCCCTTCGCCAGGCTGGAGCGGACGTTCCAGGTCTTGTCTCCTCGGCAGTCGAACAAGCAACCGGCCTCCATCCAACAACCCGGTTGAAGATACTCGGCATCTCAAAACGCGCCTTAGAACGCCCCGAGTCGGAGAACGATGTCGTCGCATACCCGAACGACGCGGTCGAGGTGATAAACGAGGCGCGGGAGGTTTTGGGTTTTCCGGAGGAGCGCCCACCGGGGCCGCACGACGACGTGCAGAAGGTGAAGCGGAAACCGAAGCTGTCGTTCATGCTGGATGAGTTTCGGTACCTGGTTAAGGGGGACGTGGAGAAGCAGAGGGAGAAGGACCGGGCGCGTTTGTCGGACCCCGAGTTTTTGAGGCGGCTAGAGGCGGCGAAACGGGCCGGGGGGGAACTGGAAAGGGAGATTGATGGGGGGGAGAACGGTAGCCCCCGGATGGGGGGTGCAATTGAGGGCGAAACTGAGGGGGGGGGTTTTGGTGAGTTGGAACATTCGCGTCGCGATGGAGAATTCGATGGCGATGAGGCGGGTACGTCTGGTAAGACGCGACGCTTTTGGCAGGAGACCGAGGAGGAACGGGTTTGGAGGCTGGTTAGCGAGCGGGTTAAGAACGAGCAGAGGTCGTATCTGGCGCAACTGGCGGGGTTTGAGGGCGAAGATGGTTTGGGTCAGGACGGGGAGGGTTTGGATGACGACTCTGCATCTGAGGAGGAGGAGGGAGGGGAGGAAAGCGCTGACGTGGTTTCGGCTGAGCGGACGTCAGACGGCGGCGAAGTTTCGAACCATTACGGGGAAGATTCGGACGGAGACTTGGACGGGGGAGATTGGAACGGCGATGCTGTGGGCGGGAAGGATTCGGACGGGGAAAATCTAGGCGGGGAGAATTCGGACGATGAAGATTCAGACGACGATTTTTCGGACTACGACGACGAGGAGTTGGAAGCCGAGCGGGCGTACACGTTGCATCATTCCGCCGAGCTAGAAACTAGTCGGAACTCGCTTCCGGCAGATGTGGCGAGCAGCGGTGCCGCCACCTCCGTGTCGGAAAGCACGAGCGGAGCCTCGCCTGGGCCCTCGAACGCCGCCGACGTCAGCAAGCCCTCTCCTTCGCTCGGCGTCGGCGAGGGCGGATCCCACGACGGCTCCCAGGAGGGGGATCCCTCAAGTAGCCAGCAGGAGGGGAATCCCCCGACCGGCCCGCTCGTCAGCCGGATTGCCTGGCGCAAGTCCCCGGAGCGTCGCGCGCTGCGGCGGGCGCGGCGGGCGGCCCGGGAGAAGGTATATGCCGAGACGGTGCAGGGGTCGCTGTCGTTGCGCCAGGTGGCGGAGAACGTGCTGCTCGCGCGGCAGGTCGTGGTGGACAATCTGCCGGAGATACTGCAGTGGTACGACGCGCTTGGGTGAGTGGGCGAGTCTGATCCTGGGAAGTAACCCACGGTTTTCTGCTGGGTTGAGTCTCGTGTCCTGCATCCCTCGTCTGCCCTATGACACCCGGGCTCCCATTCTTGAGTTTGCGCACTGAAATGCAATCAGCTCCTTGGATGTTGCAGCTGACCTTTTTCCGGAGGAGCCCACGTTGGGTCCCAACGCAAAGGCAGAAGTGACAAGCACCCTGAGGTGGATTTGACGTAAACAGCACTATCTCTAACCCCCCTACACTTCTTTACGAAGTCAAACCAAGCGCTTGAATCCACCTTCACCCGAAAGTGCTTACTTGCCCATCGGCCTGTGCGTCCATTGCATCCACGAAAGGGCCGCAGCACTCGGCCCGCAGATGCGTAGAACCATTGAGTGCATCACCCGAGGCAAACCCCTCACCTCTGCCTAATTACAGTTTTCTAACTCTTCTCCTGAAAGGTGCCGCTTCTGCTCGGCCCCTGGTGCCCCCCTGCGGAAACCAACAGCACCCAATAATTGTTATACAGCATTGTCCTCAACCCTAACCAAACCCCTAACCACTTTCGTAACCCTGCTTCTGACAGGTGTCGCTTCTGCTCCGAGGTTCACGTCGGTCCGAGGGGGCACCGCGTGCGCACCTGCCGGGGTCGGCAGCACCCCCATAGAAAGGGCGCCCACGACTGGCGGCCCGCCGGCCAGGACGAGCTTTTTCCCCCCCTGGAAACGTACCACATGGACGATGTGAATGCGCTCCCCCCGCAGCACCTGGAGATCTACCCCCTGAAAGAGTTCGATCCGGAGGGAAACTTTTTGTTTCGGCATGAGCCGGAGCGCAAGTGGACGCGGTGGCCTGTGATTGTGGAGATGTGCGTGCAGGTATGTTGGGACGGCTGGGATTAACTCGATTTTTGGATCTGTTGTCTGTATCAAGGTTGTTTCGACTGGGTTTTGGCTGCGCTTAGGTCACTTGATGTGGGTCCTTTGTATGATCAGGTTGATGGTTGGGTGTCCTTGTTCAGATGCGCGTGCAGACATGGCCGGCGATTGAATCAACGAGTAAGGGGATTTGAATGTTTGGGGACTGTGGTGTTAAGGGGTGAGGGAAAGGAAGCTGCTCCACTCAGCTGTTATCAAGGCAACCAAACTCGTCGAGTATCATGCTCTTCAATCCGCATCCGAACTCACAGGCGGGGGCGCAGGGCCGCAGGCCCTCCGCGACTTCGTATAGCGAGTAAAGGCGCACGATTTAGATCCGCGAACAGCCGATCTTTGATACGTCCACTCCAAGGATCACCCGTTCGCGCCAGGACTTCGGTGGCCGGAGACAACCAGTCCTGATTAATTCTGCAGGCGGGCGCGCAGGCCGCCCTGAGGGAGTCCTCTTGGCAAGATGCAATCTTATCCGTCCGTTGGGCGACTGTACCTTCGATCTGGACTTTGTGGGCCGGACAAACTTTCCGATAACTTCGAATTGCAGGCGGGCGCGCAGGCTCTTGGGGAGTACTTGGAGCGAACCAACGACTTTCGACGCACGCCTTTTGTCGAAGTCGCAGTCTCGATCAATAATGTTTAGCCAGGACTTCGTTAGCCGGAAAAGTCATTCGGCCGCTAAATCCTAAAGCCCTCTCATTTGCAGGCGGGTGCGCAAGCCCCGGAGGAGTTTCTGGAGCGCACCAACGAGTTTGAGCGCATGTACATCGAGCAAGGGAAGGTGATGCACCGGGACCAGTTCACACAGCTCTACAACATGCTGGGGTACGAGGCGCCCCACGGAGACGACGCGTGGTCCGAGGACGGGCCCAAGAATGTGAGTAAGCCCGCTTACGTCATCCCGGGGCGGGAGATGCCAAGCCGGCTGGGAGGCACGCGACACATCAGAAAGGAGGGGGCGACGTTCGAGTACCAGGTTGTAGACCGGTGGGTTAGGGCCGGGTTAAGGTACGACGACTATGAGGGGTTGGAGGAGGTTAGCGGGGAAGGTTTGGAAAGGGTTAGTGTTGACGGGGCGGGGGTGAGAGCAGAGAGAGAAGATCCGAAGGTGCTCGTGTATAACGGGATTGAGTTGCAGGCGAAGCGGGACGGGTTGCGGCAGGTGCCGCGGACGAACATCATCCGATTGATGGAGAGAATCAAGGCGGAGAAAGAGGTGGGGGCGGAAAACGGAACGGAGGCGGGCGAGACTGCTAATGGTTTGGTGGGAGAAGCGCTTTCGGAAGTCGGTAGCGACGAGAGCGGTCCAAGAAGTGACGTTCCGCTCGAAAGGTTAGAAGCAGGTGTTATGGGCAGGGAAAGTCGATCAAACGGTGCCGGTGGGAATGGAGGGCTTGAGATGTCGAGATCAGCTGAGCAGTCGGCTGACAATCGCAGCACAGACAGACAAACTGCACTTGAAAGTGCCGGTTGAGCTATAGGACAGGAGCGGACAGCCCAAGAATTGAACATTTTTGCACGCCATTTGTTTCTGTCCAAGAACGAAGCATCTTGAGTTAATTGAGCAGCCTGCAGTTCTACAGCCGTCAAAGGAGGAGAGGGTGCTGGCTCGGACCCCGGATCTGAGTTGAAGTGCTTCAAGAAGCGATTGGCATGCCTGGATGTAGCACTTTCGGCATGGTGTCTCGCAAGTGCGATCGAACACTGGAATCGTGAATGCATTGAAGTCCCACTCTGAGTCGGATATATGGCTACGGCGTCGGATTTCTCGAAGCTTAGGTTACACAATGTAAATGGCTGATTTCGTCCATATGCCATGCATAGGATCGACGGCACAGGTCATACGCAACTGGTTCCAACGTGCCTAGGTTGGAGACAGCGATATCAGAGGGACGTGCATAGGTTGACTGACGAGCTGACCTTGTGAACCCAATCGAGTTGAGTCATACAGTGCTTACGATCAAGATCTTTTGTTACTCTTGCAAGCCATACTTTGATGACGTCTTGGCAGAGAAACCGACTTCCGCTCAGCCTGTCACTGCCAGCCGCCCAAATGGCCTGTACGAGCCATACGTGGACCGATGAAGCCCCTGGTCGAGTTTCTCGAGGACGATTAACTTACCTACTAAGAGACCAGCAAGCAAACTGTTCCTCTGCTTGTGATTTGCGTCCGCTTGGCCCTAAAGCAGCAGTCACCACGCAGCTCCGGAAATTGGACCATTCAATCTGTCAGGTATTGATGATAGGATCAAATCCATTGATCCTTTAGATGTAAGCGCGTGCGCGGCGGCTCGATATCTACCGTAGTAGAGAAGTCCTTTTGCTCAATACAACGCGGCGACTCGAACAAGGAGAGGATTCTGCGACCCATGCCAATAACTGCTCTATTGCTTGGCTGACGAGACTTGATGAATCTGCAGCGTTGACTCTTGGAGACCCGATATTTGACGAAGCGATCGGTAAACGACAAACGGATAAGACAACCATGTACATGCAAACACAGTCAGCAAGGAAACCTGACCCTGTTCGTCCACCCGAAAGCTAAGCCAAAGCAGATTGCTAGGATTGCATTCCTCGACACGTCCGTTTGTCAAGCAACTTGAGATCCAATGCATCCAGTATTCTTTGTCTTGAGCACATCACACGTCATATGCATCCATACAAGAGAGTCGTGCATGATTGGATCGCAACAAGGCCCCCATCATATGCACATCACGAATCAAGATCGCCATTCATGGCGACATGAGACAAAAGCTGCCGTACTTACTACATTATGCATGCACTCTGGTCTCGATACCGCTTATAGATGTATCATAGTCTCTTTCACCAATGTGTCTGATTGAGCAAAGTATTAAGCCGGCGCGCGGCCCTCAAAAGAAGAATCAATGGTCAGCTCTGCTTCTAGCGAACGATTCTGCATACCAGACTTGCACCTTCGAGAAGCTGATTGGACAAGTAATTTTGTCGCATTCTCCCGCAGGCCGCATTTGCTTCTTCGGCCTGGCGCGCGTGGTCTTTCCTTTGAATGAGGAGAACTGCTCAATTGGCTGACTCTGCAGAAAGCAGCACTGCAACCTGTCCTCAACCGTATTCTGCATCCAAAACCGCACACTCATACCCACATTACACCTTCTACATCAGCACCACTCTTCCCCAGCACCCGCAGAGGAACCCAGGCCTATAAAAGAAGGCCCCAGCAGCTTCGAGTATTCATTCCGAGCTCGTTTGGTCCAGCGATCTCCCTAGTTGTCTTGAGCAAGCTTTCTCTGTTCCTTTCAGCTCCCCTTCCGGGAGGTTTCCTTCCCTTTCCTGCCATCGGAGTTCTGCGAAGGGCGACCAAGATGGCGAAAATCAAGGTGGCGGTCGCCCTCCTGGGGCTGCTCATGGCGTCCTGCCTGGCGGTCCAGGTGGGTCTCCATTTGTGTTTCCTTCTTCTTTTGCACTTCAATTTCGACTTTCTGGAGAGTTTTGCTGCTGCACTTGTCGGGTTGTCCTTGTTGCTATGGATTAACATATCCGGTACTTGGCAGAAGTTGAAGCCTTCAATTTGCTTGGCGAGTCTTGGCGGCAAGGCTCTTCTTCGTAACTGAGTTGAGGAACTTCTGAGAAGAGAGGTTGAGAGTAGAGGAGACTGCTTGCAGCCGGTCTTAACAAAAGCTTTGATCCTGGAATGTCCACGAAGCGCACGTAGAAGAATTGTAGAGCAATCGGGGGCCACTCGCATTGTGAGTGGTCCGACAGCAACCAGTCTGTGGGGATGCGCTGAACCGTTTGTTTCCTTAATGACTGGGGGTTTGGTGGACGCTTCGCAAGGACAGTAATGCTAATCACGAAGGTTTGTTGCGCTGCAGGTCTTTGCCGACGCGTGGACCGCGGCCGGCGAGGAAGAGACCAGGCGTAAGTGAAAGCAGAACTCTCTGTTGCACATTGTTTGCCTCGTCATTGTTATCCCTTGGGTTTGCCACATACGCTGAGAGGCCCCCGTAAGCTTCTCCTATGCTTCGATGGACGTCCAAAGCATTCCGCTGAGTTCCAGAAATTTGTGCTGCACATTGCTTGCCTCGTCGTAAGTAATTCCTGGGATTTGCCACTTTGATGAAAGCCCTCCACGAGACATTTTGTGCTTCAATGAACATTAGAAGCGTTTTTGATGGTTCTTATGCGGGCTAACCTGCCCCGGGAGAAACGAAGAGCTTATCCTTCGTTATCCCTTCGTTAGCGGGTCCAAGAATGAGGGGAACGGTTGTTTGGAAGCAGGAAAGACTGCTGCTTTTGTGGTTCGTAAGAGCCCTTCACTGATTCTCAGGGTTTCTTCTGGCTGCAGCTTCCTTGGGCGATGTGTTTGAAGAGGACCTCGGTGAGCAACTGGACCGTTCGGAAGTTCTTTTCTTGCTGCTGTTGGAATGTCACAGTGGTCGGCGAAGGAATTCGCTCTGGGTTCTCAAGCAACTGCTTCGTCTCCGCTGCCTTGAGGTAGACATTCTATTCCGCCTCTGATATCCTGTCTCCATACAATCATGAGTAGCGTTGTACGTTCTTCCGTATCTATCTTTCAAATTCCAAACGTGACGTGACGTTGAGCTGTGACTGTTTTGTAACCGGATATGCTTCCTTTCGCCGACCTTTGAGTTTGTCCCTGCAGTCGAGGGTGCCCACAGGGACCTGCTGTGGGAGAAGCGCGGCAAGGAGAATGAGCGCTACAAGAAGAAGGACCGTCACGACGACAAGAAGGACCGCTACGACGACAAGAAGGACCGCTACGAAGACAAGAAGGACCGCTACGATGACAACAAGGACCGCAAGAACAAGAGGCGCGGTAAGGATTGCTTCACCTGTATCTGGATTATATGTCCTCAACTGCAGCTTGAAGCAAGTAACATTTTTTGAGGATGGATTGTTATTGCTTCCCAGTTCTTGGCGTTGTACTGGGTGTGGTGTCTGTGGCTATTCGCCTTGTATCTCCAGCACGTGCGAGCCTGGTATCATCTCCCTGCAAAACTCCTAAGTCCCCCCGGCATTGAACTGCTTTATTTCAACCTATTCTACTGCGTGCATCTTGGAGAATTCAATCCAGAGCCAATGCGTGCATCTTGGAGAATTCAATCCAGAGCCAAATAAGCAGGAAAATCGATTTCTCTGTCTTCTGCTGCGTGCATCTTGGCAGATCTGAAGCCAAATAGTTCGGGATTTATATCGCTACCACTCAGCATTTCACCTGATGTCTTCCTTCCCTCGCATACAGACGACGGCAAAGACGGCAGACATCTTCTGTCAGAGAGGAAGGAGCACGAAGAGAAGAGCAGCTACGACAACAAGGAGAACCGCTACGACAACAACAAGGACCGCAACGAGAACAAGGACCGCAAGGAGAAGAGGCGCGGTAAGATTTCCCACCTGTATCTCTCATATCATCAGCTGCAACATCAAGCCGGTGACGATTACCTGCAGGTTGGCTTTGTACAGGTTGTGGCATCTGTGTTTATGCTTCGACTCAGTCGATTGATCGTGATCCTCGTCATTTAGCAGACTCGTGTCCAGCCCGATCTGCGGATGTGGAATCTTCATTCTCTGCAAACTCCCCCCCTGATTCGAATTTTGGAATTGTGATTCTCAATGAAGTCCTCGACCTTTACACAGCTTATCTCATCAATGAGAGTCCTCGACCTACATTGACCTTATTTATCTAGCACTCTGTCTCTGCGGGTAACCTTTCGAACGTCAAAAGTCAGACAAGCAAGAAAGCCATTCTCGTCGCCACTTTATCTCCAAAGGGATTATCTCCCTCTCCTTCACTTACAGAGAAGCGCTACGGAAATGAGGACCGCAAGGAGAACCGTGACGAGAACAAGGACCGCGAGGAGAAGAAGTACCGCCCCGAGAAGAAGCGCGATGAGAAGAAGAAGCGCGGTATGGCAGCCTAGCAGTCCTTAGAATCATGTCTAGGATTTGCCTTGTCTGAGGCTTTCACTCGAAGGGACTAAGACTTCTGATCTAGCCTTTGGATCTGGCTGTCGCCCGCTTTAATCCTTGATGCCTCGGATTGTACACCTTAAGAAATCTTCCGGGGGTTTGCTGCTTCCACTCTGCTCAATTGACCTCGGTACTGAACTGGCCTGCTCACCTGGATATTATTTTATGTCTAGAAACTAAGCTGCACAAGTTGACCGCTTCACCCAGCTCACTGTCTTTCTGCTACTCTTTTCAAGTATTGTAGTCATTTGCTCTTGTAACTCAATGATCTCTTTCCTTACATGCAGACAACGAGGGCAGACACCTGCTGGGGGAGGAGTATAAATACCGCGAGGAGAAGAACGGCTACGACGACAAGAATCGCGACGGGAAGAAGCGCGACGGAAACAAGGAGCGCGACGGGAAGAAGCGCCACGAAAACAAGGAGCGCGACGGGAAGAAGCGCAACGAGAACAAGAAACGTGACGACAAGAGGCGCCGTAAGCACTTGGTCCTTCTGTAGTGCAACTGTCTTTCTCTTACTTGGTTCTGAGTATCAAACCGGATTTCTCTTACTTGGTTCTGAGTATCAAACCGGACATGGTTTTCAGGTAATTGTCTGACCATGGTGATTGCTCTTTATCCAGTCCGCAGTTGGAGATGCGGTTGTTTTCAACTGCCAGAGACTTAGCGCTCAACGAATTTAGCAAATTGGACTTGATGCAATTGCCACCTGCGCGTCAACCGATATTTGCTCGCTTTGGCCTACGCATATGCACGCAATTGACCAGAAACGAATGTCTTCCTTGCAGCGAGGAAGGATGGCAAGCACTTTGCTTAAGCCGTTCTGGTCACAAAACAGAGGTGAGGTAAACAAAATGAAGGCTTGCCTTCAGCCGTGATGTTAACCCTACTCTTACACAGCTTGCACTTTTCCCGCTTCTTTTCGGATCAGCAATTGGTATACCGTTGTGCACTTTCCTCAGAACCTTCGTTCCTGGCACCGTTTTCGCAACCGACGCTTGCCTTCGTTCCTGGCATCATTTTCGGAACCGACACTTGCCAATTCCTCTAAGCTTTGTCTACATCCTGATCTCTACGCCTTGTACCCAGATCATTTCTGCGTGTCACTTCTGCATCGATAATATCACTTCTGACATAAGCTTAAAACTGCTTTCTGCAGATTGCCGGTTCGTGAAACTGGAGTAACAACTGTTCGAGAATAAGATTTGCTAACACCCCAAGGAGTTTGAGATTAGAACAATAAGAGCAGTGTTACAGGCCTTTGAGTTTGTGCACACTTACCAAAACGGAAGATAGTACAATTTTTCTGTAGGGCAATAAAGGGGGTAGGAAGACTTGCAGAGAAAGTGCAATATTCTGAGCCCCATCTTTGGACGACGTTCTGAATTTGAAATTCTGTCTCAAAAAACATACCCACCAGCTCATACATGGCATACGAGCATTTCTGCAATTTCCAACATTCCTCATCTCGTGAACAACAGGCTGATCATGCAATAACTCCACCAGTCGTCATCTTAACTACTAATCATCGGTTGCTAACCTACAATTTCTCTATTTCTCCATGTGAAAGATGGTATAAAGTATATTGTGTAACAATCACTCCCCTTCACGGATTGAAAGTGATATGTACAGCTTGCAAGACTGCAAGCAATAGCCTTATAACACTTTCCAAACGGTGAAAATCAATTTAACCTGTTTCAACTACAACTATATTCAAGGAATGTATGACGAAGAACAAAATCGTATAAGTCTGTATGACAAATTCGAGCATGGTTAAGCTCGAACGTGAAAACTTTACTCAGTGCACATTTCTCCACAATCACACCAGTAATTGGCTATGAAATCCTATTACCGATCAAAGTCGCAGATGCGTAGGCCGGAATATGGTCATGTAATATGCTCATCATTACTTTAAATACTCCTCGATCAGTACCACTAGTTAGTATGCAGAGGCATGTGTATCCGATTATATATATGCACAGATGCATGCCCCATGCCACACAGCTCTTGCATGGTCATGCATGCAAAAAGATTGCAGGGAAGCCAAAAGTGTAGTTGATTTGTTGAACTGCAGGCTAAAACGATTGTCGGTCATTGGATCGGAATGATAACAGTGTCCAACGTCCAGTTCTTACGTACATATTAGACGGCATCTTAGCTGGGCATGTAGCATGCATGCAGATGTGTACTTAAGCAACATTTGTCCGACCAACAAATTATGCATTGCAACATCTAAAACCATTCGAAACAAGGATTGGTCAGTATCAAGTGCAATCCAATCCTTGACTCAAACAACAGTCTTTGAAAACAGACGTACTGCATGAATGGCGAGAAATTCCAGACCGGACGAAGAACGGCTGCATCCTTCAACATGGCATGCAATTTATCAGCGGTTTACAAACTTTGTACTTTGTTCCAAGTAACCCCTAAAAGTCAGATGCGGAGCATGGCCAACCGGCGGCTATGTGACCATACCGTGCAGAGTTCCACAATTTCTAGCGCCCCAAGGAATCCCTGAAAACTGCGGTTGTGGAACGAGCACTTCCAATATGTACACACAGGCGATTGGAGGTCGAACATTGTATAGTCAAATCGCACGTTCCGATGCTAGCTCTCCGACACTAGCAGCATGATGGGCACACCCTGCTAACTCGCTCTGATGCGTTACAGCTCTATTATGTACAGAGAAACCGGGTTTCGAAGCACGCATCTTAACCTTCGGGCCCTTCTATTTGGGTCTCGTCCGTTGGGGGAGGCGCCGGGGGCATGCACGCGACCCCAGCGTCACCCGCGTATCGGCAGAGCGCTTCTGCGTCTCTCAACGTGCCCTCGAGCTCGATTCGCCCGCTCAGGTCGTTGATAAACTTCAACAACGTGTCGAACTCCATCTGTGTAGGGATGAATAGCTCGCTGTCAACACACCGTGAAGGAGAACCAAACAACTTCGACGTTGCAAGGGAATTGATCAGCAACTTCCGCTTCCAGGCGCTCCGCCGTCGGGACTTTGGCAGGCAACTAAGTGCGGATGCAGAAGCAAGGGCTTCGGTCACTTAGACAAAACACTCATTACTGATTACTCAGAAGCAACTGCCAACGAGGTGTCCTCTTAAAACTTCTGCAGAGCCTCCACTGCACAATCAATAGCATGCAAACAAACTCGATAGCATTTCGTACCACCATTCAAGAAGTAGGCGTCGTGTTAGCTGAGGCAACAACAGTAGAAACATTTCTGATTGAAGATTTGAAAGAGCTAAAGACAAGCTTGGCACGATCACAAACTAGACAACCAGAAGTGATTTCACTCACAAAATTACGAAGCTTCTCATCAAGTCACTTCAGAGATTGAGAGGGCGTAGACTCTTTGACATGCAGTGTCTTCAATTAAGCCATAAACCGGCGGCTCACTCTTGTCTGAATCTCATTTCCTTCAAAGAGATACACCGGCCACGAAATGCGAGTAGGAAAACAAGAAGAAGTGCGGCCGCACCTGCTCGTCCATAATCTTGCGCCGGTGACGCTTGAGCACCGCAACGCACACGTACAGGTGGAAGTGGTCCGACAGGTAGCGGCTCCAGAGCACCTCCCACAGCCGCAGAACGTTGTCGTACTCGAACTCTCTGCACACGTCAGTGGACACGTCAGCACCGCAGCGGGTCAAGAGCTAGGGCTTGAAGCTGGACCGTGTGACGTCATCTCAAGCTGGGGGACAACTTCCGGTTTGAGAGGGTACCTGGGGATACGAGGGCTTCCTGACCAAGACTCCGACAAAGCAGACTGATGTCCAATCAAAGCATTCCTCTGAAGCGCGGAGCACATACATTCAAAACCGCTTCTCAGCAAGCCCGGTTCAAAGGCCGGCTGCTCGAAGAAGGCGACAGAAAGCAAGACTACTGTGCATACGCTGCAAGCTTCCCCTCAATCACGGCAGGAAAGTGGACCAAAGGGCACCGAAACCCTTTGGCAAGACGACGGCAAGACAGGTCGTCGCAACACTCACCGTTTGAAGTGGATGAGGATCCACCGGAAGCAGAAAAAGTAGTTGAGGCAGTCCACCTGGCGGAAGTAGTCGTCCAAGGGGGGGTCCAGCAGCTTGACCAACTAGACAGGGGAGGAAAAAGGTGTCATGATTCTGACGTTGAGGTGAATCATTGACTGGCCAGCAAAACATTCTAAGCAGATATTTCGTACTCGTCCCAAGTCAAAGCGTACAAAGGCACGTCGAATCAAAGATTGACTCCATCTTGTTCAATAATGCAAACGGCACGAAGATCCTCGACCTTGTCAAGAGTGCGCTAAGCTCCTTAAGCACACTGCAAAACAACCGAATGACCTTTCACGTACCGCATATTGTAATGATTCTCCAGGGCGAGCGCCTTGAACCTAGACATCTTGAAAACCCCAAAATCCCGAAACCCTGACAATCACCACACCTTGCGCAGGGAGAGCAGCTAGGAGTGCATCCCGTTCTGATCGTGGTGGCATAGCGCCCTGAAACCTGGATTTGGATCCCTGACACACTATCCTGGAACCCCTGAGATTCTGGAACCCTGACACTAGCCCCACCTTGCGGAGAGAGAGCAGCTGGGAGTGCATGCCGTTCTGGTCGCGGTGGAAGTTGGAGGCCATGCGCTCCATGAGCGCCGCAAAGCACCAAAACGCGTCCACCTCGTCGTCCATGACGTACAGGATCGGGGACAGCAGGTCGCTCATGCCCTGCCAATCACATAGTGCCACGTGTCAAACTTCACGCCCGCTCTTGTTGGTGGGGTTGGTACAGCTTTCACGACGTTCTTATCAATGGAAAGCTTGCAGAGGGATCCAATTCGCTCCCCTGGCTCTCGTCCCTGAGTGTCAGTCGCGAAAGTAGCGGTTGCAATGCGCCAGTAGTCAAGCCGCCACATGTCGCTTTCTGCTGTACCCTTTTGTTACATCAAGGAGAGGTCTACAAAACTTCCAGAAAGCCGGTACGATTTACTACCTCTCAACTTGCATTCGCTTCTACGATAAAACATCGGTCCACACTTGACCATTCCATCTGTCTTGTCACCCTCTCTTCACCATCTTTTCACCATTCACTATTTCAAGACAAGAACAAAGTTGCAAACCTCACCTGGCAGTACCCCAGGTCAAAGTTGTAGAACGAGTACGTGATGAGGATGCTACGCAGCGCCTCGACGTTGGGGTTGTCGTCCCCCGCGTAGAACGGCAGCGTGCGGTCCGTCCGCACCACGTCCTTGTCCACGCGGCTCTTGCGCTCCCGGAACTTGGCGAACTTCTTGGCCTGCAGCGCGGCAGAGAATACAGGTCATGGACAAATCATCTGGATGGGATTATGACCCGATGGGCTTGTTGAAACCAGTGAAGTGAGGCACTTGCGCTGCCGAAATTCAGCATTCTTCTTGACCTGCAACGCGGCAAAACAGATCAGGATGTGGGCGGAAACACACATGTGAAACTTCAACCACATTGGCTTCGCCAAAAACATGCCAGTGGCGAGTTCTTTGCGTTACCGGAATTTGGCGTCGCTCCCTCATTCTCTGTGACCGTCGAGGTGCATTCGCAAGACCTAAGCAAGCCCGTCGGAGGACATTTTTCAGAGCGTCCAACTGATCTATCCGGCTCACCACTACAATCAGACTTCAAATTGAACCAAACAATACTCGGAAACAAGATGCCCTGCGGTATTGTATCTACTTGCTAGCCAGAAGCTTGTAGTAGTATGAATGCAGCGCGGTGCGGTTCCCCGGTATCCTACCTGGTCTTCCGAGACGCTCTGCCACTGCCCCTTGAGCACCTCATACTCCTTGGCTTTGTTCGCTTGGAGCGCCTTCCGCTCGGCCCGCGTCGATTCGTACGGGAAGTAGCCCAACAAAAACTTCCACACCTGAAGGTGAGCAGAAGCAAAACGTTGCAAGGGCCACTTTGGCGAATGGAACTGAGTCTGAGTCTGCTGGTCACAGGTGATGCTTTGCCCTGCACTGACGTCGTCGTGACTGCTGCGCAAGTCCACCCCATGCTGAATCTTACCAACTTGTGAACAAGGCAATCGGAAGGTAAGTGCGTACACAAGGCTTACAGAGGACAACATGGCTCACACAGTTTGCCAAAACAGGGAAGCACGGAACGGATGCGCTTGTTCTTTTCAAGAGGTGAAAGACTGGGTGGAAGAAGGACGTGGACTTCCAGTCGCCAATCCATCACCCGTCTATTTTCCGAATCAAGGGCAGCAGCTTGAGCCATCAACCGATGCTGGGGATAGCAAAGAGGGCTGGATTCAGATTGGCGGCTCTGTAATCACGTGCTCCTTCCACGGGTTCTGACACCTACGTAACAAGCACCGAAGCAGCAAACGGAAGCGCATCCCTCACCTCCCGCCGCATATCCGGCTCCACCCCCCCGTGAAACACGCGCTTCCGCAGGCCCGCAGGGTCGGACACGCGTCCCTCGCTGTCCAAAAAGGTGGCCCACTCTTCCGCCCCGAGGGGGGGTGGGCGGGGCCGGCCCCAAACTAGAGCGGGGGACTCCTCCTCCAAGCCGTCGACCAGCTCAAACGCGCCGAGGCTCGACAACTCGGGCTCGTCCTGCAGAATGGAAAGAGAGATATTTTGAAAGTGGGCGTAGGCCATGCATTGAAACCTGTCCTCATCCTCCCTCATCGTACGGATCTAACGCCCCAAGTCGGCTGATCATTCAATCTGGTCCTTCAGAGAAACCTCAAAATAGCTGTGTATGCATCTCCGGAGCTGAAATCCGGCGCCCACTGACGTCGAATCAGCCAAGCAAAGCAGGAGCCCGGACCTCCAGACACGGCCGAATCTTACTTCGAAGGAGTTATGGAACTTCTGTAGAAAAGCATGAGACAGGAGCTGAACCAGGGCTGCCCGATCATCTTTAGTGGATACTGGGGACAAGCAATCCCACGAGCAGCGAAGTGCAAAGAGGGAAAGAAAGACGGGAGCTCTTGAAAGCTTGCAGACGTTTTCAATTCACGTCGACGACTTGTTTGATACCCGACCCAAAACCTCCGCCTAGTGCTCGAAGCCCTAGGCTTTTGCCAGCAAAGCCCAACTTCCGGCAGCTCTCCGTTACTTACCTTGTCTTCTTCCATTCTGCTCCCTGCGCCCGCATCTCCCGCCCCCCTGCCCGGGAGGGCTTCCCCGAGCCCGGCGCTGGGCTGCCTCTGCACTGCTGGCGCGACCGGGGGAGGAACGGGGGCTCTCTCCGGGAGACCGAGCATCCCGCTCCGAGCCAGCGGGCGGTCGTTTTGGCCCGAGAGCTGGGTGGTCGCGTCACGGACAAACCGGGTGACCTTGGAGAACTGGGTGAGGATGTGGATAGAGGCGTCGCGCAGGGGGTCGACATGCTGCGGGGATTGAGGGGGGGGGACGTCAAAAGTCTCTTTAAAGGGGTGGTTTAAGAGGTCTCTGTAGGGGGGTAAGCCTCGTATTCTCAACAGGGGGTTTAACAAATGGAACAGAAAGATTCCGGTTGCTATTGAGGAAAGTCTGAGAGGTTTAGTGACATCGCAAAGGCGGAGGCAGAACCGAACTTGTTCAAGTGGCACTTTAACAGTGAGACGCGAATGCAAATCCGAAGCAGCCTTGACTTCGCAAGACGGAAACAACTTTTAAAACATTCATCAACCTCACCTTCTGCGGCAGCCGGTCAAGCACCCCTCCCTCAGGCCCGCGCCTGCTGACGACCAAGGGCTGCAACGCGCTCCCCCCCTCATCGGGCCCCTCTTGAGCAGAGACACGCTCTTCTTCTAGCGGCTCAAGCTCGCGCACGGGGGTCACCGCCTCGGGAAGGTCTAGTGACGTCAGGCTTCGCTGGAGAGGGTCCTGGATGTCATTCACCAGGTAGACGTTGGCGTCCTCTGCGGAGCGGACGAGCAGGGCGTGCTCCTTGAGAACCCCGAGGAACTCCTTGACGCCGCCGTTGTGGAAGTAGAGGGGGGGGAAGGCCAGGCCTGCGAGGGATAAAGGTGGATAATGTCAGAAAGGACAAGAAAACGAGGACAGAAAACTGCAAGTGAAGAGAAGACTAAAAGAGCAGAACGAGCAGAGGAATGTACCTGAAGGCTAAAAAGAAACATGGGTAGCAACGAGGAAGACTCCAGAAAGGGGTCGTTGAGGAAATAAAAGAATGTGGAAGATGCCGTATTGTTATTGAGAGGGACGCTATGAACAAATGTCAAAAGATGGGTGTATGGAAGATAAGAATTGCCATCGGGTATACACAGCAGGCGTTGCCTTCCTCGCAAATGGCCTGACTGTGGCAATTCAAGCATAATTCACAATCTTTTAACTTTTCGCTCCTCAGGCAAATCAAGAAAAGACTTGTCAGAGCCGCATCTTTCTGCCCCTGCGCCTAAAGCAGCCCAATCCCGTCAGTCGAATGAGGTTTGCAATGGCAAGTCAGCGGAGCCAGACCATATACAGTTCCCCTTGTCGTCAAGAACGCGAGGCTCAACATCTGCGGACCTGACGAACCTGGAGCAGCGCCTCACCTGTTGTCAGAACCACAATGATGTAATTCCACCCCAGCGTGGGCGTGTGGCGCCGGATGGAGCGTATCTCAGAAAGAGACACTGCTCTGATGGTGTACAGATTCCTGTCCTTGTCCTTGCGGCCAGGAGCCTGAGGGGGCGTCACTGGTGCGCCTTCACTTGGGGAGAGAATAAGCCCAGAATCATCTGCTATGCCACTCTGGTTGTACGGGATCCAGGTCTGGAAGCACAAACAAGAGAGGGTTGGCTAGATTGCCTCGTTGAGGACCTGAGAGAATACAACCTGTTCAGGACAGGCATTTTAACTTGTTCGGGTGGGAGGCCTTAAGTTGACACTGGTCCTATTGAGAGGTAGCCCTGAATTTGCACTCTTGAAATGGGGGCGCCGCTGAAAACTGGATTTCCCTGCGAGTTAAACTCGAGTAATCACATCATGTGAATTTCAGTTGAAGCATGTACAACCAACTTGCACAATCATGACCTTTTAGCAACATTATCTATCCTTGGCAAGCCAGAAGTGACAACACAGCCCACTTACGCACACCCCAAACCTGTGTTGAAGCACGTACTATCCTTTATAGGGACCATCGAGGTCCCATTCCAATGTCTGACAAGGAGCGCTGTGAAAGTTGATGTGACTGATTGAACAAACGCACAAGGGCAGGCCTGAAGTTGCATTCCCCTCTGCTGAAATGAACAGGTCGACGGGAGGAGTAGCACACTGAGGTATATTTTCCGTCAACACAGCTTTGAGGTCAGATTAAGTAAACGGGACCCCTCACCAGAAAGACGGACTGCCCTTGCTTGATCAGCTTCAGCCGGCCCGAGATGCGCTCGTTTGCAAGAGGGCTAGGGTGTACTGACACATTGTCCTTGATATAGACCACCTCATAGGTTCCTGTTGGCCCTGAGGAGGCCTGCTCTCCAGATGACTCAGCAGAAGCCATGGCGGCGTGCTGAGTTGATTGTCTGCAGGGAAAACACATGTTACTAGCAAACTCCTCTACAAAGCATCAGGGCCTAGACATAGGCACTTCGGCCCATAAAGTTAGTGTCCCTGATGTTTCCAAGACTGTGTCAATTGAGCACAACAACAATGTTTGAGCCATTGACTGACTATGAAGCGTAAGCACTGGCTTGACATCCATTCTGCAGCAGGTTCTGCACTGCTTTCCAAGAGCGGCTTTGCGGTGAAATCACCACGTTACACCCGACCGTAAACTACTTCCCGGCAGGTCTACCCTCTCGGTCAGTTGTGACAAGAAAACTCCCCGCAGCTTGTTCCAAGCCCTCCTCTTTCTCAAAAAGAAGCAGCACACAGCATTCTCATTCCCTGGCTCTCAGATGCATGCTTCTCTAATGCGGACCGGCAATTGACTGGAACTTCATATAGGTACCCTCGAAGAAAGGCTACATGCACTTCGCAAAACCACCGCCGCCGGCCAGGTTCCCAAAAATCAATCAGACCTCGACTAACTTACCGCTGAGCCTCTTGTATATTTCAACCTCTGCCGTCAGACCACAAGCTCAAAGGGAGCCTGCCACTATATGCCCTCTGCGGACCACAAAAGGGACCGCCCTCCCTTGCACCCGCTTTCAAGTTCCGTGAATCTCCTGGCAAACCTCTCAAGCTCCGAAGGTTGCAAGGAGTGAGGACAATTCGACTCGAAAAGCCCTGCTACTACAGCTAGCACACCGCAAGCAGACATAAACCTCGACCTCCTTGCAATCTTCTCGCTCCTTCCCTCAGCTTGGGGGCTTCTTCTTTCCCCCAGGCCCAGGGCCAGGGCCAGGGCCAGACTCGAGATGAGGCTGGAGGCTGGAGGCTATCAACAGTACGTTAAAGGGAGCTGACCGTATAAATCAGGGTATAAATCTGGATATCGCAGCCATTCCTGGCCATATGTCTACTACAACAGTCTTGTAATATTAGTCTGATACACCTTATGGCGGTATCGTCGTAGACGAAGTGATAGTATTGCCTGCTTCTTTGAGTCTTCGACTGCGAGTGCAAATCTTCTGCGAAACCGTGGCTTATGCTGTTGCAATGCCAGCCAACCTACCGGGAACCTACCAGAATATATAAGTTTCTGAATTACATACAGTATTCAGCCCCAGGGCCCACAGATTAGGGTTCTGAACTTCACACCTGCTTGCAAGCTCAAGCTGTTCAAACACTACTACTACAAGTAGTAATACCTGTGCTCTCCCGCCATCCATGCAGGCGCAAGCTTGCTAGCAGTGAAGCAAGGACGGTGTAAAGGGCCATTGGCAGGACTAGCCAGGGCCGATTGCCAGCTCTTTCACCTCAAAAGAGCGTTTCTTGTAAATCTTCAGTTCTTCTGACGAAGCTACGCATGTGGCATTGAGAAACAATTCTGCAGAGCACATTCTCACAAGGCCTCAAACGAGCAGACTTTTGCATCTCCCAAAGATGGCAGTTCTTGTCTCGAGGCTTGCAAGCGGCAGCTTCCAGTCCGTGCCTGTGAAAAGGGGTTTGGCTGCAGCGTTGGCCATTCTAAGCGGGTCTGCTGCAGCATACCTTTGGACCACTAGGACTTCAGGGCTGGCCAGTCAGGGGGTGGTGGACTCCTTTGTTAATGTAGAGCAACAGCAGCAGCCAGAAGGTATGGTTTTCAAAACACTTGGGTGTAGAAAGAGAAACTTAGTCAGTTTCCTGGACAACTAAACGAAATTGCAGTTCCCCTGTTACTTATCTGATCACCAGCTTCTGTAATCATGGCACAGCAAAGTCTGAGGGTGCCTGTTATTCTCACAAGGAACAAGGTCTTAAGAGAATGTCCAGGGCTTTGTCCTTCAGAAGTTTGTAAAAGATACACTTTTTGAGTGTGTGTCCAGCTCAGCGATTGTAGCATTCGCTGCCTACTGGTGGTGCGGTTTGTGGTACACCGAGGAATTGCCCAGGGCTCCTTTGAGAGTTGTCCAGAGCTCCAGCTCAAGCCTCATTGCATCCATTAGAGAGAAATCGATTCTGGTTTGCAAGTGGGGCGAACCAGAGAAAGGTTGTTGCCCCTGTTGATGTCCAATCGAATTGGTTGGTACAATGTTTCATAAGAAACTCCAGAAAGGGGGCCACTTTCTGTTAGGCAGTCGACAAGTGGTTGAGTTATGACACTCTCTGTCCAGAAATCATCGTGCCATGTCCCCGCTCATTGCAGCTCCCATGGACTTCAAGTAAGTTAAACCCGTAATGACAGCCTCTGGAAGTCATACATCACCTCTGGAAAGAGCAATCAGGATCAATCAGCTTGGAAGGGGTTCGGTCGGGCTTGACGCCCCCTCTTCTGTGGTGCTTGTGCAGAGGTGGCTCATGACTGCGACTGCGCCCCTCTCTGGAACTGCATCCAAGAAGGCAGGGGAGATTGCGATGTTTTAGAAAGAGGCCTTCGGAGCTGCCTCGCTAGACAAAAGGTGAGCCATCCGCAGGAACCAGCTGGTTCATGTGCATTTCTGCAGACAAGATGGTGGGTGAAGTCCCTTGCGGCGTGCACACCGTTGTGCCTTTTCTATAGATTGGAGTTTGGATGAGAAGAGTGTTCGGGAGGATGGATGTGGGTAGCCGACTGAGTTTCTTGGATGCTCGATAAAGACCAAATTTGCAAGTTTCTCCACAGGGCGTCTTATATGTCCGGTTAAATTTTCCAGGTTTGGACTCAGGAATTCCCAATTTGAACGAGGATTTTTCTTGCAGACATGACGCTGTACTGGGCAGCTGGAGCATTTGGGCGGTGTCGGTAGGCTTGTAAAAAGAGGTCATTTTAGAGAAGAGCACACTTGGTGATGAAGGTGACCTTAGCTCCTGGCATCTGTACATACAGGTACGTGCCATCAACTAGGACTTCGTTAGGAATGCCGGGAGTGACTGTACAATCATAGTCTAATAGTCTTGTGTGTTTGTAAGACCGGACCGCTGTTGCAGGTTAGTATGTTAGGTAAAATCTTCAGTCACTGCGCTTAGATTTGAGCAAGTATAATTTACCATACAGTATATGTGAGCATGCAAGCTTGGCGGCTGTGCAATTGCATTATCGAGAGTCCTGCAACTGATCAGCGCGTGCGCCGGACATGATCGACACGATATATGCATCTTGCAATCTGAAAGTGGCAGACAATGAACTTCATGCGTGGCGGATGTGCCAGTGCACAAACAGGCATGAAAACCATGCGCACGCGTTTTAGGTCAGCAAAAGCATATGTTAATATCCAATTAGATTGCAATATGCCTATAGATATAGCGGTAACTAGATTGCGCCCGAGCAGGCTGCGCGTGCCCAGCTAGGCGGCACACATGGCCTGATGATATGATGGAATCGATCATTCAATCGATCTTCTTAAAACCCGAGCAACTGATTTTTCGACTTTCAAACTTATGATTGACAATAAGATTGGCCACATCATTGACAAAGGCTCTCAAAATTGCGTGATGCAACTTCTGGAATCAGCTAACAACTGTAAATGCACCATCACAAAGTACATGCAAACATGAGAAGCCATCCGTTGGATGCAAGAGCCTCAACCCCAGATCGATGTTGTCTGAAACCGCGAAGTAGCAAAGTGGGGATCTCAAGGAACAAGCAACGGCTTCTGTGATCCCCTGCCCTTCACATCTTCGTAGTCTAAACCGGACCTCTTGTAAACTCTTCCACAACCTAGCATATATACAGTCCCACATGTGTGGCGAACTTCTCTTGTCTTTCAACAAGACGATGACTGTGATTTACCTGGCTAGCAATCCGTGCATGCGTGCAAATGGACAACTACGCGGTGGCTAAGACGTGATCGTGATGCTATGACCTATCGCATTGCATGAAACTACAAGCCTACGCGACAAACTTGAGAATTGCAAACAACAGCCAATTGAACATTGCTAGGAAGGGCCCGGAACCCGTCACATTGATCTATGGAAAAGGCGACACCACTCTCCGTACCGTCATTCGTAGGTCCGTCTGACCGGCTCCTGCCCGTTAGCAATCCATCCTCGCCCGAAAAAGCACGCCTCCGCACCCTGCCGGTTCTTTCCTCAAATCTTTCCCTTGCCTTTTCACCCTGAGCGCCAGGCCAACCACCTTGCTTTGCTCAAAGCGGACCCGACCCCTGTAACTCACCCCCACCTGTTCACCTTGGTATCAAACCCACCCCATAACCCCTCTCCTGCATCCCTCCCTCTTCAAGTCAGCGCCTTCTTCCTCTGCTTCTCCCTCTCCCGGTCCTGCCACTTGCTCCGCGGCTTCTCCCGCCCCCCGAAGTTGGGCTCGTCATCCTCCAACAACCCCTCCCCCAACTTCTTCACCTCCCAGTCCCCCCCCCCAAGCCGGAGCGTCTTATCCATACCCCAAGGAAGCGCGGCCGGCTGGGCGGCAGCGGGCTTCGACCCCTCCTTATCCTGCCGCTTTTTCTCCTCTTCCCATGCCTTTTCTTCCTCGGGAGTCGGGAGCGGTTTTCCGAGCCGGATGCGCTCCGCCTCGTGCTGCAAGTCGCGCAGCAGGTCCCGGGTGGCTTGCACGGTGATCCCACGAACGTACCCCGAGAAGGGGGGCGGCGGGACCATGGCGGGCTGGATGTTCTGCCGGATAGTCACCTGCAGTTAATTGGAGGCACTTTACTATCTGTCTATCTGTTCGTCTTGCAAATACGAAGCGCACGGTTCGATAGCCTCTGGAGAAAGCACAAGCATGAAAAGGGGTGACGTTACGAGCTGGAAGGTTCTGCCGTCTCATCACCCGCCCTCCATTCGAAGCGGTGTTACTTCTTAGCAGATAGGGAGCTTCATCAAACTGCCTGAAGTAGATGTTGACACATCACGTAGAGAAAGTGCTGACTGACAACTATCTTGATTTTCGTCCACATACAAGGTAACCATCACCGTTACCTGACCAGATTATGGCTGCTCCACAGGCGACGTTCGATGACATCTTCATATGGACTCTTCTCTTACCGCACTTTCACATGTCCTCGAACGGAACTGCAAATAGTTTGGGAAACCAGCCATAATCTACATGGTGACCTTGACACAAAGTTCTGCTGCAAAAATTTCCACGTCAGGGTGTCCTCACCATCGAAGCCGTCCCTTCGACGCCATCTTTACTGTTGGGCGATAAGTAGTTGTGGGGTTCGATCTCCCACGACCCCTCGAAATTCTTCATGAACCCGGACTTGGCCAGCTTGTACTTCATCTGCACGTCACAATCAAGGGTTTTGAGAACCGGACCTCAAGGCAATGCAGCCCGTCGCAAACATACTCGTTTACTTTGCAGCATTGGCGGTTCCAGCATCTGAGATCACCCCTTAGATCTCTTCACATTTACTGTTGCGATTTACATGCCATACTGCACACGCTCTAAGTCCGAGACGGTGAATGAAAGTGGTAATCAGACCAGGCGACTCGAGTTTGAAGCTGAAAGTCAGCGAGTAAGCGAGGGAGCGCTGATAAGCGGAATTTCTAAAACAACCTCATCAAACAAACGAGGCAAAGCTCACAAACCGCTCCTTTCCGTTCTGAAGAGTGTCGCGCGTAACGCTGAAGGTCCCCGAGAAGAAACAAACACGCCAACTTCCGGAAACGGATGAACCTTAAACAATGAAGGAAAAAACGTTTTTCCTCACAAAGCGCTCCTTCTCGTTCTGGAGGATGTCCAGTGTGACGTTGAAAGTCCCCGAGAAGACGAGGAAGCGCCACATGGCCGCCTGCTCCATCATGACGCGCTGCTGCACGCCGTCGTCCTCCAAGATGTCGCGCCGCACCGTCTCCTGCAGCGATGATGTGTTACATGATGAGGCAATCGGTTGCATAACCCTGACGTGAACCGACTGGATGGGGTCTCAACTCGAATCTCACCGCCCTTCTCGTTTATTGGCGAGGTCCTCTTGCGAAAAAGCAGCACTCAGAAAATCAGATTTTGAAACTCCCGTGCAACTCGCGGAAAATTCAAAAAGCTGGACCTGCAACCATCAACCCCAGCCTAAATTGGCGTCAAACACCTCCATCTTTCTACCCTAAGGCAAAGCCCTTGAACGAAGCTGCTCCCCTGCAATCTTTCAAATCTTCGGCAGCTCAAGTAAATAAAGACAGGTCAAATGTGCATTGCCTGGCAAATACTATTCAAGGCGGAGGAAGATCGTAGCCAGCTCTTCTTTCTGGCGTAACCGTGTATTGTAAGGCTTTCAGAGCTTCTGTCGTCTAGCAACGGCTGCCAAACTCGGAAATGAGAAGTACAGTCTAAAATTACAGTCCTTTGCCTTCCCAGATCATTGCAAGTGCTAGTCGGCAAGCAACTTCTCTCTCACCTTGATGTTCTTGAAGATCCGCTTGTTGTCCGGGTCGGAGATGATGCCGTACACACCGTCCGGATGCAGTCCCACCTTGAACTTGCAGTACAGGTTGCAGAAGCAGCCCTTGGGAACCTCCACCTGAGTGGTAAGAATGCTAACCTCAGAAATGACCTAGGTTTGATCGAAGTCAGCACGACTCGGTCTGCTCGAAAGATTGATTACAAGAATAAACGTCAACATCAAGTGTAGGCTGCTTGATAAATCCTGGAAGATCTTAGAAATCTGCGTCTTTGCAGCGTGGATAATAACAAAAGTTGTCAGAAGATGGTCATTTCACTCGCGGAAAGAACAAGGCTACTCTTTTGCAGCATTCCAGATGAAAAGAGGAATAATAAGTACGACTTTTAAGTAACTTTCCAGAAAGGGACTCCTTGTCTTTCAGGTTTGCAACAAGCACAGCAGCTTCCAAGCTCTACCTGAACCCATGCATACAAGTGTCTGCAGCACATGAGCAGCTTTTCAACCTTGATACTTGAACTATTCATATCCACTAATGTGATTGCGTCAATCCAGGAGCACAAGCAATGACTGAAAGGTGCACTTTTGGTCGGTGTTCAGGTTTATTACTGGGCTGTCAAGGTTATAGGAGACATGCGAGCAAGGGCAGTCAATTGCCTGCTCTTCTTCTCTTGGTCGAAGGTGAATGCTCAACACTGCTGGCTCAACATGTTACACAGCCAACTGGTTCAGAATAACAATAGAAACACTACAGGCAAATGAAGACCGATTGATAGAAGCAACAATCTCCTCAAGACCTCTACAAATGCTGGTCAGGTGTTTCTGCCTGAGGCAATCCTTGGAAAGGGCAGAATAAAATTTCCCAGCATTGTTTTGACAGTTGGCTCATATAGAAGGCTTTGCGAGTGGCATTGACCAAACCAACGGTATTCTTTTGATGACGAGCATTCAAATGGTTGCTTTATGTTCCTTGCCAATCATGTCTAGTCCACGTTTGCCAGGAACATTCTTCTGTGTACACAACAAGTACATAGTTCATATGTCTGCATCGGCATGAGAAGGACGCCCTCTCATTGGTTGGAAAAATCCAAATCGCTCCCACTTTTTGATTGACACAAAACCTCACCTCTATTTGCGGTTGCTCATCTACCCACCCATCCAACCCCACGGCCCAAGACTTCCTCTTTTCCTCCTCAGACAGGGAAGGCTTGGGCTTAAAGAAGGGAAGGCCAAACAAGCCCTCCTTGCGAGGAGAGGAAGAGCCATCGCCCTTGTCACGTGGGGGGCTGTCTGGCGCTTTCTCCACTGACGAGTTGTCTGCGCCTTTTGGAAGCACACTTGATGCCCACCCAAGAGCACCACCAAAAGCCTGAAAAACAAGAAAGGGGACGCAATTGTAAAGAAGCAATATTTCGGTCACCCTCATGGCTCTCTGATAATGTAAGGGTCTTAGGGTCTGAGTTCCTGCTCTGACATTGAAGCCTGGGTACAAATTGCAGCTACGGGACAGCCTGTGAAGAGGCCTATTTATACATGCAACATCACAAAGAGTGGTGCAAACTGTGGAAACTTCTCGAAGACTGCTTGATGTGAGAACAGGGCGCCCTGGCAAGCAAGTGATACTCACATTGACACCCCGAATTGATATTGATAGATGGAACAGAAGAAACTTTTAAACACTTTTTTGCAGTCCCTGAAACATTCGTCTAAATCATCCCCAAAGAGACAGAAATATTGCGCAGTTTCAAAGATTTGCATAATTGCCATAAGTTGAGTAGTAAAAGCATGGCGTAGAGAAGCGCTGTAACAGCCCCCCAAACAAACCCGCAGTTATTACTGGAGAAACCCTCACCACATCTTCGTCATCAGAGTTTAAGTCGTGTTAGCAAAAAAAAGAGGAGAGACAAGTCAGCTCTCTCTCTTTCTGTCCTTTGTTTCTAGGGATGAAGTGCACCTTGGAAAGCGAAGCAAGCGGGCCACCCCCCCCAACCTCCACCTCCTTCGACGGCTGTTCACTTGCGTCCGCCATCAAATGGGCTTTTCTTGAGTAAAGCCTCTGTAAAATGTTGGTCGAGAGCGCAGATTGGAATAAGGATCAGCAGTCAGAAAGAGGGACTCGAGCCTACGGATGCTGTACAGACAAGACAACGTCACAGTCACTGATCAATCAGGCGCCCATGTCATGCAAGGTGCTCTGGAGCTCCTCAAGTTCAACTGCCTGTGCTGAAAGAGGACAAGCTGCTGAGAGGCTGCTGTGTAAGCAGACCTGTGCTCAGCCTCAAGCTTCTGACAGGCAGCTCAGCCTGATCAGTGAGGCTCTCAGTGAGGCTCTCAGTTGGTTTTGTTTGTCGTGGCGCTGAGTTGGTTTTGTTTGTCCAGCTGGCAGCTTGCAGATAATGGTGTCAGTCTCCTCGGAGTCCAAGGTCGCCTGCTTCGAAAAGCGGCACAAGCCCGGCTTTCTTGAAGACTTAATTTTGGGAAAGGGACCCGTATTTTCAGAAACGGCAAAACCAGGCACTCAGTTTGAATCGTGGCAATTGACACCAACATTTGAGTTAGCTTGGGAGTTAGGGCGCTGCGTGCCACCTCAGTTGCTTCAAGTGGACTTTTCGGCACGCCTGTACAAGGACCAGGGTGGACCTAAGACCAAGGTGCATCATTGCGATCGCAGAACTCATTGCAATTTGCATTCAAAGTGGCGCCCTTTGTGACGCTCATCAAAGGAGATCTGTCTTTCTATGTCAACAGCTGAGACGACGGCTAAGGCGGTAGTGGAAGGAGCTTACTGATCATCCAGAATTTGGAGCTGCCAGATTGTGTCATTCCGCTTTGCAGGCATGTTTGATCTTTGACTCGCGTGCTGGTGGAGGCGCTAGACTATGTTTCGTTTACTCACTACTTCTGCATTGGGTTTGATATCTGACATCAAGCTTTGATTTTGTCCGGAGAGACTCGCCCTTCCACCCCATTTCAGCAAATGCAGCTCCTGTGAAAATCGAGTGTTGATTGTTTGGAAAATCCAGGTCTGTAAAGGCATAAGCTGTGGACAGCATCTTGCAAGATGGCGCTGCTCAAAGCAAAGGAGCCATCGAAAGATGCAAAACTGGTGGCTGATGTTGGGGCCTGGTGAGTTTTTTGTTGAAAGTTTCTGCTTATGATGTTTGTTAGGCGTGGTCTGCCTTCAATGTAACACACACTGAACCAGAGGCATCTTGTTTTTGAGAGAATGTGCTTTTTTGTCCCGTCAAGCTTTACTTCTTTTGAAGTGAGGTCAATGTTCAAAAAGTACGATGAAGGTCTCTGAGACTTGAGTGGATCGTCTCTGCTTTGCAGGCTCAGCAATGTCGCTACGTCGGTGATGATCATCATGGTCAACAAGCAATTGATGTCAGTTTATGGCTTTGGCTTCGGTAAGTTTGCTCGCAGGTACCAATGCAACAAGCTCCAATCTCCTTCTCATAGAAAAGGTCGGTCGCAGTCAGGGCCCAACGCAATCCCAAGGTTCACTTGAAACACTCTCCGGCAAAGTATCTCTGCATATATTTTGAGAGAATGCTCAGCCAGTCTCAGCTGTGCCTGCTTACGCAAGTCGGAAAGACTAGATCCAATGTTAGATATCTCCTGTGGAGCTCGGATGACATTTCCGGCGCCCCCTTCCCCTCATACTGTCAATAACAAAAAAGCAGGCTACTTTTGAGCAAAGTACGTTGTCCAGCTCAGAGTCCAACCGTTGTGGTCCGAGCACCTCGTCCACTGATTGCAATTTCACCCCTGCAGCAACAACTCTTACGGGCCTGCACTTCCTGATAACCAGTTTTGCGGCCGCCATGCTCTTCTGGACTGGCGTGCTTCAAAGGACGCATCTGCCGCTGCGCGACCTTTTGTATTTTGCCCTTGCCTCAAATTTCTCTATAGTAGGTGAGGGCTACGCGACCACTAGTATATCTGCCTGGCTGACGGCAGAAGATTCTGGAGCGATCCTTTCTGTTGAGAGCTCGAGGGCATCTGTGTCGGTCCTAAAGTTACGCTTGAGCATCCCGTTTGGAGACCTGGACAAGCAGGCAGTGTCAAAAGTGCATCGATGGGGAGAGTCTACTCTTTTTTAAGTTTTAGGGCAGGGAGTGTTTGCTCAAAACCTGCTTGAAGATAAAACTGACATGTGAGAAGGAAGTGGGAAGATTGGTCCTGCTCTGACTTAGCGACTCCAGATTAAAATCCCTCCAGTGACGTTCCTTATTGTCTTTGGCAGCACGGTCAGTCTCAACAGGTTTGCTGCAATTTGCTGCCAAACGGCAGAACAGATTGCTTCCTGTCTCTCGAAATTTTGTGAGCTTGGTTGTCTCGTCAGCAATTGTCCTAATTATATTCTTGAGTGGCAGACTCATTGACTCTACTTCGCGTGCAGGAATGAACGTCAGCCTCATGTGGAACTCGGTTGGATTCTACCAGGTGAGCCTTCGTTTGTAAGTTTCTTTGCTTCCACTACCGTGAGGGAGGAGGCCTTCTCTTGTGAAGAAACTATGCAGTTTCAGAGGTGAATCGTCGAGCAGTTTTGCTTTGAGCGAACCGCCGCTTGTATAAGCAGACGCTTCTCTGTGCATCTCGTAACCTGTTCTGTATGAACTAGACGACACAATCGAGTACTGCTCATTCGGCACACCTTTTCAGGACACCTTTGGCTCCCTACTACCCGTTCTCAAGAATCTGATGAGCGTCTTCTGCTTGCAACGACAGATTGCCAAGCTCGCCATCATCCCAACGACGTGCGCGCTCGAGACGGTTCTGGACAAGGCGGTCTTTAGCCGCAGCACCAAGCTGAGTATCTTGGTAGTGCTCGTCGGCGTCGGTATATGCACCGTCACGGAAGTCAAGGTCAACTTCCGGGGCTTCATTGCGGCCATCATTGCGACCCTTGCCACATCGCTCCAAAACTATGTAAGCAGTCAACTAGTTTTTCTAAAGTGTCCAAGTGAATACCTTCGGCTCAAATCAAGGTTCTCGAGTGCTGTTGTAAGCATCAAAGTAGATGGTACTCGGGCTGACGATGTTATTGTGTTGTCACAACGAGCAATCTAAACTTGGATCAATTGTCTTGCTCGTCGTGTCCTCCCAGCCAGCAGACTTGACCTGCTATACCGGCCTTGTCCGCTTTCGGTATCTTGTCCCGGGAGGCTCAAACGTCATTTGCTGCTTCCGCGCCTTCGACCAAGGTCTTGATCCTCATGACCCTCCTTCTGATCCCGTTTTCCAAGCATAGCCGTGCGCTGTTCAAGAAGCACACGCCGGGCTGCTCCAAGCGATAGCTTTTTCAGAGAAGTCCCAGATTGGTTCCTCTCTTCCTTGTTTTGCGCAGTTCGGTCTCACGCGTCAGGATCAGGCACTCAGTGGGGTGTCCTCAAACCGACGCCGGTCCTTCGACCCGTGAAGGCAATATGTTCACTGTTCGAGATTGGGTCTCTACTGATTGTCGTTCTCGTGGTATATCCACGTACTACGAAGCAAGTTCTAAGCTTCTCGGCCTTGAATAACCCCGATATTCAACTAACGACCGAACAACAGCGCCCCAACAGATTCCATCAGTAAGATCGCGAAGTGTTCTGTACCCTTCGTCTTCCGTATTAGGCTTTACACACAAGAACACAAGCAGAACCAGGGCTTCGCCGACCTCAAACCACCCCGTTGCTGCACAGAAGTCCCAAAAGCAGAACGACTCATTTCACCCTAGCGAAACCGTCCCGCAAGTTAAACATCCTGGCCGCTCTCCGCAGTACATTCACGCGCTGCAGAAGAAGCACAACCTGGGCTCCTTCGACTTGCTGGGCCACCTGGCGCCCGTCCAGGCCGCGAGCCTGCTCCTCCTCGGCCCCTTCGTGGACTTCTTCCTGACGGGGCGGGCGATCAACAAGTACGAGTACAGCGTGCCATCCGTGGTGAGTGGCGAGCACACAATTTGAGTTTCTGGATTTTGTTTGCCTCATTGTTCCGACTAAGGAAGATTGATTACTCCGAAGCATACTTTCGGCTTTGTGGACTGATTGAGACGGGGCGGGCGGTTACCCAGTACGTCTACAGCGTCCCGTCCGTGGTGAGCAGAAGCATCTATCGTGCGTTCCTTATGTTTTTCCCGACTTTGAGAAACTGTCCCGCTGTAAAGTGGTATCGTTTTGTGATTGCTTTTCCAGAAGCGGGCGCTCAAAATGTGCCAATGCAGTTGGTCGTCCACGGGATGTGCGAGCACTCTTTCCCGTGTGTTTCTCCGTTCCCGGTTATTTGTGGCTGTGTTCTGTCTCACTCTGGAACGTTTACCTGGTACGAGGTATAACTCTGACCGTCCAATCGGGGGGGAAACGAAAGGCGGGGGCGTCTTCGGACTGCGGCCTTTGCCTTCTTCGTCTCTCTCAGAAAATTACTGACGTCCATCGCACTCCGTTGTTAGGATCAGTCCGCACTCTGCTGCATTCAAAAGGGGACAGAGGTTAGAGAAACTACGTAACGAGTGCACCTTTTTGGGACGTTCGTCACAGACACTGGCGAATCAACCATCTGCGATGGACATTCAAGAATCAGCGCTTGCATACGTCGTGGTTTAAGCTTGAGAACATATCTAAAGTTCTCCTTTTCCGTTGCAGACTTGCATTGTTTTGTCGTGTTGCATCGCCGTGGGCACGAACGCGAGCTCGTTCATCATCATCGGTCGGTTCACCGCGGTGGGCTATCAGGTTCTGGGTCACATGAAGACGATCTTTATTCTTGTCATCGGTTTCTATATGTTCGGAGCTGACGAGTATAACTGGCGGCATTACATTGGGGGCGCAGTAGCAATAGCAGGCATGGTGTGGTATGGGTTCATATCGTCGAGGCCTGATTCGAAGGCAATCCTTCCACCACCGCCCAAGGCAGGGCCACCGGAACTGCCACAGCCGCAGGTCAACTTTGACCCGTTGCCAGTCGCAGACGAATTGGACGCTAGTAAGGAACAGGGAGTGTAGGTCACAGGTCACAGTGAGGAGAGTATAAGTATTGAACGGATATTTGTAACATATGTGGACCGCTCCAATCAATTCTGAAGGTTAAAGTTGTATAGTGGATGATGATAGTTGAAAGCGGTGCAGCGCACGCCACCAGCTATTACCGGATGCAGCAATTCAATCAAGCCTTGTCAACAATCCTTGCGAACATCTTCGCGTGCATTTGCGGATATCATATTTTGGCGGATACAACTCGTGCACTTGGCAATTGCTGCAATGTAATTGACATGAACATCACGTTTACATGTCCGCATCGATCTGACCGTCAGCTGACATGCATATATAGAGTACCCAGCTCACATGCTTATACTATAAGCGGGGCAGTGACGCGGGCCCGCCATGCCCCATTTGAGTATACTTTACACACGGTCACTGCAATCTCCAAGTTCATTTGAGATATGTATTAGACTGCGCGTTCTTCGATCTAAGGATGTTAAGCCCGACAGCTTATACACTGCACATGCATGCATGCAATATAAGGCCCGGCCAACCATGGTGCTGTACGGACGGAATACGCTAGCTAGAGCAGATGTATTGTCTCTATCATTCTGACATCGGACGCTTCTAGACCACTCGATCTCTGAACTCTTGTTGATGCCGCGCAAGAAGAAGATCGAACCGTTCGATGGCTACGAGCGGAGCAGACAGCTCTTGTCGCAAGGCGGCACTTCGCGAGCTCGTCATCGCTTTCGACTTGCGAAGTCTATCTTGGAACAGGCAACCACTTGCCAATGTCAACCACTTCGAGTTCGGCTCGTCGCGGTTCATCACCGGAAAGCGCACCCCAGCCTCTAATCTTAAAACCCGCGCTCGAGTTTGGGGCCCATAGTCGGCGCCAAGTGTACGAAGTTTCATGACGGCACAGTTTAGCAGACTGTATAAGATTGTCTTATCTGGTTGACTAGAGCTGCCACTGTAAAGGTAAAGTGCAGAAGATATCCTGGTTCAGCTTTTAGTTTCTGGAGATCTGCACAAGGCCCAGACATTGCCCGCACGAAGCGTGGATGCAGGAGCACCAGGGGCAGAATGCGCTCGCTTTCAAGAGCGCAATCTGCATCAATGACATCCATAGAGCATCTTCGACCTCTTCACGTTCTGACAAAGATTCTCTCCTGGGACTTCTCCATCAAGGAGCTGGCGCAGATGCAAAGCGTCAGCGTCATCTTTCAGAGGGCCATTCTTGATATACCAGTCGCGCGTGTCAAAGTTGACTGTATATTCTGCGCTGCCTCGAAAAAGAAAGCACATTACTTGTCCTTCCTCGGCAGCTATCTCAAGCAAAGGGCAGCTCCGCTGGTCAACTTGACAATCGAGGTTGGTAGAGACCCTTACTTGACGAGGAAACGCAAGAAAAGCTTCTTTGACATGATGGCGGGTTGGATTGCGCCACACAGAGAGAGTCTAGAGGAGTTCAACTACATTGAAGATGCACCACATCTCTGCTGTCAGGAGAAGCGGAGCTGCAGGATCCGGGTTGAGCAAGACAGAAAAGTTTTTGAAGAAGGCATTGCTGTTGCGGATTTGCTTCAGCATCTATCAGGCTGCCCAAAACTGAGCTCTGTGACCCTTGACGTTTCTGGCGCGGCTCTGAGTCATTTTCTAGACCCACCGTGCAACTTCTCTTTCAGCGAGAAGCTGACCGAATTGGATCTTACTACTAGCTTCCAATTCACAAACACCTTCCTGGAGCATCTGAATGAAGGCTGCCCTTTTCTAAGAATCCTGTCTTTGAAAGGACAGTACGATTCAGAGACCAGAGAAGAACGTGAATGCACGTTCACTCTCAGTTTTCCGCAGCTCGAAACCTGCAAACTAGACTGGATCGTCGCATCGAAGGTCAAGATTCTGGAAGTTGTCATTCACAAAGGCGCATGCCTTGAAACCCTGTGCTTTCGAACAAGGTGTTACGGTCGCGAAGACGCGGGAATCATTATTTTCAAGGTCCAAGAAACTAAACTTCCTCGACTGAGGACTCTGGAGCTAAGAAATGGTCCACTGGAATGGAGCAAAAGCTATCCTAAGAGTCGCGCCAAACGTGAGGTCTCTGATCTTCAGAATGCGTACTGGAAATGGTTGGGACAAGTCATCTCAGACGCCGCTTGGATCGGCAGGACCAGCCGTTCTAATGGAGAGACTGAGCATCTCGACCCCTTCTCTCACTCGACTTCATCTTGCCGCTGGCAGATTGTGGGACAAGTCATGCACAGATCAGGACGTTGCAAACTATGCGTGGGCCCTGCCTTCTCTGCAAGCGCTGAAAATATGCGGATGTTCTATCGAAGACAGAAGTTCAACCTTTGAGGGTTTCCAGCAGCTCGAGAGGATCCTGGAAAGCTGCAAAGGATTGAAGACCATCGAGATTTGCGGGCGTCTGCTGGCGGGTCCGCTCGGAGCTCAGAGAATGCAAGAGCTCTTGAAAGGCTTCCTGAAGCTGCAAAGAAAGTTTTCCACAGTGAAGTTCCGGTTCAATTGGAAGGATGCATCTCGGGGCCAAGGGGCATAGCAAGGAGGCACCAGCTGGCTCGTTCCTTCTGGTCTCCGCAGCACAAGCACGATAGATGATTGGGGCTAGCAATCTGCTAGGTCTTAGACATATAAGGCAGACTCTGGTCCGAAGGAGCCGCTGGAGAGCGAACGGGTTTCCTGCGTCGAATGAAAGTAGGCCTGACTTCTGATACTAGGCTTGATGGCAGAGCTTGCTTGCAAAATTACTGTCGGGTCAAACAATTGCCGGTATTAAAGCCGCCAGATTAGATGGACTCAATTGGAGTTTGGAGTTTCTGGATTTGGTGAAGTATAAAACGAACTAGCCCACGCTGAGCAGATGAACGCGAGTATGGTACAGGGAGTCCGCGCTGCCTTGATCAAAGCTCCAAAACCAAGTTCTGAGTGAGATGCATCATGACATCGACGCTCCGTCTTGGTATTGCCAGTGATCAACCGTCTCGATTGTTCAAACTTATACGAGGGCCGCAATATAGGGCCGCAATGACTACCGATGTATTTCTGCAGACGTAGCGGCCCGGCCTAGTTTCTGCAAGCTGATAGTTTCGAGCCACTCCATGATTCTGGATTCATTAGAGCAATAACAAAGACTGCAACTCGGTTGATATCTGCGCGGCGCATATGAGCAAGCCGCGCAATATGTAGGTGCTATTGATCAGGATGGATTGATTGAGCCATGTGAAAGTGCATAATATCATGCTAGGACTGATTGAAAGCCTTTCCAGGATTAACATGGATCAAATTCGATGTAGTTGGTCAAAATAAAGGGCGAATTTAAGCCACTCGTCGCGTAACTGAAGAGGCCTATAGCCAGTTTCGGGAGTTAGCTAATTTGCCGTCGGAATTGAGTGACATTAGACTTACTTGCATGACTCCACATGTCGCTATGCATCCGTTCATAAGCTGTGCTAGATTTCTCGTAAGGTCAGATTGAGTCCGGACATGACTTACACGTAGCAAGCTGTAGAGTCAACAAACTATCCCGGGTCTGCCGGAGACCGTGCTCCATGGCTCTAACGTGGCTAAGGGCGTTAATAATCAATCATGAGAAGTTACCATCAAGCTATAGATATAAGTGGTTAAACAAAAGCGAGCTCGTCCATTAAGCAGAATCATGATCCTGGAATAAGGTTCAATGAGATCACATGGGCGGCATGCGGGTGGATGGTATTGAACAATTTGAGGACCTTACGTCATATATGGTACACTGTTCGCCAAACATTGCGTCGAAAGATGAAGTAACACGACAGGGTCATTGTACGATCTTTGCGCGAGCTTTTACTATCAAAGAACACACTCTATGCCCCAGCCAAAATACGATCCCACTACTTATCAACGTGTAGTCGTAACCAATTCGTGACCTTTTCAGGCATACCGATATCCTAACAGAGGACGGCCTTCCCCTATAGTATCACCTCTTCCGCATATTGTGGAGAACCGCAACCCGGTGACAACTCGTCGAGGATCTTCCAAGAGTCCGACAGCCGGTCAAACTCCTGCAAAGCAACCGGGCAACGCGTTAGCTAAAGAGGGGGCCTTTGGGCGTAAGTTGAGGTCCACTGTCAAACGAAATCAGGCTGCAAGGAAGGGGGATGGTTCCCAGATCAAACCCTGGTTTTCCTCAAGTGGTTGATATGCCTATGCCCAGATCAATCTTTCCATCAACAAGCTTTACAATGCAATAATCCCCTTTTCACCTCCTACGAAGCCTTGAAGGCGTAAAAACTCAGAAGCCGATTCGATGGACATTGAGATAGCCATGGGCTGTTCACAAAGGAAGAAAAGCTTGCGAATTGTCCGGCTCAGGTGTACTTCAGCGCGTTGCATTTTAACTGCCGTCTGCTTTGCTGCGCCGTAAAGGATTTGCGCCTAACAGACAGGTTTGCTGCTTTGAGTTCGTTCTGACCTCGAGCGTACAACGAAATGAATACATCCAGAAGGTCGACGTCAGCAGCAGATACGTCAAAGCAGAAGATCGTAATGTCACAGCGGTTTTGCATTTGGCCACCCCTAAGTAAGCACTCACCGACCGCAGCACGCGCAGTTCGAGAAGGTCGGCAAACGCGGAGCTCTCCATTGGGTCCACCGTCCACCGGTCGTCCCCGTCTTCTTGCCACAGCACCTCCACCTCGCACAGGGTCAGGTTCTGCAGCGGAAACAGAGTGTTTCTTACCGGACCTCCATTACTTGAGTCCCTTCTCTTCCGACGACTGGTTAGGTGCTCTCCTTTTCAGAGCCCAGGCAATCCCCGAGGCAAATAGGGACGACGTAGATTATGAGGTTGGACAAATGAGAAAAGAAGGGGACAAGGACAAGAGCAGAATGTACGGCACCAAATAAGGGTTTGTACGGCAAGAAACGTTTATCAATGGGAAGGGGCCTCCGGATCTGGCAAATCGAGCCGACTGCACTACAAGCCCTTAGAATGTTGAATGCAATAGAAAGTGTCGTCTCGAAAGACAGAGCCCCTATACTGGCCACTTCATTCTCCATCACGAAGACTCGTCATCTTACGTAGGACGCAAGCAGAGCAACACGATTTGAAGATGGGCGGCAAGAGTATGCTGAATGACATAATCAGTACAACAAAATCCGCTGCACCAAGCTCCACAAGGCGGATCCTCACCTCGGGGCTCAGTTTATGCTTGTCCCCTCGATCTGCAAAGAGCAACAAACGGATGAACGTCTTTAGCGTTTGTTACACAAGTTGCAACAGTCGTGTGTACAGAATGGTGTACAGAAGATCAGCGCAACTTTCCTCAGCCTTGGGACTGTACTTTGGTCAACCGCCTAAAAGAGGCTTTGTATTACTCAGACGGCTCCAGCGAACAAAATGCCATGTACGCAGCTGCTTGGTCGCCAATCGAACGAAAGGTACCTGGCAGCGCTATCTGCGTCTGGTTCACTGCTTTAAAGCGGCTTGATCAGATACGGTCGGCTCCCTTCCACACACTCCTGAATCGAGAACGTGGCAACCCTGATGCTGCTCGATGCAATTGTCCGATCAGATCAACGCCCGAGTTCGCCTCACAATCTGGCAAATAGGACCGGGAATCATGCCCGGCCCGAAACTCGGTTCGCTTCTGTAAGACCCTGAACATGACAATCGTGCGCTACATTGACCTTCGTCCAAAGAGAACTTAGAAACATACCGATGTTCCGCCCCACGATGAAACCAACGCCCTTCTCCCGGCCATCATTCATACGCTCTCGTGCAGCCGTCGACAGCGGGAACTCGACCACGTCCCCATTCTGTGCAAACGTTGGGCCGTCGTCCCCCGTATCCCCGTCACCGCCGCTTGTGGATGCCCCGGCGGCCACATCTCGGGCGGTCTGCTTCCGCGACTTCCTGCAAGAACCAGAAGAGGCTCAGCAAAGGAGACTCGTTGCTTCGAACTCAAGCCTCGACGCACGTTTCGGTCCTCGTGGGGGTCATAACTGGCTTCATTGCTTGACTAGGGCCATTTTCCCCCCCTGAAAGGACTCGAGGTTCTGACGAGAATCCTTGTCATGCATGGTAGAAGCTCTGGAGCATTGGATGCATCTTGAATGGACAGGAGGCACCGCAGTCTATATGCTCTTCTAAAACGACGTGACTATGTGTCGGGTGGACCATATGGAGAGCTATGATCTGCTCAGTGGTGCATGAGGATTTGCATTCAGAAGTTTGACTATTGGCCTGAGTATGTAAAGCTTGCAGGATACTCTCCCAGGCTCGGTAGCATACGAGGTATCTCTACAAGATTCTTAGATGAAAGAAGGTTAAGAGAAAGAAAGTCAAGGTTTGAGATATGATTGACGAATCCTCACTTCTTTTTCATGGGTTTGAACTCGTCCCAAACCTCCCAGGCGGAGCCACTGCTTTTATTCGGCTGGCGCTTGAGACCTTCCACACCGTACTGGTCATACAGCTTCCGCTGCTTGTCATCGACCAGAACCTGCACATTCAGAAGCGCGCAGTCTGAGGGGCATGTGATTCAAAGGGCGCGGTGATCGAATCCCTTCGGGTGCGGAATCAATCATCCTTGTGCCTCAATTCAACTTCAGTCCGGTTGAGAATCTCACCAAATGCAGGCCTGAGATTCCATGGTACTTTGTGGTGGCTCCTATGGCAAAGACATATGAATACCCAAGTCGAAGCCGTTCGACGCAAAGCAACCACTTTCGGTGCCACATTTACTCATTGTGTCACGTTGAGTTGCCTCAATCAGTCCTGGCAAACGAGCTTTGTTTCTGGTAGACTTTTAGATCCAGCAGCTAGCTTTCGGTGAGGACCTGAGTAGCATGCGGAGGCAGGTCAACAAGCACAGTAGCACCTACTCCCAATATCTTGCGAACTGACTCTTCTCTTTAAAACAGAGAATGCACTCCCACTTCATACCTCATAAGCGTTGCTGAGAGCCACAAAATTCTCTTGAGCCCCATCATCCTTATTCACATCCGGATGAAACACCTGCAAACCCCACCAGTCATCAATGACGAGTTTTCAGATCGGGGGGGGGACAGAGTGGTGCAGATCGATTGTGACTTTATCCTCCGTTGTTATCCTGGGGTGCTCTTGCTTTTTCAACCAAGTGCCACCGACTCAGAGATTATTGCAACATTGCACGGAGAGCTGTGCAAGAAGCAGCATTCGCTTGATTTACGAGACTTCTGTTAGACATGGGAAGCCATACCAGGGCTAGTTTCCGGTACGCACGTTTCAATTCCGCCTTGTCCACTCTTGTGCTCACTCCTAGGAGCCCGTAGTAATCATCTGCTGATACACCACTGTTTCCTGCCTGGCAAAGCACAGTCCTCCCCAGCTTTTTCCTACTGCTCCCTACATTCATGAGCAGATTACTGGGAAGAATGAGAGGCGCACTCAAACAATGCTGCTGCAAAGATGACTGCAATCTATCATCACGAAGACCACATGCGAAAGCTCTGCGTGTGGGGGACATCACAGATGTGGTTGTATCCTGCTCTTTGGACAAACTACGCCCAGGAAAAAGTGTGCAATTGTTGCACGGGAGTGCGCTCATTGTGGCAAGCGCAAGGGTGGGAGCCATGGTTCAAGAAGCAGAGCTTGAATGCCCCTCTTGCAGAGAGCTGTGCCCTTCAGAATAATCGCCAGCGCGCTTCAGACTCAGAGAAGAACCATACCTACCTACCTATCAAGGGTAGTTCAGGGGGCCATGCGCTCGTCCTTAAGCACATCTCAATGTCAGAAAAATCTGATTGAATTTGAAGTCTGAATTTTGAATATACGATGCGAGCAGCGAGCTACATACGGTACCAACTTACCCTACCTGACCCGTAACGCCGAGCGACCAGATTGCCCGTATACCAGTAGTCCGGGTCGCCAGAAGCGGCACCACCTGGTACATGTCTGAGCGGCGACGCAAAAGCATGACTTATTGGGCAAGGACCGCCGCGAAACCACGTGGCACGTGATTAGTTCATCTTATATTATATAGGTAGACGCCCGTAATGTACCAATTATTCGTTTTAGCAGGGCGTCGTCTCGTATAACGGTACACAGATTGACTTGCATCTGGATTTAGGTAATACTTATAAGGCCGCGCCCCGACGGACGGGTGGGGTTAGATGGCTCTGGTGATTTGAGGGTCTGTTTGAGAGCGGAGCGCGGCATAGGTACAATTTTCGGTCACGGTACCGTGCCAGAGACTCTAATGAAGGTTTTGGTTAGGCCGCTGCACCGGGTACTCTCTCAAGAGTATCGGAGGCCTATGGCTTGTATAAAGTTCACAATTTTGAGTAGGTATTCATGGCCAAGTACGGTATTCATGGCCAAGTACTTGGGCTCCTGCGTACGGTAGCAGGTATTACGGTACCTATAGGCTATACGGTATGTCCATTGGACAGGAACATTGGAAGGAGCGGCAGCACGAGTCACGACTCCCGAGTCCCGAGATGATTCGCGTGAGAGATGTCCACAGGTGGATGTAGGAAGCCTGTAGGCATCGTGTAAGAATTACTCTTGTAAGGGCGGGCGTAGCTGGGCACAGCTAGAAGGCCGCGAGCGTCTGGGCTGGGCAGCTGAAACAAGGAAAGGAGAGTACCCCTTGGCATCTGGCTTGGAAATATTGACGGAGCTTCAACCAGCTGAGCAAGATGTCGCCCGTCAACTCCAATGGTTTGATTGTAAACGACTCGCCGCTGCACCATTCGCTGACGCTTCTGCTGATCCAGTTGCTGATTATCATTGCGTTCAGCAGAGTCCTTGCTGTCGTCCTTCGCCCTCTGAGACAGCCCCGAGTCATTGCAGGTAAGGAGAGCTTTTTGAGCTGAGAGGAGGTTCCTCAGCTCACACGCTTTCTGAATGTCCAGAGCTTGAGCTCAACTGCTGAAAGTTCAGGGCTGTTGTAATTATTGATCTAGCGTCATTTGCATATAGGTCACTCGAGATGATGTGCAGCAAGGGCCTCTTTCCTTCAGCAGCATCACCACCCCTGTGACGTTGTCCTGGAAGGATGCAGGGATTAAAGGGACATTTCGTCAGTCATCTTTTTGGAAGTCTCTTGTCGTCTTTGCATGGATAGTCTCCAAGTCAGTGAATTTGAAGCCTATGTGAGACATGTGTGCTTAGTCCTAATCCTACTGTTGCTTGTGCAGAGTTGATCGGGGGCATCCTACTGGGCCCAAGTGTTCTCGGAAGGATACCCGGGTTTTTGGACCATGTCTTCCCGGAATCTTCCCTTCCAGTATTGGAGGATGTTGCGACTCTTGCGCTTCTATTCTTCCTGTGAGTACATGTGTTTAAATGTGTCTGCCAGAAGACCAAAGCCGTCAAAATGGACTGCGTCAAGGCGGATTGTGCTCTCATGATCACTTTCTGTTCCTGATTGGACACTGGTATACGATGCATTGCGATGATGGTCCTGTGAGCTGTTGGTGGCCCTCCTTGAAGAGCCACACTGTGGTTGAACCTGCTTTTCAAGCTACTATGGTTGGCTAATATGGTTGCAGTCCTGGACGGATGTACAATTGGACTCACTTATATGCCACCGTACAGGTTTCTCATTGGCCTTGAGTTGGACGTGAATGCATTGAAGACCGTGGGGCCCAAGGCTTTGGTCATCAGTGCTAGCGGAATCATTCTCCCCTTCGCATTAGCTGTCCCAGTAACTGTCTGCATCAAGGGGCTGGGTCTCTCCAGCGTTGGCTTCGGCTACCTGTACTTGTGAGCGATCCTGAATCTCAATTGCCCATTTTGATTGCTTTGCTCATTCTAGTCAGTGCAAAAATTGAGGACTTTACTTATTCCATAGAAAGTAGCTCTTTGAGTGAGCTACCCTGCAAGCGAAGCAGTGCGGATCCGCTGGAAGTGTAGCCTCTGCGAGGAGTGGTCGCATCGCCTGGCTTCTATGCCTATCCGCTTAGGATGTTAAGGCTTCCTTCTGCAGGTTCACGGGGGTCGCCATTGGGATCACAGCATTTCCAGTTCTTGCAAGGATTCTGGCAGGTGAGCACCTCTTGTTGACCGGTGCTGGCCGCATCCTCATCTTTATTCTGGACATACCCAATCTTTTGTTGGAAAAGTTTCACCGTTTCTCAGCATGTCTAGCTTTCAAAAATAGACATGGGAAGAAACTTTCAGAAGACTCGTTCCGCGTGCTTGGCGCATGTGCCCCTCAAAACTACAATGTCTCATCCTTGATTCGATCGTTGATTGGGTGCACACATTAGATGAAAGTTCTGCTCTCAGTGGTCTGCTGTTTTCCTACTTGCAGAGACCAGACTACTGACAACAGACATAGGACAAATTGCCATGGCGGCTGCAGGTGAGGCGCCACTTGAATGCTTCAAGTTCCGCACTGCTCATTCACAGTCGACACAATGGTGTTTGACATTTGAAGCGCTTAGTGATATCCTACCTTGTGTGATGCCTGAAGTTTTCAGTAGACGCTTATCATTGATGCAAAGTCTCCATAGGTCTTTGGGCCATGTGTGCTGGCGCAGTAATCTGCAAAGCTGTCGTACACAGTGTTCCTCAGGTTGCTAGCCTTGTCGATCAACAGGTTGCTCAACTTGATGGTCCCAAGAAATCATTCTGCAGTATAGTACCTACAGCTTATGCTCTCCCCAACCTTCAAACTCTGTACTCATCTCCAGTCCGCCTGACTGTCATCAACTTTGCAATTCTTAAATTTTTATGAAACCTTGGCTTGCTGTGACACATCTGATGATACCTTTTTGTTGTTGTTGAGTGCAGCTGCCGGGGACGTGGTTGCATGGTAGGCCCAACTTCGACTTACTCATTATGTAGTTTCATCTGGACACTGCCAGCAAAAGTGACGGACACTTGATCTACTGTGCCAACCTGTTTGTGACTGTACAAGCAGAAGCAGGAGCGTTCCATTTAAGAGGCATGGCTTTGCATTCCTGCTGTCTTTATCTGGAGCCAAGTTACTCATCGAGGAGATTCTTCTGATCAATAAGCTGTTTGAGGATGTGCTGATGCCTTAAAAATGATCTGACGGCTGTGCGAATAACACAGTCTGATTTGCCTGCAGGTGTCTCCTTGCACTGACTGTGGCAGTCCTGAATTCGAGGAACCAGAGCCCTATTGCAGGACTGTGGATCCTACTTGCTGGGATTGCCTTCATCCTCTTCATGTTCATCTTCATAAGGTAGGGCTGTCTATTGGACTGAATGCAACATCGTCTTTTGAGAAAAGTTACACAGATGCAGGATATTGTGGATGGATGCTCGATGAAGGATGATAGCTGAGTCCGTACCTGTGCGCACTTGAGTGCAGAAAAATTATCCTCAGCAGAGCAACTCACAAGTTCGCAACAGAAGACACGATGAACAACTTCTTTCAAGAGTACCATCGCCAATCGCTCAGTCGTTTTCTTCTTGCAGGCCCATCTTCCGTTTCATTGCCCAGCGCAACGACGAGCGGGGAGTGGTTTCGGAGTTCTCAGTTTGCCTCGCGCTCAGTCTGGTGCTTGTCGCCTCCCTCCTTACAGACATCATTGGCATTCACCCGATTTTCGGGTAAGACAGCAGCTCACTCCTTGTTTCACGCTGGCTTCTGTTGAAATATCCGGTTGCTCTCCCCAATTTTCCTATCCTACAAGCTTTAACTCGAGCTCTTCACCTATCGACAGACATTACAGGCAGCCTTGTTCATTGTTGCTACTTTTATTACCGGTTCCCTTTGCCTCGGTACTCAAGTTGGGATATTCAAACAGGACGTCGGAGTTCCGATCGAACTCTCCTACAAACGCCTACCCTTTTGAATATTGCAAAGTTAGGCAGTAGACGGTCTCGACCCTGGCATCTTTCTAAAAGACAGGCGCGTTCTACGGCCTCTATGCACCTCTATGCGCCTCTATGCAGGGGAAGACCATACAAGGTGCTGACATCGACTCTCTGGTCAAGCATATCGGCAAGAATTCTCGCAGCTAATAACGTATGGGAGCCTCTTTCGATTGTGTTCAGCTGAAAATGCGGGAATAGGGTAGAAAGAACAGCGGAAAAGGGAATTCAAACCCCTGCAAGCGGATGACGATTCCGCTCTTTTATTTAACCCAACTATTCCGCCAACGAGCTGAGCCGAACTATGTGCTGAGCATATGCGTACTACAATCTTTCAAAACCAAAGGGGACCTCGTCTAACGAAAAGGACTGAGCGCGAGCATCTTTCCTCCCTGCAGAGCGTTCGTTGCAGGCATGATGATTCCCCACGACTCAGCCTATGCAGTGGCGTTAACGAGCAAGGTGGAGGACTTCATTGCTGTCACCTTGCTCCCAGCCTACTTTGCAGTCTCCGGACTCAAGACCCAGGTGCGACACCCCTGGCATTGACAAGTCTGTTGAAGCGGCCCGTGTTTTTCCACTTTTGCAAACTACTGTTACCCCCTTCTCCAATTCCCCCTTCGACAAAGCCTGTCGATCGTAGTGTAAGCCGCACACCGGAGATCACGATCATTGTGCAGGCTTGCCGCCAGTTCCCTCTTGAGGTTTTTGAGCTCCTTGCAAGACATACTGTGAGCAGCACACTGCATCCTACGCACCTACTCTCTTCAACAAGATTCCTTGAAATGTTCTAGTGGTGGCGTCTTAAGCGGTTGGTGTCATTTGCAGATTGCGTCTATCAACTCCGGGAAGGCCGTGGTTGCCATGTTCGTCATCATTTTCGCGGCCTGCTTCGGCAAAATCGTGGCGTGTACCGCAGCAGCCTGCGCCTTCAAGATGCCCTTTCGCAAGAGTCTGGCGATCGGTCTGCTCATGAACTCCAAGGTGAGCGCCCCCAGAAGCACCGCTGAGTTGCACGCACGTGTGGGGAAAAGTTTCGGGCAAAGCGTAACGAAGTGAAGAAACCTGCGTGAACTGCTCAGACGTGTTCAAGAGTGTTGCCTATGTAGTTTCCTCCTTTACCAAAGTGCTGGGAGGCTTCCGTCGACTTGCTTCTGCAGATTTTTGCGCTTCGTTGCCCTGCTAATGCCTCTTGTAAGATTTGCAGGCGATGTTTCACTATTGGCATAGAGGACGAGAAGGTCGCTAGCGTAATCATACCAGAGCTTCGGGCTGGGCATCCACCAACGAGGCAGCAGCATTTTTGGATTACTAGACCCACGTTGATCCAGTATGAACGCAGCGGAACGGAAAGAATGCACTCTAATGGTGTCTGACGCCTTAAGTTACTTGTACCAGGGGCTGGTGGAGCTCATCGTGCTCAACGTGGGCCTCCAGGCGGGCGTGCTGGATCAGCAGCTGTTTGCAACGTTCGTCATCATGTGCCTCGTGACCACTTTCATGGCCACCCCCCTGTAAGCACTCCTTACTTGTTTGCCGGCCGCATCTGTGAAAGATACGCTCAGGCTCGTGATGCTTTTGTATTGCAGAGCCTTTCGTTTGTCAGAAGCTCAGTGCCGAGGAGTTCAACAAGACCTCAAAAGTTAGATGTAGAATGCTTTGGCAGCTCATTTATGCGCTTTCTTTTGAACCGCGACTGTAAGGCCGGCCGTACCGATTCTCAGCATCTGGATATGAGAACACCGTCGCTACTTAGGGCCGGGCGCTTTATCGACTCAAAATGAAACGGTCTGCATCTTGACAGGGACGTGAAAAGCAGAACAGGTTTTCCAAAACCAGTATATTCGTGTCCCATCATCCCTTACAATTCTAACAGGACGGTCCCAAATGGTTCAGACCGGACGGTTCTGAACGCTCATGACTCTCGTGCTCACTTTTTTTTGCAGGGTCATGTGGGTCTACCCCCCTGCCCGGTTCCAGAAGCAGACTCTTGCCCCGGCCCAGAAACTTCAAGCCGTGGCACTGGACCACAAACCGGTCCGCTTGCTGGCGTGTCTCTACGGCCGGAACGACATCCCCGGAGCTGTTAAGATCACGGAGCTGGCAAAGGGCTCGGATCAGCAAAACCTCCGGGTGCACGCACTGCATCTTCAGGAGCTGTCGGAGCGGCCGTCGGCGATCCTGACAATGCAGCGGTGGGCTGGCAAGTAAGTGGATCTTCCATCTCAGATGACATTTATTATTTACAGCTGGCCGTGCAACTCATGCAAAGTGCAACTACTCCCTGTATCACATCTCCTCTGACGCCTCTACAATTTCAGGTTCCGGTCTCCAGGGGGAACCTGTCGTTTGAAAAGATAGATTCCTGCTTTGGACGATGATTACTGGGTTATTCTCTTAATCTCTGGACTCAATGGTGCCTCTCGGTCCTCCCCGTCTATAGTAGTCCCTTGGCGAGCAGAGTTATACCACTCTTTGATCAAGCCGAAGCGGTAATCTACATAAAGAAGGGACGTGGCACTCTGTCAGAACCATAAGAGTCGTTCTTTCGCCCAGAAACACCATTTGTTCTCAAGCTCGCTTCAGATGGTCACACTCTATCCCTGTTTCCCGCAGGGTCTCACCGGCGTTCGGCATGACCAACGTCGGCCTCACGTTCAAGTCCTTCGGCGACCTCGACACCAAGGTGCCCGTCACCTCCTCGGTGGCGATCTCTTCCCTTACGAGCATGCACGAGGACATCACCGCAGCAGCAGCCCGCTCGCAGAGCAACGTTATCCTGCTGCCCTACCAACCGGCGGGCGCCATCGGGAGGCTCCTCGACTTCCCAGGAGGCGGGTTGGATCAGGTGCGTGCAGTGCTTGTCAATCCTGTTACCGTCTGACCTCATCTTGGACTCCAATCTTTGGCGGACTCGTGAGAGGAGGTCGTTTATGCATCCTTGAACGGTGCATCCGTGCAGTAATTTGCTGTTCAGGCTCGTTGAGGTTGTTTTAGATTACTTTTGAGCGGTCAGTAAAAAGAATCATAAGCAGAGTTTCAGTTAAAAAGTGGCTCCTTAGAGCAGAGACGTGAGGGAACAGTGAAGTCCCACTAGACTCAGCCTTGTCTGAGAGTGTGTTTTGTTGATATAAAACAAGCTAGACCTCTGACTGATTTCCTTCCTCTTTTGGCGGCCAGATCACGTCCCAGACCCTCAAGACCGCCCCCTGCACCGTCGCCCTCCTCGTGAATCGCACCGAAGCCGGCCCGACCTCCTCCCCGGTGATCTCCCCCGAGCGCTCCATCGAGAACGGCGTCACGCGGGCGGTTATGCTCTTCTTCGGCGGCCCCGACGACCGGGAGGCCCTGTCTCTGGCGGCGCGCATCGGCGGCCACCCGCAGGTCGAGCTTACCGTCATCCGCTTCCTGCCCAGCGAGGCCTGGGCGCTCGCGCTGCAGCAGAAGGCGGCCGCCAAGCAAGCGGAGGAGAAGCAGGAGTTGCTCGCTCGGCGCGCAAGCCAGGGAGACAGCGCCGGTGAAATCAGCTCGGGGGGATCCCCCGAGCAGAACGCCGAGGGCAAGAAGCCCGTCATCGAAGACGAAGTTGCGCCGGCGCCGAAGGCGGTGGAGTTGAAGGAGCTCGCGCGGCGGACCAACCTGGGTGCGGACGACCGGACGGCATCGGGGTCGTCCGAAGCGAGCGCGGTGTCCGTGGTGATCGACCGCCTGCAGCCGGACAAGGAGCGCGCGCTGGACGACGCGGCGCTCGCATTTTTGTACGCGGAGGCGAAGCGGGACCACTCGGAGGGGCGGCGCGTGCGCGCCAAGTTCGAGAACGTGGAGCTCGACCAGCAGAGCGTGTGGTCCGCAGTCAAGGTGAGTTGGAGAGAGTTGCATAGTAGTGTGTTTTGCTGTTTTCTTTGTGGGGTGGATGTCCCGAGCGGATTCCTCTTATGGTCGGGGTTGGACTTGTGTTGGGGGAATGCTGCCGACGAAGCCCGTGTGTTGCTTGTGTTCGCTATCATTCCTATGCTTTGACGCGTTGAAATTTTTTACTGCCGTATGAAGGGCTAATCTGTAGTCTAAATACTAGCTTTGAGATGTGCCTGCTTCGTTTCCTTAGATTGATCTCTTCTGTGTGCAAGTTGATTCAGCTCCGTTCTGAAACTACTTGGAATCTTTTCCCTACGAGAAAGCGTGGATTGATAAGGCGAACAAGGAGTCTTTTCAGTGTTATGTTTTAATTGGTCTTTTCTCGCTTGTTCAAACTGAGCGCCTAGAGTATCAGCTGTTTCAAGCGTACAGGAAAGTAGATTCTGCCGGTTAAACACACCATTCATTTTTGCCAGGCCATCAAGCTGCACCAGTACAACCTCATCGTCTTCGGCCGCAACCTCGTCCGCCCCCCTCCGATTCTGACGCCAGAGGACGAAGGCGCCACTCTCACCCGGGGAAACTCGTTCAAGTTGATTCGTGACAGCCTCAGCGCAGCTGCATCCGGTTGGACCAACACGGACGTCCGGCCGATGCTCGGCCCGGTGGCGGACAATCTGTTCAAGTCCGGCGTGATTGAGCAGGCTTCGCTGCTCGTTGTTCAGGATAGCGAGTCACGCTAGAGACTCTACGGAAGGACTGTCATGTGCTTGACGCTTTTCGTCTCTTTAACCAATTGTGCAAAAGCAGAATGCAGCAGCAGATACAAACGAGCATTGTGCAAGGAACATAGGTCGGACATGCCCCAAGGACCGCCTGTACTTTGCCAGCGAAAGCGGGTAGGATATTATTCGCAAGAATTACGTTCTAGTTGATTAGTGTCGGATTAATCTCATTTGGAACACCCTTGCTTCTCGGGAGTTGAGCAACAGGAGCTGAAGGCTTTGTTATCGGAGCAGGGTTTGTTGCTTTCACAGATTCTTTCAAGGTATCCTCTCTACAGTAGTTTGCAGTCTCCCGGAGTTGCCAACTGTATATAGCGGCTGTAACAAGACTCGTTAAGACCCCTTGGATTATATCCGCGAGCTTGAAACGCGTTAATTCAAAGCTTTCTTGAATCCACGCCCAAAACAGGCAAGCGGGATAACTGCATGGCAGTCGATATAAAGTCGCACGTCTGTCCATCAAATTACGCATGATGGAGAAATTGTGGTCCGCTTCACTCGATCTATCGCTGCACTGCACAGACACTTCACACCGCTGTGGAAATTTGAATTCTCTATAGCTGGGCAACCGCGACGTTAGTACACACTGACATTGTACCACATTAGTACACACTGATCGTACCAACTTGATGGCCGCAACGTCGAGGTACATTGAATACCGACTTGATTAATAAAGCTAGCTTGGAACACGATCATGCTCGACAATGCCTGGTAGGAGATCCGCGATCGACATAAGCTTTACCGTTTAGTATGCGCTTTCGCCTGCATGTTACTTTCCTCTTAGGAAAGAGAAATGTAGGTCTAATCGATTATGCGGCTACAAGTTGCATCATATAATCGTTCAATCGTTGTCATGCCGTGATATATCGTTGCTGTAAGGGCTCGACCCTAAGCTACTTTTGTTCCCCACACCTAGTTCCAGCCTGCCGCTCTAGGGTGATCCCCCTGAGCCTGAGCTTCAGAACGCTGCATATCTGCTAACAGGCGTGCGCTTGATATTTGCGCGCCGCCGTTACGATCATAATTCAACCGTATGACTACATATTTCGGCGGTTGATAACCGCGTCCAGTCACGGCGGTAATGCGACATCGACTACACGCGACTTGTAGACTTCCTAGGCTAGCTGTAGACTCAGACTACTAGTGTAGACTTCGCGCGATACCACTAGATCGTAGTGACTCGACTTCGACTCTAGACTCGACTCAGATATTCCGACGACAGCGAGTATAACCTAGGAACATTCGACTCATTCGCCAACTTTGTGCGAGCTGTGTTTTGGAGACATCAGCGCTCCCTTGGGATCATAGATGATGTGTATGATGCATATGAGTGACATGAGATGCCATGTATTCTTCTTTTAGCCGAGTGCGCCGAGACTTGTCTGGTATGTTATCGACATGTTACCGCAACGACCCAGGACCGCGTGACATCGTTGCAATCGGAACCGCGGCCAATTATAAGAGCACCAACTGCGGAAAGCCTACCTACGCAATCATTTGCAGCCATGCATGACCAGTGACTGCACTTACGAGGGTCCGGCTTGTACTGTAGCTTAAAACGGCGCCCCTTAATTCGTGACCTAGGTGACCGATTGTAAGTGATGCTCAACATTGGCAGAAGAACCTGTGGCGTCATGTGACCCCATTTTGCCTGCAGGTAATTGTACATGCCGATGCTCAAAGTCACGCCCGCCAGCTCATTAGGGACCTTGTACGTCACGCCGATAAGAACAGGATGTCCCAACCCGTGACCAGCTCTTACCTCACTTTTGGAAGTCACTCACTCTTAGCGAGCCTAGCCAACTCTCAAGATCGTTTGCGGACAGCAGATCGCCTACAAAATTCCCAGCGCTTTTGCTGGGTTTCCCTCCTGTCAAAGCTTCCTGCCCCTCATTTGAAGAGGCCGCGTCCTTAGGAAGCAATTTCTGTTCCGTTCCGCCGTCATAGGCGCCATTCGCGGTCCGACCTTGCCGTACAACATTGGGATCCGACGACTGCCCTGAATCTAAGCTTCGCTCCAGGAACGAAGCACGCACGGACGGTTCCACACCCTCCTCTTTGGATCCATGACCAGCTTCGGACGTAGGGTACCCTTCGCTTTCGGACGCACCACTCCCGGAACCCGAATCCCCGTCCGAAGACTCGTAACTCCCGCTATACTCCGAGCTCTCGCTGCGCAACTCATCCGAAACTTGTCGCGTTTCTCCTACCATCTCGCTCCCGTCTTTCCCGTCCGTTCCGATTCCGTAAGCCTCGCGCGGCGCCCCAATCTCCGGCAAAGCTTGGTACCCCGGGGCAGTATGGTTCGCCTCGTGGGACATGGTTCCAACCAAAAACGCGGACCGGTCGGGAGCAATCTCCGGGGGCCTCGAGGCGGGTTTCGGCCGGAGCAACAAGTTCCGGACCACTTCTTGGTCCGCTAACCGGTCTTGGTCATCGTTAACCCTGCCACTAACCTGGCCCCTGAAATCCTGGTCATTCTCTTTCCCATCGGATCCTAAGCCTGCGCCCAGCTCCAAAGGCTGTTTCTCAATCTCGGACGACGCCGTCGGGGGAGGTTGGGATTCGCTAGGGGTGCGCTCAGTCGGAAAGGCTAAGTCGTGCGCGTTTAAAAGGCGCCGGAGAAAGCGGGCCCTGTCCCGAATGTCGACGCTGCTGTCGTACTTGGCAAGGGTGAACGCGTGGTGCAAGAGGAGCCGTTCGTGGGGCCTCTGCCCTTCCGATAGGCTGAGCCAGTACTTTGAGGCGAGCTCCAGAACCTGCAAAGCGAAACCGGAACATCGGGTCACTTTCCGTTGAGATGCCCAGATCCAGGCGTGGTTCCAATCATCCCAGAAGAAGAGCTAAGATCATGCCGAAAGAATACTTGCGAGGGAACGTCGAATTCCTCGAGGCTCTCCACAGTCGTGTTGCATTAATAAGAAGGAAAGAAGAAAAGGAAAGCAGAAAAGGGCAGAACAGAAAAGGGCAGAAAACGTTCTCTGAGAGATTTCTGAGATTCTACAGTGGGCTTGACTCATTCGTGGCGCAAGCTAGCTGTAAATCCTTGGCTCCTCGAACCAGTAAACAGCCGGCCGTGCACTCTTTTCATTCTGCAAGAAACGGCTTCATCTTGGGCTTTCGGAAGACGCGTCTTGCGTGATTCTCAGCGTGATGAAAGTGATTCGGTTGGCCACAGCAACCGTGGGAAGTCGAGCTTGACAGAATGTAATCAGACGAACTGCTCAGAAAGCAATCTCTTCCATCACCAATCAATTCAAGCACAGCAGCAGCCCGAGTCGCGCTGGCAACGAGATGATCGAAGTAGCGTCACAACCGTTCATTCTTCGAATAAAGGAGGAACTTGCAAAACGCACAAGAGGTGCAGATTTTCATTCAACCGAGCAATTATTTCTTATCTTGCACGCCAACGATCGGGCTAAACTGTCACTCTATGAGTTGAACGATGTCGACGGGAACGGTTCCACGTCCCTTAATCTCAAACAATTGTTGATCTTCCTTTTCGAAATCTCGATTTGGAGAACTTTCGGAGCATCATGACACGTTGACACGTAACAGCAAGTCCTCACCGCCAGCTTAACCACGTCCTCTTCGGCGGCAAATCTCCCGACCACAAACCTTAGAACCACGGGCGTAACCCGCTCCCAAACCCCTTCCCGTCCGCACAGATCCGCCAGGAGCGCCAAAACCGCCGCTCGCGCTTCCGAAACCTCGATTCGTTCGAGGCCGGTAACCAGCTCCACAGCCGCAAAATCGAACTCCTCCGGACGGGTCCGGATCAGCCCGCACAGTACGGACACGCTCTCGGACACCACGAGTTCGTTTCCCGGGGGGCTGCCGAGCGCTGTCCGCGTCTGGGAAACGGACCCCCCCAGCGGGGCAGATGCGGCTGAGACGATCCCCGCCCGAGAGGCGTTCTGTAACATCGAGTGCGGTGCGTTTCCCAACGGAGCTTCCGTTCTTTGCGACGCATCCGTTCCGCTGCCTTTCGACGGAACACTTGGAACAGCGCCCCCCGGTTCACTTCTTCCGGCCGAGCTCGCCTCGCCGTTCCGTTCCGTTTCCCCCTGCCCCTCAGCGGACTCGCTCCGTCCGGAGCCGGACGGACGGTCCGTACCGGTCGCCTTTTGCTCTCCGGACAGAGCCAGACTTAGTAGGCCCCGTACGCACCGGACTGCAACGGTGGGTACCTGGCGGGCCAGCTTCCCGAGCGCGCGGACGACGGACGCGACGAACGCGGCGTCCGCATCGGTGACGTAGACCTGCGAAAACGGTCAAAGCTTTGTTGCATTTGAGGACTCTGGACAGATTCTGCTTCTTGTGCTTTCGTTCTTCTTTGCCTTCGGTAAGGTATGACTCTCTCAACATCTCATCGCGGGGCTTCGGAGCAGGCTGGCCGCTAAGGCACGTCTGCTCAGCCCCTACTAAATCAAATCACGACGAGTCACACCTTTCTCACTTTTCAAGAAGTAAGACGAATGTTTGCGTAATCTTGTTCTTACCTTTCACTGGGCTTCGTAACATACTAGATACAAGCATTAACCTAACCTTCCCTACTCGAGGCGCAACGACTTACGGCCATTTAGAACCAAAGGCCTGTGGGCGGACAGATTGTACTTGAAAAGTGCTTTCAGCATGCCCTAGATAGCGGTTCGAAAAGAGGACACGTCGAAAAGGGGTTCTCAGAATATTGGTGGTAACACGCTGGCCAGCCTATATAAGCAAGCTAAACAATCCTGCTGCCTTGAGTCGCCACACTGTCTTTCTTCGTCTTGACCACATTCCCACGACAAGCTCTTGATTCTAAATGACGCACAGCAGCTTGCCTCACCTGTAGCTCCTTCAGAACCGAGTTCACGCTCCCCTCTCCCGCCACGGTAGTCAATACCTCCAGCTTCAGCTTCCGCACAAACAGGGGGTCCCCCGCCCTCACAAAGAACCGCCGGACCTCCCCCCGAAAGAGAGACGGGCGCTCCCGGGCCATAGTCGCGATCGCGCTTAGCGCTAGGTATTGCGTCTCCCGGGGGGATGACCTCAGCAGGAACGTCAGCGGTTTCACGACCCGGGGCAACTCTTCCGGGAGGGCCAGATGCCAGTGCAGAACGGCGGCCCCCAAAACCACCCCGCTGTTGCGACTGGTCAGCAGGGGGGAGGAGCAGTACAGCAGGAGGCGCAGCTCGGGGGGTACGGAATCGTTGGCGCCGGCACCCCCCTGGAAAGAAAGTTCCGGCGCAGTGGCTTCGTGTAATGAGTCCGGCCTGACGATTGCCGGCAGGGGGTCCGGTACGCCCGCGTAACCAACCCCCCGAGGCTCTCCACCGCCTTCGAAGTAGAAGCTCTCAACAGACGCAGATTCGGACGGAGCCGAAACCGCGCTACTCCTTCGCCGGTCCAGGGGTTCCCGGTTTGCGAAGTTGCCGTCAAGCTTTTCTCCACGGGTTGTTGTGCGACCCCTCGAAGTGCCTGGTCCATCCATACTCCGACCTTCAACCCCGCCTTGCCGATGCGTCTCACCTTCTGGAGCCCCATCATTTCTCACTTCGTTCACACCCGTCTTGGAGCCTCCCTCGCCATCACGCCCCTCCCTTCCATCGCCTAACCCGCTTCTTAACCCGTCTCTGACCACACTTCCCAAGGAACTCCCAACCCGCTCCTGACCGGCTTCTCCCGATTCGGGGGGGTGGGGAAACATGACCCGGGCGCACCGCAGCAGGGCATCCAGCACGACGATCTGCCCCCACTCCTCGAGGTCCGGCAGCATTTGGCACAGCCGCGGAAAGTGCCGAGCGAACGCGCCGAGCGTGTCTGGGGCGACGGAGCGCAGGGCCGCGGCGGCGGAGCCGACGACGGACGGGGACGCGTCGCCCAGGAGGGTGGTCAGGACGGCCTGCGGGGAGGATGACGTCAGCAGAGGGACGATGACGTCAGCAGAGTTGTCGCCGACTAGTTTCAACCCTCCTTTTGAGTTTTGCTCTTGATTGGCTTATCCCGCGGACAGGTAAGGGACTATGAATGAAGGCAAGCTTTGGCTCAGGAGGGCAGTGAGATGGTTATGAAGAACGAGACTTGTCCAGGTCGGTTTTTGTTTGGAAATTTACCAGAAAATAATATGCGAAGCGAGGACCTCTGGACGTGTCGTCTGACCGGACATGAGGTGGCATCGACCACAGCACATTGCCAAGTAAAGAACAGCTGATGGATTCGCAGTAAATGTTGTATCGGCTCACTAACATACTGACGTCAGTACGTTTCATATTGTTTTACCACAAGTACCACCCCCAGCCAGCTTTACACTTGCTTTCCTGACGTCAGTGGTTTACTGCAAAACAACAGTTAACCCTTACACTATCATCAGTATCACTGATCAATGGTGCCACGTTTGAATACTAACTTAGACTTGGCCTTACCTCCATCGGAGGCCCATATTGGACAGGGTCGAGGGAGTGAAGCTTGAGCACCGCGTGTGCTGCGCACCGGCGCACATATGCGGAGGCATCCCTGGAGCATTTCTGAAATCACAAACATGGAAACATTTTGTTGGTGACACCTTTTTTGTGGACACTGATGAAAACCCCAACACACAACGAGAGACATGCTTTCAAGCGACAGCAGTGGACTCGGGCTGCCAGTATTTCGACACCACCAGACGAAAGAGACATCTCTCAACTCAGATGGATGAGCGCAGTTCATCGACGCATGGGAATGCATCCATACTTATCTCCACAGGCACAAGTGCAATACTTACTAACCAGAATAGCAAGCGCGAGCAAGCGCAGACGGAATCAGGCTCACTTGAACAGCAAGCACGGCCAGAGGCGCCGCCACTCTAACCCGGATGCCAGTCAGGGCGCGAAGAGCCAAGGCCCTCACGGTGGGGTCTGGGTTTGAGAGGTCCTTCTGGAGTGTGTTGATTGCTAGAAGGGCCTCGTCGGGTTTCTTCTCCGCATAGTGCACGAGATACATGTACACCAGCTTCTTGACTTCCAGGGACGGGGTGGCGACGTTCTTAACGACCTGGGAGAGACGTGACATTCTTGTTTGGTGAAAGCTTTGGTTTTCTGATTCAGAAACTATTTTTGAATATGGATTCTGCACGAGCGCAAGGAAGCTTTAGGAGCGGAAGAATATGAAGTGCTGAAAACCAGATGGCGATACTGAAGTCTGGCTAAAGCTTCATGAAGTGAATCAGCGGAGAAGGAGACCGCTGCTCGTGGAGCATTCAGATCAAAAAGTAGACTCTCTCTATGCAGAACATACCCAACCGACTCTAAGACTTCCCCAGTCAGTGGGATTCCTCAAAAGGCATTTGACGCATCTTCTAATCACCTCCCAGTGTTTGGCTGGCACCACCGTCCGTTTCTGCGAATTTTGGCATCTGGACTCTGAACCAAAGGGCGCAAAAGCAATCACGCATCCACGCTGATCGCACAGTCCTCTTGCGATTGCACCATTAGACACACAAATTACTACGCAATTGGAGGACTCACGGAATGCACCATACACAAGAGGCCAGTTGATTGTTCTTGATACTGGTCATTCCTCGCAAAGGCTTCCCCTCTCGTAAGGAGATAAGGCATAAAGAAGGAGACAGACGATGCTCTTGACATCACTAAAAGATACTCAAATCAGTGGCATACTTTGTCATAAGGATAACGAGATCACACCATCAACGAAAAGTTTCAGAATGCTTGTCCTGGAACGAACATTAACCTTCTGTGCAGATTCTATCTAGTCCCTGACACTTGTCCAAGCGGGGGCACAAACAAACACTTCATCCTAAAGAGGTTCAAAAAGAGGTTGAAAAAGTCACACCACCACCAAAGCACACCTGAGGAAAGTACTCCGACACATCTTTGCCAAGATTGATCAGCGCAATCGTGCGCTTGAGCCCTTCAACTTTTTCCTCGACGTAGCGGCTTTCCAGAAGGGGCGGAATTGCCCTCTCCTCCGGTTCATCGATATACGCAGCATCCGAACCGACCCGGCTGAGCAGAGATCCGGCCCGCAAGAGGGACAAGGCCGCTGCATTGCCCGCGGAGCTGGTCCAAGCTTGCATCCTTGACCAATTCTTGAAGATGATCTCAACCTACTTTGTCACAGGATTGTGCGCGAAATTACATGCTTCAACTGGACGAGAAGAAGAACCCTGATCGTCATGCTCCCAAAAAAGTGGATCTGAATATGGTGCTCTCAATGTTCCAAGCGCACAGCTTCTTCCAAACAAAAAGATGTTGGCTGAAATGTTTTCCCTTCCCTGGCACCAGCGTTCCTATTACATAGCATTAAACCAGAGTCAGGGGACTTCTAGACTTCGAAATGCCATTGCAAAACCTGAGCAGCCTGCTACTAGTAGGTAGTACAGGTCGTTGAAACCCTAACATCTCTGTTTTGGTGCACCCCCCCGGGTGCAGACCTGGTATGTTTGATAGCGCGCGGTACTCATGCAGGCAGGTTCTTCGCAGCCCCCTTTGTTTGTCCGAAAAGTTGCACCCCCTGGTGAATGCTTACCTTGTAATTCCATAAGGCCCCCCCTACTCGCGTAGTGGAGCTTTTGTTACTACGGTACTCTAGGCAGAGACATGGGAGAAGAGAACGGTGGTTACAACTCCAAAGAAGAGAGGAGCCCTGCTGCCCTGGGCGGTCGCTTTTTAAAAGGCTCCATGCCCTGCATGGCTCTGTAGCGCAGGGAAAGGGTTGGGGCCGCTGGCTGGAAGCGGCGTTGTAATGGCTGGCTGTCTTTGTTGAAGGCGCTGCCAAGACACGTGATTCGTCGCAATGGCTCAAGCAGCGGCAAGGTTCTCGTCTGCTGGGACTGTCCTTACTCCCGTTGGACAGCACGTCTCGTCATCTGAAGCCTGGCGGGGCACAGGAAAGGCAGCAAAACCCGCCCGCGCATCCCTCAAGGAATGCAATAAATTTCTTAGGGGTTCATTTCCAGGGAACGTATTGAAGGTCGACTCTTTGACACATCGTCAGCCAGTCACTTCGCAGAGGTCGTTAGGAGCTCGCGCCCGAGTCGCTACAAAAGGAGAGGTGAACGTTGGGGAGGAGATACGGCTGCTAGCGCGGTATCCCGACCTTCTCAAGCGACAGGAGCTGGACATTGAGTTGCCTATGCACCAACCCCGCTCGGGCAATGATAGTCTCCTAGATATCCTAGTGGTAGGGGCGGGGCCTGCCGGCCTATCTGTTGCGCAACGAGCCTCTGCTGCGGGTTTGAGGGTTTGCTGCGTTGATCCAGGGCCAAAGTCGATCTGGCCCAATAACTATGGGGTGTGGATCGACGAGTTTGAGGCAATGGGGTTGACGGACTGCTTAGACTATACATGGCCGAAGGCGCGGGTGTGGCTGGACGGGTCAGATAAGCGGAGCTTGGACCGGCCGTATGGGAGGGTGAACAGGAACAGGCTAAAAACAAAGCTCTTGGAGGGGTGCGCTGCGAACGGAGTAACCTTTTACGAGGCTAAGGTGCGCCTGCATTGCTGCGGCAAGCTTTTGTGCATCTGCAAATTTTAGAAAGCGCTTTCAATGCGCCGTGCGCAACAGAGACCCCAAGCATTGCGCTGGCATTGACAGCATCGCAATCAAGTAAACTTCTCGGTTTCCATTCTCTAAGGGCGCCGATCGGAAAGTTTACATGAGAGTTCCCTGCTTTCTAGGGTTATCCTTGTCAGGCTGCGAAAACTATCCTTAAAAGTAGCAAGCGCTTTCCAAGGTCAGGCCCCTCTTGCAACGACAGCTCCACCTCAGTGTAGGAACGTCTGGTCGTCTTTATTCTGACGAAGGGCAAACTGTCAAGATGCCCCAGAGGAGCTTCTCTCGGAGCTATGGCACTCTCACAACACAAGCCCGAGACTTTCACGAAGAGGAAGTGTCGTCCGCAATCGGCAGAATGGATTCTCCTGTGCACCAATCGCACTTGCCTCGGTTGCAGGGTATCCGGAGAGGACCTGGTTTGTTCCAATAGACAAACTCACAAGCCCCATACTCTTTTTCATCCCAGGTAGAAGGAGTCGTTCACGATGATGCAATCTCAACGATCACGTGCAGCAACGGCACGGTTCTTTCAGCGCGCGTTGTCGTGGACGCGAGCGGCCACTCTCGGAGCCTGGTCAAGTATGACCAGCCGTTTGATCCAGGGTATCAGGTGGCATATGGGGTTTTGGCAGAGGTACGGCGCTTCCTATGATGGTGGTCTTTTTGGTTTCAAAATGTTTTTCCTGAGGACCAGATGATTCACGAAAGGAAGGGAGACAAGCTCAATTACTCACTGCCTCCTTGACTTACTGATTCCTTGACTATAAGCCCTGCAGTTCTCTGTTGATGCGCGGAAGCATGTGAGGCGCTAGCAGCGTAGGTCTTCCGAGAGTCGTTTTGTGTCATAGCGCTAGCAGCGTAGGTCTTCCGAGTGAAAGACCTCGGAAGGTCTTTTGTGACATAGCGCCTTCAAGCAGAAGCTTGCACGAGCCAGCGGCCTTCACAATATTCGAATCAAGCTCAAAACATTTGTCAGCAGCCAAGTTCGGCAAAGGGTCAAATGAGGCACAGCATCTGTAAAGACTGATATCAACGGGCCCGCTCAATTCATCTTTACTTCGAATCTCAATTGCTGGAACAGCTGACATACCAGACTGGATTCCTTGAATGTGTGCTCAATCGACCAATTTGCACGAGACCCTGTCCTCAGTGGGGATAGGCCGTACACTTCAGGGCCGTCAGGCTTTGGCCAGCTGTGATGAAACATCACATGTTGTGCTTCATACAACGCAGCCGAAGGACTTGGTTTTTACGCTAACCAAGTTCGCCTCTAAATCTGGTCTTTGTTTTGACTGGAGTCAGTGCTTGGCTCTGTCCAAGAAAAGCCATCGACCTGCCTTCGAACAGTGACTCTCCGAAGTTCTCCCTGTAGGCTGACATAATGAAGCCTGATGTCGACGTTACTTTCACAATTGCAGGTGAAGAGCCACCCTCTAGAACAGGACGCTATGCTCTTCATGGACTGGAGAGATACGCACTTAGATCCGGATCCGCAGATGAAGCAGCGGAACAAGGAGCTGCCAACCTTCCTGTATGCCATGCCGCTCACTCCTACCAAAATCTTCTTAGGTGAGCTGTCTGAGCCCACGAAGATCAGAATCGGGGTATAAATCTAGGATCTCGGTATTCCCGCTAACTTAGTAATCCTGGTGTTGCTAGTGCATTCGATGTCACCAACTTATGGCCGATAGAACGTGGAGGCCCATTGGCTATATCAGAACTGTATAGACGATTGCTTTTGCTGCATTGCACCCGAAACCCAAGAGTAGTTCAGACCGGAGCCTGAGCCTTCGACACCCAAGCAGGAATGCTCTCAGTTCGGGGCGTTTCTTTGACCCGGGCATACAGCTGTAACCTCAAAAGCATGATCTTTAACACCAACAATTCTGCACGAACGACTTTGCCCAGGCCGGACAAGAGTCTGTATTATTACACACCGCATATTAGCGTCTTCTTTTGTTGCAGAGGAGACTTCTCTCGTGGCTCGGCCCGGCATTCCCTTCGAGGAGGTCATGGCGCGGTTCGATCTGCGGATGAAGCACCTGGGGATCGAAATATTGGGGGCGGAAGAGGAGGAGTAAGTCCTTGCTTCTGCGAGCAGGTCGCGTCTAGCTCCTCTCCAACGCGTTTTTTCATCGAGTTCGGCATCAGCAAAATGAACCGGTTGAGCACAGATTGCATTTGGGAAGGAGCATACGGACCCCGGTTGCCTGCTCGAAAATCTGACGACGGGGACACACTCTAAAGAAGACGCGAGTCGATGAATGTCCGGGTTGCGCGGGTTTTCATGGATGCTTGCATGTCGCGCAAGCCCCTGATCGTATTAGGCTCAGGTTACCAGTGTTGTTGGTAGCTGCTAAGTTCTCATAGTCTCTCATTGTTTGTTGCATCATTCTCCGAGCTTCGTAGTTAAACCCAGGACTTGTGATTTCGAAATCGAAATCCAGCGTTGGTGCCGGGATTGTAAGAGATGTGACAGAACTCGCTCTAGGCTGGAGGCTCTACTAGCACAAATGAACGTTCTGCTGCCACTGCGGACCTCGGATGGAACGAGGAGTCAAATTATTGCTTTATTTTCTCAATCTATTTTCTTATCTTTTTCCCCTGCAGGTTCTGCTACATTCCGATGGGCGGAGTGCTGCCCCTCATCCCACAGCGGGTCCTTGGGATTGGGGGAACTGCTGGCATGGTGCACCCTTCGACTGGTGAGACGTCAGAAAACATGCTGCAAGTGTTTTCCAAGTAACCTCCAGCTGCCAAGTTTCCGGTGCTTTGTTTGAAGGTGGTAAAGATGAGATCCATTGGGACCGCCAGGTCGGTATCCTCTCCAGGTTTTCCGAGAACGAGCTCGGCATAGAGATTTGGGGGCCTTTCTCACGATTCTTACCGAGGAAGTGTCTTCTCGGCCTCGTCTGTCGGGTTCGCGGCCATCGTGATGTACTTTTCTGAGTTGGACGTGGGAGAAGTTCGTCCTTTCATCCGGAACAATGTTATGTTCTTCCCATCTCATGCTTAACCGCGTAGCAGTCACAGCGCTTGTGTCACAATGAAGGGCTTCCGGTAAAGTGTCACTAAATATTCAAGACCTTTATTCAAGACCTCAACCGTCCCTCTCCCGGCTCGTATTTTTTGTCAAGTACAAACCAGGCGACCTCCCTTCCGCCCTGCAGGTTACATGGTCGCCCGCACGCTCGCCGCCGCCCCCCAGCTCGCCGACTCCATCATTGCCCGCCTGAAACCATCTCACAGCGTCACTCACGTCTCCCAAAATCTTCCCCGGGGGGAGGTCGACCGACTTGCTGCCTCAAACGGCGCTTCGACCAGCGGTCGTTCGGAGACTGCTACGGCGACGCAGGTTCGGCCGGCGGGGGGTGTGGAAGGTCTGGCCGAGGGCCACGTGGCAGGGGATGATTTATCGGCGGCGATCTGGGCGGACCTGTGGCCGGTGGACCGGGTGGAGCAGCGGGAGTTTTTCTGCTTTGGGATGGACGTATTGCTCAAGGTTGGTTGTCCTGCAAATAATACAATATTCTCTTACTTTTTTGGAACAGCGGGAGTTCGTTTGCTCTGGGATGGACGTGCCACTCAAGGTGGGTCGCTTACGCTCTCCTTTTTACTACGTCTCTCCTGTTTCAGGGTTTCTAATTTGGATGTCATAAGAGGTTTTTTCCCCGGAAGATTCTGAAGACGTATGGCCGCTTTCTAATGTTGAGCAAGCAGCGAACGCCTCAAAATGGTGTACGTCTGTCTTGGCCGGAATGTAAGAGGTGGCACTTCCTTCCTTTCTGCTGCTGGTGTCCTGCCTGTAAGGAATAACCGTTCGATACCTTTCGTTGGGAGATTGTTGCAGTAGAGCAAAGACCGATGGGAGCCGGTCGACGGCGGTTTACCTATAATGTTTCGGAGACGGACGTTCTGGAACGGTCAACCAATTTGACTCGTCGCTTCCTTTCTGGCACGGAAGCGAAGCAAGGGTTCACTGATCTCGGTATTCGACAGCTAGCTATGCAGAAACCTGGTTCAGGGGCCGTTGAGAAAGTTGGGCCACGTAAAATCAGAACAAAAGGAAATTGGAACAGAGCTACCAGATGTCGCGTTCAAATCTTGGCCCCGTCAATCTCGCCAGTCAGAAATATCAGCTCGAACTGCGCAGATTTGGCCTGGCCATACACCGATGCTTGGGTCCAGTCACGTGATTCTTGCACCACGGAATGTTGGCACCCTTAACGTTGTCTGTCTGCATCTTTGCAAGTTTTGACTTTTGATTCTTGGTACAATGAGAATGTTCATCGTCGTGGGCTTCCGTCTACAGCTGGACCTGGACGGCACCCGGCGCTTCTTCTCGGCGTTCTTCTCCCTCAGCCCCTACCACTGGCAGGGCTTCCTCTCCAGCCGCCTCTACTTTTTGGAGGTAAGCGGCCGCTTCTCTCTGGACAAAAGAGCCAGCCATCTCGAATGCTGGATGGGAAAAGACGGTGCCATGCCCTCTGCAGCGTGAGTTGAGAGTCGAGGCACCTCACGGCTACACTGTGAGGCGCCAGGTGGAGCCAAAATGAGGCCTGAGAGAAACATGACTCGGTATGGGGTCTTTTGCTGCTCACGAAGAACTGACATTCTCGCTATGCGTGGCTGCAGTTGATACAGTTTGGCCTATCTCTATTCAAGCATGCCAGCAATACGGCGCGATTGGAGATCATGTGGAAAGGGCTGCCGGGTTTGGGTGTTATGATTCAACATTTAGTGACCATGAAACGATGACAGTTGGTACTAGTATTAGATTACTTTAGTCTACATTGATTGAGTGTGAGTTTGAGGTGATTCTAGGTGGAGCGTTTGAGGATCATGCCAGGTTATTGATGTCATTCACTTTGGATCCCTCTCGATGATATACCATCAGTCAGGCCTGCGTCCGATTGACTTACACAAATCTTGAGAAGTCTTTTTCAGGCTTCACGAAACTCGGTGCTATCTAATGTCAGTCCAGGGCTTGCGCATTAGTTGCATTCTAGCGCCGGCGCTTTCATGTGAAAAGTGGTACATGCACTCAGCTGCAAGCTAGAGTATTCAATCAGCCTAGTACAGACGGTCACCTTGACCGATCGCACAAAGACGCGAGCGATAAAGATTGAAGCATCATGCACATCTACCTATATACACGCTTGATTCGATCGGATCGACTCGATGAAGCACAACATGCACCACACTTGATATAGTGACTCACTACGCGCATGTACTCTCCTGACTCATGATCCTGCGCTTTCGCGCAGACCGGACGCAACCAGAAGAGCTAGCTAGGTACGTGTATGCTCGAAGGCTGACGTCAGAAGAATGTAATAGACACCGAGCTTAATCAAGGCAACCACACATGTTAAAGCATATATGTGCTTCTGGCCGAATCCGCTGCCAGAGAACATGCACTCGCCCGAAAATTGTGTGCGCTATGGAAGCCTTTGCACTACTTCGTGCAACTGTGCGATGATGATGAACGATGCGCGCATGGCAACTGAGAACACCAAAATGTCAAAGAGAAGCACATGATCGATCCATGTCACCAACGCGCTTCTTCTTTTTTGGCGACCTCAACGTCATCTCCAAACACTACGAATCACTCATCATGACGTCAAGAGCACTCTTCTCCGTCCTGAGCGTCCGTATCCACTTGTCCAATATCCGCTTCTGCCGATGCCGATACACATACACCGCTGCGTTCACACCCTGCGCCGTCAATCTTGTAATCGCCATCTTTCTTTCCACGCTTTCCACTGCATACATCGCCAACTCTGCTTCGCCCACTCGCATCCTCTCCCTAGTTGCTTTCCATAGCGCGCGGTCACTCTCCGCATCCCCTCCAGCCATATTTTCCCGAAGCTCGGGGAGCAACCCTTCCGCCGCCTCTAGTGCCACGTGTCGTGCCTCGTCACTTTCAAGATACGCTTCAAACGCGCCGACTTGGGCGCTCAGCTCCGCTTTCGCGGCCGCGACCCGCTTCTCGTGCTCCTCCGCCAACGCTTTGGCCTCATCGGTGCCGCCACGCGCGCGCCACTCCGGGGGGCCGACCGCTTGCAAACCTTTCCATGCTTCCTGCGAGGATTAAACTCCCAGAATCAGAGGTGCTAACCCGCTATAAACCGCCTGTTTAATTAACCGGCCTGGCTCACTTACGCAATCTGCAGGTGCCACAATACGGTAGTCGGGCTCCATTCTCAAAAATCTCAAGCAATCTGCCGGCTGTAGATAAGAGGGAGAAGCTTCAAAAGTTCGTCAAGTTAGTTGTCGTCATAAAGTCGCAGACTCGATTATCTTTGTCATCTAACTTTGCAATCGTCCCCCTCTACTCTCAACCGGCAGGCTGCTCGAAAAGAGCTGTATTTGCTCTCGTCGTAGGCAGTGACTGGTCAGACCGACTGGAACGTAGCCTTCGTTGCACTCCTGAAAAACTCCGTCAGCTAGACCCTCACATCCTACGTATTAGAGACGCTACCAATCCAGCAGCTGAGGCAAAATGTAGACAACTCTACGCCTCCGTGATACGTTCGTTCTTCGGCTTCCCCTACAGCTTCCCCCGAGCAATCTGCCAAGTGTAGTGTAAAGTAACTTAGACTGATATCATTCAGCAACAGACTGACTAACTTAGACTACTTTTTCCACGAAAGCTGGCAAGTTGCGCGGGAGAGGCTGTAACCGCACAAAGCGTCCGAAGCCACTGACCTTCACCGCGTTTGCCTGCTCCACTTCAAACCGCCCCTCGTCGGTGATCCCAATCGTGGCGACCATCATCGCATCGAGCAAGCGTCTGGTCGCCACGAACTCCCCCAAGTAGTGGATCCCGCACAAGTTCGTCGCGCCGCCCAGCTCCTCGCGGCCAAAATCCAGCCCGCCGCCCTCGGCGCACCCGAACTCGAAGTACGCAAAGTCCCACGGCAGCGCCGGGATGACGTCATCCGCGGAGGCGACGTCAGCAGCGGAGGCGCTGGGTCCGCTCGTAGTACCGGTGCTGACGTCAGCAGGGGCTGCCACAGGAGCACAGATGTCGCCGCTGGGCGCGGCCCCGCTAACTGAGGGCTTGCTGACGTGCGTAATCGTGGGAGTGACGTCAGCAGAGGAGGCCAAAACGCATGGCCCAGCATCCGCCCCGAAGTCGAGCATGAGCGACACAGAGTCGATGCCATCGGTTGGGTTCAGCAGGAGCGCCCCGCCGGAAAGCGCGCACGCCGTCTCGAGCCACACTCCGCGCTTCGGGCCGGCCGCCTTTTTCTTTCCGGGGGGGTCCGCACTTCTGGAGGTTGATGCATCTCCTGGGGCTCGGCTGGCTGCGGCTTGCGACTCCTTTTCCGGTTCCGGTTCCGTTCCGTTTGTCGACACGCCGGCGCCGGAAGGCTCCGTTCTCGGGCGCTTCTTCGCTGGCTTCGCCACTTTCGGCGGGCCCCCCCAGCGGACTTTCACCGCGGCGCCCACAAACGGCCGGGGGAGGGAGCTCAGGACTGGCGCCAGGACTCGTTTACCCCCCCGGGCCTCGGCCCCCGTTTCGGGGGGTACCTCGACGGAATACACGTCGACGATCTGCATCGCCCACAGGAACCGCTCCTCGGAAAAGGCTTCCCGGAAAGAGGGGCATCGCGCGTCGATGGCGGGCTCGATGAGCTGCTCGTACTGCTCTCGGAGGTCCTCGCGGCGAGTGCTGATGACGTCATGCAGGTGCGTGCCGGCGAGCTTCTCCAGGGCGCTGTCGTCCCACGTGACCTGCTAGCAGGGAAAAGAACCGTTCACAAATTGACACCGTGAGGTAGAGCAAGAGACATAGCGGAGCAAAGAATCCCGTCATTCTCCTGTTGAGAATCTGTTGGGGAGGAGCCAGGAACGGAGAAGCTTTGCTGGGATTCAATGCAAGCACATTGTGTGGGACAATTGTTGGGACTTAATTGACGCTACGGCAGATGCTAAGAAGCTAAGGCAATAAAAGTCTTTGGATTTTCTTTGAATCTACCTTCGGAAGTCAAGGACTGAAGAGTGTCCCGCAATGTCAACCAGACAAAGATGCTCAAGCAAGCAGAGAAGCTCAAGCAAACAAACAGATTATACCAACAATTGTCAGTGGCGTCGAAAGTCCTCCCGATGACGCCAGCCATCTCGATCAACGAAATGCCCGGATCATAATACTCATAAGAACCATTGGAGAATTTCCGGGAAAATGTAACTCAGCAGAGAACCGTTCACGCACCGCGGACGCCGGCAGTCGGACCAACGTGTCCACAAAAGCGGCGAACTCAGAGCGCGGCCCCAGCGACCGCTCCCACATCAGCGAGAGCGCCAACCCCACGTCTTCGGGGCACTTCTTCAGCTGCGCGAGCACTCGTTTCCGCCCGGGTTTCCCGGCCCCCGACCCCCCCACCGACTCCTCAAGCACCTTTTTGAGTCCCTTGGGGAATTCCCCGGTCAAGAGGGATCCCCCGGGGATGAAGGCGAGCTTCTGCCCGGCGAGGCAGTCACGAGCGACACGGAGCGCGGGGCGGAGAGTGAAGCCGTCGAAAACTGAGTTGTTTGCAGTTGTAAGAACTGGGGACACATTCGGGGGGGTAGTCGATGCTGGTTCGGACCTGGCAACTTGCCCCCCCGGGCCGTTTACCGGCCACAGTTCCTGGACGGCGAAGCTCTGGACGCCTTTTTCCGCGCACCAGGCGGCGTAGTTTGGCTCTCGGTTGTATCCCCCGGGTTTGGAGACCACTGGGCAGCAGCGAGTCACGATGGACGCGGCCATGTCCTTGAGCGCGTTGAGAGACGCTTCAATGATTTGTTTCTGGCCCACTCTGCAACGAAAAAGACAGAAGGGCGATATTAGACTGGAAAATCAGAATATGACGAGCCGCTTCAGAGCAATTAAGGTGGTAGTCTTGTCCTTTCTTTGAGAGGTTTTTGTTCAAACGGGCTTGAACTCGTGCATGAGACAAGCGCTGATCGGAAGCAACTGCATCGGGGTTAGCCAGGGAGATCGAAACGCGGTCAAGTCCGGCCGTCGTCCCTCCAGTACCTGTGCCCCGCTGACACAGAGAAAGTATTACCTGTTCAAAGCTCAGTGCTCGACAAGCGACTTTGCAGAGTCGGAGCTGTTTGCTATTGTGGACTGCGGCAGCTCTACCCAAGGCATCCTGCTTGAGATTTTGAGCCAGACTGTGCGCTTTGGGAAAGTCTGCTGGCGAGCTTACAGCAGATCTGTACGGATACAGTCGTATTTATTTGACCGGATTCGGAGACAATCAGCCGACTTTGTAGAGAAGTTCCAAGCAAAGCAGCCAACTTCACAGGCAGCCCCTGAGCCCACTCAAAGCAACAGACGTACAATCCGACCTGCCGTTGAGGCGTGTGGTCTCAGGCTTCTCGAAAGACTTGAACATCTATCAAGAAGTTGCTGACCCGCCGAAGTCTTTGTAAAAAAGCCTCACCCTCTGCACGCATATACGAATGAAGACATCCTACCTGTTACGGTCGAAACGTGCGCAAATCGCTCAGAACACTGCAAAGCAGAACGAAGGACAGAGTCTGATGACGTAGTCGGACGCACCTGTACACAATCGCCCACTTCAACCTCTCCGCCGCATCCGGCGCGTGCGCCCCGGTGACGTCATCCTGCGCCCATATCTCGCGGTGCCCATACGGGTCCCTCCGCTTCTTCCGATTCTCCCGCTTCTCTAGTTTCCATTTCGCCCGGTGCTCGCGCACCTCCCGCCAACTGTTTCTTTCTTCTTCGTGCATTTCCTCGTCTATTTCTTGGTCCGACGCACTGGTTTCCGTTTCCCAATCGCTCCGCTTCGACTCGTCCTCAATATCTTCGATTCTGTTCAAGCCAACCACACTCGCCGGCTCTTCCCCCGGATCGTTGTCCAGATCCGACGGTTCGGACCGAGCCCGCTTTTCCGGCGGATCGCCGTCCGCATCCCGCTCCGAAGCGTTCGATTTCCCCTGAACCATTCGCTTCTCTAGAATCGCGATCAGCTTTAGATCGTCTTCGACACTGCCCCCGGCCAGCGAACCACGCGAGCACTCCAAAAGTGACGTCAGCGTGGCAACCACCCGCAAATCGAGGTACGGGTACCGTGGGATCACGCCCTCGGTCCCCAAAGCGGGTTTCGTCTTGCCCTCGTTTCCCCCCCCTCCGGCGCCCCCTGCCGGGGACCCCCCCTCGCGGAGCTTGTCCATTTTCTGCACGCAGGCATATGCCGTCTGCTCGTTCATCGCCAGCAGCCGCGCCGCGTCGAGAAACGCTGCGGGCAGTGGGTCTGCCATTGAAAGTTTGAACTCGAGCGACCTCGCGCCGAGGCCGTCGATGAGGGCTTTCCGCCACGTCGTGTCTTCCTCTTCGTCGTCGGATTCGGAGTCGTCGCTGGGTCGGCCCGAGCCCATCGCTAGTTTCACGACAAAGCGTTCGGCCGGGTTGTTCAGGATGGCGAAACCGTAGCCCTGAAGGAGCTCCTCGTTGGGCTGATGAAGGAGAAAACCTGGAGTCAAATAGCCTCAAAAAAACTGACGCTTTACGCCCTTGAAAATTCAGGGTTGTGCCACATGAAGGTCTGAAGTATATCGTGCTCTTCGAGAACAAACACTTCGCACGAGTCTTTCATCAGCTTCAGTCCCTGGGTTGACTTTCGATGGATTTCGGCAGTGACGTGGCCTCAAGGCCATGCGTCCCGGGCTCTAGCGGCGACTCGTTCTTTGAGCTTGATATTGATGGAATAGATCGACCTTAGTCTCATCAGTCAAAAGTTCAGGAAGCTGTAGACAGACTTTGAGAGTCAGTTGCCGTCAAGGATGTCCAGATGAGTTTGCTGAGGCCTGCGTTCGTCTCGTCGAGGACTAGACTGAGCTGAAATGTTACAGCGGCTTGTGTGGACTCAAACATAAAGCAGTAGCAAAAAGTCAAAACAAGAGCCCGCTAGTCAGTCGAATGAATGTCTCGCCCTGCCTAGATCCACGGATCAGGAGGCCGGCAACAGTTGTTATTTCTCTTGGCTAAGGGTGCGGATTAATCGACAGAAAAACGACGAGACAACTACAGGGGCCGTGCCTGACCTTCTGTCCGTAGTTGTTGAACACGACCTGGCCGGACGGAATGGCTGCGTCCGTCGAAAACGTGACGACGCGCTTGGCCTCGTCAGTCAGCCACGTCAGCCTGGAGAAGCAGAGGGGAAGGCGTCAGACAGCCTCCTTTTCAGAAGAACGAACCAAGGGAGACACCGAACAGACATCCAGTTTCCGAGGAAGAACGAAAGGCCAGAATTGCGCGCCGAAGGAGGTGCAGAAGAGCATCCAAAATCCAGTCGGTATTTTCAAAGATAGAGAAGAACAGGACTCAATTGAGATCCAAGGAGAGAATAGAAAGTAGGACTGTCGCATCGAGAGAACACTTGAAGAATTGAAGCAATGAAAAGAACGGTAAGTCCGAGCTCCATCAAGCAGGGGGCCTGGTGCGGTATTCAGAGGAGGAGAATGGACTGATCATTGACTTCCAAACGCAGGGCCGCTCAGTCTGAGAGCATCCTCAGATAAAGGGCAAGTGATCTGCTTCGGTGACTTCCCTCGGACCCACAAAGACGTCCATACAGACCAAGTTCCTTCGGTCCAGTCAACCACCTATTCGCAATAGATACTACCCCCAGCCGAACGAAACTAAGCCGGCAGAAGTTGAGCGTATTTACACCTGCTCCCGGGCTGTGGTCCGGCTTGTTCAAAATGGGCACCAGGGCGAAACAAACCTGAATCACACGAAGCCAAGCGAGCACAAATTGGGCATATTCCCATGAAGCATAGTCCCACCTCGCCCCGGGGCTGTGATCCAGCATGTCGAACAGGGGCACCAGCGCGATCGTGTGCCCGGGCCACCACTTCAGTGTGAACGCGCGCGAGAACACCACGCTACGCGCCCACTTCAGATTTTCTCTCGTAACCGTCGCCCAGGCAACGTCCATGTTCCGCACGTGCGTGGCCATTTCCTCCGGCTCCGACCCGTCGGGGTCCCGGGTATGATCCCCTTTTTTGTCGCGCTCGCGCTGCTGTTGGCTGTTTCCGGTTATGGTGTATGGCTCCTCCATTTCGCCCCCGTCGCTGTAATACCAGTCGATGACCTGATCGCAGCAACGGTCCGAACCGTCCGAATCGTCCTTGACGTTGCCGTCCGAATCGCACGAGTCGTAGCGGTCGCGGTAGACCGCGCGCCCAGCCTGCACAGCATCGGCCGAGGTGAGTGGTTGGCATCTGAATTATCACAGCCACCGTTGTGGAGAACCAGTGTATCGGCGAAACTCGTCTGACTTTGTGGATAACAGTTTACGAAAAGCCTCACGATCTTGAAAAGAAGTCTTCCGGAACGACCGTTGCAGGCAAACCCGTGGACAATTATATCTTACGAGACATTACGCAGTTTAACAGAACCGCTTGTGATTGAGTATCATCTCTCAAGCATGACAAGAACGGGCAGGACGCCACATTGGCCAGCAGAAATCAGAAGGCACCAGGTGAGAAGAGTCGGTTGCAATGTCAAGAGTAAATCTTTCAATACCTCGAAGACCAGAGATCTCAACACTGCCCATCTTACATACTGTAGTTTGCTAGAGAAGATGTCGGGATGAGAAACGCGAGTTCTGACTAGGGTGCAATCAAAGTGAGACATTTGTGACAAACTCGTCGAGAAGTCTGAAGCGGGACCTTAGAATGATCCCAAGCTCAAGGATGCAACCCAGGAAAAGCGTCGAAGCTGATAGATTCCGCACTTCTCTCTTCGGAGTGCAAGGTACGAACTTACACAAGTAATCTTTGGAAAGAGACAAATTCCTCGTTAAACTCAGAAGTACAAGGTTTCCATACAAGATTGACTAAAGGCCTCACGTTCGGGTCGTCTGACGTCATCTCGAGCACCCCCAGCGAGGCCGCGTAACTCATCCCGTTGCGCGCAGCGTTGAGGAACTTATAGCCCCACGTGCGCACCAACTCGTCCAGCGCCTCCTCCTCCGCACGCAGGCCAGCCCCAACGCGCGTCCCCGCCACCGCCGCTTTCTCTTCGTCCCTGCAAAAAGAATAAGGGATTTGAACAAACGCTCTTCTGTGAAGCTTTAAAAGCAGTTTCTGTGAAACCTGACGCACGTTCTCTGCACCGCCGCTTTCTCTTCGTCCCTGCCAAGGTAGACGGTGAGTTTGTTTCCTGATTTTATTCCAGCTTATGAATACGTTGAAGCAGGCTCCGTTCCTGTGTGCTGGCCCGCCCCGACGCGCGTGCCCTGCACCTCGCTCCGTGCAAATTTGGACGAATCTCCGTTTTCTTTATTCCTTTCTGAGCAGGCAAGCAGACCGGTTGAGAACGACTGTGCAGCCCAGGATGACAAAGAGTCCGGTGAATCAAGCACTTGTTTACTTCACAACCTTAGTGATCTCGCCAGTTTTGAAGGAGCAAATCAACGGACAAATATTTGCTTATCGCTGAACTAACCCAAGGGCCCTGATCGAGGACAGAGTCTAACAGAAATGAGTAATGAGTCGATGAGTCTTTGAAACGGTTCCATCATTCGGAGCATTGTCACTTGCTGTGTAGCATCTTTCCGTGCATATGCCAAGTTCATCGTGCTCTGCTCTTCCACTTTTCCAGGGGGAATATATCGGACAGGGGGGTAAAAACTCACCCATACCACAGGGGGGTGGAGAAGGTCTGTGGCAGCATCCTTAAGTATGGCCAGTAGAAGGAGCGCACCCCTTTAGCACGCTCAGAAGCCACAAAGAGGCAGAGTCTGTAAGGAAAGCGAGCAACTATTGGAGGCCAATTTTTGAGGAGATTTTGCATGACTGCTTGCCTGGAATAATGTTGTGGGCGTGTCACCAACTTTCTTTCTACTTCACAATTATATTTGCTGTGCGTAGGCGAGTAAGGGAGAAGCGTCGAGGGAAAAGAGCAGAAACATGACAATGTAACCTTCACCCTGATTTGGAAGGGGTAATTTCAAGTGACAACATCTTTCGCTACTCCAGAGCTGTTCAAAACACAATAGAGATGAAGCGATGATTGTTTCAATACAACGGACACTGATAAAATGTTTGCCTTGAAAACATGTAACCAGACCGACTCATTCTGTGGCGGGCAAATCTTGATTGAAGAAACGCTCCTTCATTGCTTGTTGCACCCTGAGGTGGTTATGTGCGACCTAAAAGGAAGGCTGACTGTGGAAGATAAAATACTTAAATCACTCTCCTGATAAGAGGAAAGTAGAAATGTGGCTGCATGTGGTGTTAGTCCCATGCTAATATCAGGTGGCAAAAATCTGCTGAAGTCTGGATTCGGTACTATGCAAAGGTTGGCAGCTTAGTACATATGGTTCTTCAAATATGGGTTAATCAAGAGAGGAGAAAGAAGTAGTAAAGTATGAAAGAGCAAGCAGGAGGTCCTCACAGCGTTCGCTCCGATGCCCCCTCGTATGAGAGGCACTGGAATCCCGCAGCGAACGGCAGCTCATGGAACGACCTTTGAGCATTCATCTGCAAGAGGCCACCGTGGTGCTTAATGCAAACCTTTCGAATGCTTCCGTGGTAATCTTGTAACTTTGGCCCATGGATTGTGGCAAGAGTTTGGACAGGTCACAAACCTGAGCTTGATGCCACAAGACCTTCTTTCACTTAGCACCTCTCAACCCTTCTCTTTAAGATGAGGCGCTCATTTTGAGGACACTTTGAGGGGCACAACGGGGCCAGATGTTGGTGACAGCTGCCTGCGAAAATATGCTTCAGAATTCTCAACCGCCCATTTGTCAAGGATGATGTATACAGATCGCCAAATAATATTTTCTCACTTATTGTTGGGATTCACTTTGGGTCTACCTCAAGGGAAGCTCAAAAGTATATGCCCACACCTCGGGCAGAAGATATGCACTCAAAAGACAAAAGGTTTACGAACACTGACCGATAAAAATTCCTTCATATGAGCTCAGATCATCTCTTTGAAAAGTACAACAATCAAGGTACGACAATTGCCAACAGTTCGGGCTGTATTGGACCCTCATTGGCTTGCCAGCAGAGACATGCAATAATCTTCTCTAAGGAAAAAATTACAGATCAGTCAGAGGTAGATAGCTTACCAGCATTGCGAAGGGGATCTTCATGAGCGTGTCTCCAGCGGCAAGAGCATCTGTGGAGCGCATCGTTCGCTCCTCCGCTTCGAGGCGTGGCCATTCTGCCCCGTTCTTTGCGGCCCATCTTTGTAGAGTCTCCATGTTCTAGACAGCAAAAAACCCCTGCGACTACAGTAGTACCCTACCGCCAGCTCTCCAAACCTAAACTACCTACCTACAGCTAGTTCCGAGCAACCTGCTAGATTTAGTGAAAATATTAGTGTAACTTAGTCAGTCTGTTTGTGAGTGAAATTAGTCTAAATTAGATGACACTAAAACTAGCAGGTTGCTCGGGAGAAGCTGTAGCACAAAGAACTGCACCGAAAGCAAAATACATTGCATCGCAGCTGAGTGCTGCAGGCGGCTGCCCCATGCCACTGCTGCCACTGGCGCAAGTACGACGAAGCATTCTCCTTTTGTTAGTGTCTCAGACTTCAAAAAGTGTGAAAACATTTCACACGCGGGATCATAGGCTCTCAAGGTGTCCGCGTGGAATAGAATGTCAGATCAGGTCCTTCGATCAAAATAAACTTTGTCAGAGTTGTCAGCTCTTACCGTACACTATGCGGTACAGACGGGGACCGGGTCAGAGAAAGTGGCTACATACACTAAACCAAAAGGACTCTGCCCGGTTGTCACTGTCAGCGAGGAACCCTAATGGCACTGGGAAATGACGTAACCCTAACAAAACGCTAGTCGATTGCCACGAACCCTCACAGGTTTGCAACGTAACCCTGTCACAGAGAAGCCCCGGTCGCTGTCAGCGTCACTGTCAGCGTCACTGTCACTGTCCTAACCACAGCCAGTAACCACTGTCAGAGTCACGACTTTGATGACTTCAGGTGTTTGCGTGTGCTTTACACCTATTTGGCGGGGCGGAGACACTACAAAAGGAGAACGCTTTGATACGGTAGTTTTGCGCCACGCGCATTGAGCGCTGTCATACCTACTTGAGATCCAAGTTGAAGCCTGTGGGTAGGTATGAGGTAGGTAAACTTCTACGGCTATTTTGAGCCTGAAGGAGAGCTTGCCTGTGATCGACGGCTAGTGAGTGACCCCAATCTGAGCCATGTGAAGATCGTACGCTACGTCGCGAGGCAGTCTTCGCGCCAATTTCCAATAGTTTGAAAATAGCGCCCTACACTTCTAAGTTCTGACGCTGAGCACTGCACAGTGTCACAGTGCAGCCTGCAGAAACCTGTATCATCAGTATAGGACTATGATCAGCTGCCTTTGTGCCTTGCAAATAGGTACCGTAGGTAGCCACCATTAAACTCTGCATAAGCTTCTAGGTAGGTATCTGAAATCCATCCAATCTTATTTAGGTGGTGAACACTGAAATCCTGACCGAAGCGCGTGCAGGCGACTTCAGATACGAAGCAGTCCTAGCTGCTAAATCCAGCTTAAGGCTTTGCACCTTCAAATCAGGGAACTGCCAGAGTGTGCATGTTGCCTTGTGAGGTTGGAAAAATGGATTTTGACAGGATGAATCATTCTGCGACAGCGTTTGACAGCCTGCCCCAAGAGATTGTTGCATACATACTGCAAAAGGTTCCTCCGGTCCGGGGTACCGCTGAGATCATGGTTGATCATCTTCGGGGATCAAAGGGCCTAGCACAATCATCAATGGCTGTTCTTGCACGCATCTCCACGGTCAACAAACAATGGAGAAGGCTTTGTAGCAACCCAGAATTGTACAAGTACGTCTCTGATTGAGTGCAAAGCAGTGCCATTTTGAGGGTGCTTGTGACCATAGCCAACCATACATGAGTGTAGTGATGCTTCTGATGTACTAAGAACCTCTCATATTCTATGCAACTGTGGACCAACAAATTTGGTTCTTGGACCTGGCCTGTACTGCGTGCTGATTTGCAGGAGAAAACAGGGGATTTTCAGGGTTCTCCTATGCTTGACTGATTCAATCAGAACAGGACGCATTGTGCTTGTCTCTCAGTGATAGGTTTGGCGTTTGATTTGGGCACGTTCAAGCAGGTTCAGCAGAGATCACAAGCTTCATGATGAGCAGATCTATCGGGCAAGCATTGAACGAGACCTCTTCTTCTCTTTGCAGGCATGTAAAGATCTATGGCCTGCTTCCTGCTGGCGCCCTCCAATGGTTGGCACCTCGAGCCGGCAAGATAGAGAGTTTGAGCTTCTCTAACCTGGTGGCTGCAGTTGGCTGCGCTCAGCCTCCGCTTCATGTCGGCAGCTTCGGCCCTGACCCAAGATTCCCAAAGCCTGCTCAGTTTCGGCACCTCTTTGCTCCAGACCCTGCCGCTTACATGAGGGGACTTGAAGCAGTGTTGCAGGCCTGCACACACAGCCTAAATTCCATCCTGCTCTCTGCTGTTAGCTCGGTTTTCTCCCAAGGCATCCTTGGCATGTTTGCAAGGCACAGCCCAAACCTGAAATGCATCAAGTTGGAGGAGAACCAATTTGCTGGGGCGCACGGGGGCTTGTGTCAGATTGCTGCCGGGTGCCCTCTCGTTGAAAGGTTCTCCATCAGCGAGATGGAGTACAACATGGAGGACGAGAACTCCTCCCTGAATGACAACACGATGGGGGAGCTTGTCTTCCACTGGCGCAACCTGAGGCACTTCTCAGTTGACCGCAACGCAATCACACTCCAAGGCTTGTGCCTGCTTAGGCACTGCGAGAACTTGCAGACTCTCTACATCGGGTATCTCCGTGATTGCGGGGACCAATTCTTCGAGAGGTTCCCTGCTCCAGACAGCATGATCCTCAGCCGGTCAGTCAAGGTAGGAATCCGTCAGCAACTTCGGCTGTTCGTGACCATTGCTGCTATCAACAGTGGCCACCATACGAAAACAAGCTGCCTTAGTCAGGCCATAGTTCTGATTGCCTTGTTCAAGTTTCTACAAGTATACAAGCGCTGGTGCTAGCTGACTGATTGCCAGTGCTTGCTTCTATCGGACACATCAACTCACATGTCTGATCTCTTCTCCACTCTAGGATATTGTGATTGATGTGCCAGCAATCACCGTCAGTGGAACCATACGCCCACTTGTGCTCTTGTGCCCCAACGTCGAGGATATTGATATCGTACACGAAGAGTGGAGCTGGGATGACGACGAGGGCGTTTTGGACAATCACGAAGACTTAGCAGTCCTCCAGCAAGAGTACCCAAAGATTGTCTTCAAACGTTTTGGGGAGCCTTTCAATATTGTGGCGGAGAGGATTCAAGATGATTGTGATTGATCCTTATTACTTTAAGTTTGTCTCACCAGAGACGAAAAGAGGCGTAGATTTGTGGACACCACGAGTGCGTTGAGAGCAGTACTTGAAGATGCCAGTTGTAATCAACTCAAGCTTGATGCTGGTGCTAGCCGTTTTCACAAACGATGAACCCCGTTTAACAGGGCTGCGATACAAACCTGCACATTCTTGACAAACTGGTAAATGAAATTATTCTTGCCTCCTTGATCCCTTTATGTTGCCCTCCTTCAGCTAGCCACGCGCTTCTGACCTTTTGAGGCTGATTGACCTCATCTATTCGATGGTACTTGCTAGGCCAGGGCACTAAATGTACAATGGTAATTTACTTTGAACATGACAACCGTCGAACTGCGTGTATATCAACTCAATCAGGCTGGCTTTGCACGACACGTGTTGCTTATTATATAGCAAGAGCACGCAGCGGAAAAAGTCAACCTCGATCAAATCTACGTATACTATTAAAGGCACAGGATCATTACTGTAAGTCTGCGTCATGACATGACTCAGATACGGTCGTCACAGCCGCCCGTAATATCTGTTTCCAATTCGATTCCCGGCCCGGGATTCAAAAAAAAAAAGCCATACATATGCAGTGTGCGGAAAACGACGCATGCGATCACTTCATGACCGACATCCAGAACCCCCTCCTTGAGGCGGGCTTCGCTCGTCGCACAATCAAAGAGGTGGTCCAGCGCTATCGCCTGTTCACGAAGCGCGGCTACCCCAAACGCAGATGGGGGATGTGCTTTGGCTCGATGGAAGACGCCAACGCGACATGGGCGGAATATCAGGGTCTCCGGGCGGACCTGCTCGAAAGGTGCATCATCATCGAGAAGTGCAACCCCAAGAAGGCTGGCCCGGCCCCGGCGCCGGTGATCAACGTGGTTGAGCACGTGAACACGGCCACAGAAAATACCCGAGCTATTGCGGAGGCTGCGGCGGCAGAGTTGGCGGCGCGCGCGGAGAACGCGCCCGGTCAGATGAACCAGATGGACCTCATGCAGGACATTGCGGCGCTCGTCTACCAGCGCTTCCTGAAGAGGAAGAACCCGGAGTAGGCTCGATAGAGTCTACTAGATTAGTTCAGACCGGCCATTTCCTCTAGTGTGATGCACCGGAGAAACCACCCCGCCGTAGTCATTTGCATAGCTTGTAGGTCATACACATACATTAAATCCCGCATGCATGATCGAGTTCGTAGATTTGAGATTGGATTGAGAGTGATTTGCATGCCATCTAGCTAGTAGGACATTGGACATGACTTGCAGCCGTAGCAAGCTGCAGAGTCAACTCATTATACCGTCCCGGTCTCACCGGCAGACTTTGCCCGATGGCTCTATGTGGCTCAGGGCGTTAATAAACCGTAAGTCACCATCACACATGCACGTACGGCCCTTCAAAAGACGCGCGGCCCGGGCTTAGGTGCCCACGAGCGCCAGTTCTAGGGCTTTCACTGCCAGCTAGGCTGCTTGCAGATCATTACATAAGCAGCAGCGGGGTGCCAGCTGATCGAAGCGCTCGAGATTCGGTACGTGACCGGCCATGCACACTATCGCGCACCATGGCACATGCATGAATTGATCTTTGACCAGGTGAGTCCAATGTCTGCCATAAAGATACATGGGATGCAAGCTTCGCTGATACTTATGCATTGAACCAATCTCACATGCGGCCAGATTATATGCACGGGTTATACAAAAGTTGCTAGCATTCCGTGCCAATCGCAGCTCTTGTGACTTTGTTCGTTTCCGATCGACTCTAACTTTTGGCCCTCCAATTACAAGTACGTCTCCATGTTAGACAGCCCCTCCCGCACCAGTTGTCGCAACTTCGGCAACGTCCGAATCTTCTTAGCAATCTCGGGGTCGATACCAATTCTCGCAGCGGCCTCCATCACTTCCGGCCTGGGCGGCAGCTCCTGGTCGTCGTCAGGGCCGTACTCGAGAATCAGTCTCTCCGTCTCCTCCATCACCTTCTTCTTATACCAGTACGGAACCTCTTTCACGACGAACTCGTTTTGGTCCGCCCACGTGTCACTCTTTGAAGTGGGCCGCGTTTCGGACACGATCATCTGGACCAGGCGGTCCGAATCGGACGGCTCGGGGGGCGGGGAGAGGTCCACAACCCCCTCTTTCTCGAGCTGGGTTAGCCACTTGGGTTTTGGGACGGGTTTGGGGCCGGGGGCGGAGGGCAGGGCCTGCACACATACAAGGATCACGTTTCCTTTTTCGTTGTCAACAACTTACAAAATTGAACTTTGTCTAGATCTCAGATACTTCCGACGAACTCGTTCGGTCCGTTGGTATTCGAGAGGCTTAGGGTCATAAAAATACTGATACTTGTCTGATAAAGTACCAAAACCATGAAGTCGACTTCTTTTGAAGAAATCAAGATCGAAACTCGCCACAACAGGTTTGCTCGACGGCTTTCTGCTCTTCTACCACGACTGCCTTAATTTCGTGCTTTCGAACCGAATTGAGGCTGAACAGCGTGAATTTTGCTTTAAGGACGGTGAACCTAGGAAGTTCTCTGAGAGTTTCGTTTGCGGCCGAAAACAAGCCGTACACGAGACGTAATACTTGTAGCTACATATTTGTAAAGATCCATCAGAGAGAGGTGGCAAGGTTCCGGTATGTAGCGGGGCCGAACCGCAACGATCTGCGACGCTGTCGTTTCCATAAGCAACCGGGACGATGTCAAGAGACTCACCGGTTTGGCCAGACTGTCGAGCAGCAGGTCTCTCATCACCTGTCGCGGCGCTGCACAAGGAATAAGAGAATGTAAGCGACAGCTCATGGACTAGAACCAAGCTTTAACATAAGTGCTCCAAAACTCAACGACAACCGAAGGGTTCTTACAGGACGCCCCCTTTCACTCTACCCACCTCTCCCAGACGTCGATGATCAGACCCACCTGGAAAGTGCATTCGGTGACTGTTTGCGCCAAACATTTTACCGGACCTTTTGAAGAACTGCATTCACGAAGACACTCCTCTTTCGACCTCGAATCAAATGTGACCCCTACTCTGGACAATGCGGACTAGTTTGCCGCCTGGCTAGGCGTCCCTTCTTCTTTTGATCCCCAAGCATTGCAATCTCCGGTCCGGTTTCAAATCAACGCCCAAAACTCAATGGCTCATCAGTCTAGGAGCGGTAAGCTTTGAGAAGAGGAAGCTCGAGAATCGAAAGTAAAAATGGTAAGCCATGTTGTCGCCTGGTCCGCACCTGTTCCCCCGCTTCAGTCCCATACTATGGCAAAATCACCCGTCCAAGGCCGGCAATATTACCAATTCCGACCGGTTCCTCTTACGAAATGAAGACGTCTCTTATCATCACTTGACTAATCCACCTGTAATCATCGGAGTGTTTCAAGTTCAACATTCCAGATTACATGTCATTTATAAGAGAAGCAATGATTATTTCACCTGGTCCTCCCGTAAACAGCTCAAACTGGTCCGCCGCCTGACCCACAAACATCTCCACCCCGGAAACCGGCGTCGCGCCCTCTGCGCGCGCGTCTTTCAGGAGCTGCGTTTCCATGGGCGTGTAAACCGCGTCGAAAACCGCCTTATATCCCCCGAGCGCCGCCCGGGGCACCGGGGTTTCGGACACGTTGGGCTGCATGCCTACGGACGTCGTGTTGGCCAGGACGTCCGCCGCGCGGACGGAGCTAGACTGGAGGGACGCCCACGGGACGAAATGGGCGCCCGCGGCAAAAGCGAGCTCCTCCGCTTTCGCTGCAGAAAGACATGGCGTTTTGACGATTTTGAACATTCCTTTGGAAGGAAAGGAGATCGTCCGGAAAGGAGGAACTAAACTGGAGGGACGCCGGACGACCTGGGCGCCCGCGGCGAGAATAAGATCCTCGGCTATGGCTGCACAATCATTTTCAATTCGTGAACCTTCAAAATTAGGCCTTTCGAATTTGCGGGGGCACAAGGCCATGAAAATATCGTGCAAAGCTGACAAACCAACCAATGGGCAAGCAAAATCCATGAATTCAACCAAGACAGCCGTATGCTTGGCTCCCGTTCGCCTACTCCACTCCGCTAAACAAGAGCGTCGGCGACATGAGACGAGCGCTCGACTATTTTGCCCTCCATACCAGTTCTACTGCCTACTGGATCTGAACAAGAGCATCCGGAGAAGGACTGCCTGGTTAGACTACAATATAGACGTTGCAAACCTTACGAAGGTGGCGGCGCTGATTCTGAACCCCGGTTGCTTCTTTTGACCAATTCCAAAAAGGAGTACATAACTATTTGTCAGACTGCTCATAAGAGAATGCAGCGCACTGCTAAAGGGGACTTCAATCCGCTACAGCCTGCTAGAAGGAGAGCTATTGACACCAGAGCCCAAATTCTGAGCTTGTAAAGTGAGACCTTTTCAAATTCAAGGCTGGTCATTCGCGACCTCTGAACACACAATTTGGACTTTTCATTTTTCCAACATGGAAAGTAACAAACCAGATGATATTTTAGAACGTTCCTCTTTCCATAACAGGCAGTAACATGGCTGTGTCAGCTCACCGTCCGTTCTGTTCGCAATCATCACCTCCGCCCCTTTGTCCTTGGCTCCAAACGCGAGCGCGCGCCCTGCACCCCCCGCGCCCACGACCAGAACCTTCAAACCCCGCAGCGGGTCCTCCTTATTGCTGACGTCTGCACAAGAATCGGTTTTCTTGTTGAAAAGCGAACAGAGAAGATAGACAGGTGTCTCGTTGCTGATATGGAAGTCATCCAAATGCCGACTTGCCGACTTGCCAACTTTTACTTGAGTCTTCCAAGTCTTTGCGGAAGACGCATACACGGTTTGACATAGGGACGCGTTGAGGGTCAGAGACGAAACGCAGATGTTTTGCAGTATCGGAAAGTGCTCAAAAGGTGCTCAAAAGGTTAAAAGATTGGAGGAGGCAAAAGCTCCACCAGAATATGGGCGCCGTCAAAGCCCCAAGTAGGAGAGCAACAATGATGTAGGACAGAGCTCCGATAGGATTTGCGAACCAACAAGGCGGATTGCTGACCTGAGCGTGACCTCAGCCCCTCCTCGATCGCTTTGATCGCTGCCGAGCAATCCGTGTTGTAAGCCGCCAGCGTCCCGTCCTTTTGCCGGACGAGCGTGTTGGCCGCTCCGATGGTCTGCACAAAAGTGAGCGGTGGTATCAAACTCAACAGCGCGCTACGCAACAGGACGTAACCGAAACGAGGAAGAACGTTTTACTTTCACGGGAATGGTTGATTCCCCAGAGAGGACTTTCAAGACCCGCAACCGATCCAAAAGCGAGAAAACACCTTGTAAAGGAATCTGGTTAACCCTGCTCGTGCCAATCGTGAACGCGGAACTTCGACTGTTTTCTTCTCAGTCTTCAAGTTCACTTCTTGTTGAAACTTTAGCCTGGTTTGAATCAAGCTTTGACATCACAGAGTCAATTTAAATCTGCCCGGTAACTGGTTGACAACGATCGCAAGTAACGCCGCTCATTTATGACAGCCCGTGTGGAGCAAACGCAAACGGATTGATTATTAACGGGTTAGCGTGCGAGGAACAACACAGGATTTTCTGAACCCTGACAACTCTTGAGAACAGTGCTGACCTCAGCAAGGGGGTCCCTGACGTCAGCCGCCTCGAGCGCCGCCTGCTTGTGGGGGATGGTGACGCTAAACCCTGCGAAGTCGGGCGCCGCAAAGTCCGCCAGGAACGTCCGCATGTCGTCAACTAGGTATGAGACGTAAACGGCGTCGACGCCCGCCAGCTGGAACGCGGCGTTGTGGACGAGGGGGCCCTTGCTCTGGGCGACCGGGTTGCCCACCACTCCGAAAACCTGGCGCAGGGGGAAAAATCGGCGGGCTGTTTTTAGGGGGGGGAGGGAGGGGGGGATGAATTCTGCCCATGCACCTTTTGGAAATTCTTCACAAGGTGGGGGGTAAAGGTGGACGGGCTGCTGAGGGAGGGGAAACGGTGGGCTTGCCTGTCGCTCGGTTGATACGCGGGGAGGGAAGAGACAAAACGAGTAGCTAGAAACGAAGGGGACGGGACGGGCACTTTCAGCAAAGCCGTCAGACGATACTGAAGAAAGGTGCATGATTACGTTTCAATTTCAGCTTCAGATTCGAATCGACGAAATCTGCGGCCAATCTTTTTCAATCAAACACGGACATGAACATCGCACCATTCCGGAATGTCTGTCAAGTATGTAGCTTCTCAACCAAACCAAGCGTCCTTGTTCGTCCGTGAAGATTGTAAACGGGCTATGCTTTATTTGTTGAGATCTGGCTCTCGGACAAACGTCCACGTCAGCATGGTAATGCTGTCCGCCTGTTTTCTGAGTGACTGGCCAGAGCGAGGGCTACCCCCGACACCGTTCCTCACGTAAAGGCCTGCAAGATGAATGACCCACAACTTCTTGCCGGCATTCTTGCGCCAACTTTCGCCCTCTGAACGCCAGCGAATAGCACCCCGTATGCAGAGACGTCCTCAGACAACTCGCTACCCCCTTCCCTTGTCAACACAATTTGCGCTAAAAGCAGCGCTCAGTGGAAAATCCCCGGGCGACGACCCACCTTAGTCTCCTTGCTCTGCTGGTCTAAGTGGTAGGTCTGCGTGAGGTCGGTGATTGTGGGCTGGCCCGGGGCAGACTCGAGCCCCGCTGCCAGCGTTCCAAACGTCAGGAAGGCGCCGAACTTGGGCGCGAGCACGCGGCTGAGAAGACCTTTCGGGCCCATCGCGAGAGCAATCGTCAGGACCTGTTGGAGAAAAGATTTGGGAGTCGTTGAATTGCAATTTACAGAGCACCAAGAAATACGGCTTTGGAGGCCCTTCGGGCATATTAAATCGGAGAGAGAATCTGAGGGGTCGATATGCACAATCTTCAATCTTACAAACAGGGGAGCAACGTCGGGAAGAGCCGCGGCTCAGGAGGCCTTCCGGCCCAATGCAAGAGCAATCGTCGGCACCTGAACGAGAAAAGCCCGAGGTGTCAGGACATCAATCCGTTCCAAATCTTGCAGGAAATGCAGGTGAACGTTGAGAAGAGGCTGCAGGAGATAGATCTGTCGCCCTGCCCAGCTCATAAGAGCAAAAGAGTGGGCCCCTTACCTGGGCTTCCTTCAGTATTTGGAACAGCTTGATGTTGTCCCCAATATCCGTGGCCGTCGTGGCAATCTTGACGACATCCGCGCCCAGTTCCATCATCTTTCGGACGATCTCCCGCAGCTCGGACAGGTCCGGCGTCCGCTTGTAGTTGTGTGACGAGATGATGATCTTCGTTCGGCTGTTGGGGGGCGCCCCCGCCAAAAGCGCAGCGGCTGGCTGCAAAGATAGAGAGCGACTTTATGAAACTGAAATTGTAACAAGACGCCGGCGTCAGATTGCTAAACGTTGAAATTGTCCAAAACGGGGCTGCAAAACTGCAAGTTTCTCCCTCAACATGAGAGTCACAAAAAACGGCTGAATGTGCGGAAACATTGGGCGGACGCTGATGCAGCGGCAGCCTGTGGGAAAAAAGAGCGACTTCAAAGAGGGCCTCCTGTTACCGGTAACGTTTAGACAACCAGATGCCACAGAGATGGGCGAACTGGCTGCTGAGGCCAGATTTCAAGATGCGAGAGAGTCCGTCCGATGAGAATTTCCCTCAGGATGCAGATGCCACTAGCGCGCTTCGATTTCTGACGCCCTCTTTAAGAACTGAAGCTCGTAAGGAAAGATGGCCGCAGAGTCTTGCGGTGGACTCTGAACGCTTATGGGGAAGGGAAATCGGAGAAGGTGAGAGACCACTCTATTTGGATTCGTGCTCTGCCGAATCCGACAGAGCTGTGAATTCGGCAGAGCGAGGATGCGGATGCTGAAAGGTGAGGCAGAATTACTTGCCGCCAGGAGACAAACACTGTATCCATAGTGCCGGTCCACAATCACAATAACCATCATGCGACCTTTCATTAGGCAGACGGCCAAACAATGGAAGCAAGCTCTTCCAATCATCAGTTTTGACCTGACGCATTTATGAAGAAACCTTGCAAACGACAAAGGCAGCCAATCGCACAAGGTAGCATCTGAGTACAGTGGTTCCTTTCCACTTTTCGCGAGCCAATCCTCACACTTGATCATTCTTCTAGCACGAAGCATAAGTCGAGATGCATATCAGAAAAAGACACAAGTCCGAAGATCGTTCAACGGACATCTGCTCTCTTGACTTCCTGCATGCCCTCTACTGATAAGGTCCCAAGACCTCTGACACAAACATTGCTCCGTTTCAGGCAATGGGCCCCAATGCAATAGGAAAAGTTACTGTGAAAGCATATCACATCATTTATGCAGGCACCATACTATGCAATTTACACCATATTATGCAAAATTCTCAGCTCACCTCGAACCCAACGTCGTACTTGTGCGTCATGTCCATCCGCCGCACCTTGGGCAGCTTCAGGTCCGGGTAGTAGCTGTCGTACACATACTTATACGCCTCCTTCTCAATATCCTTTTGGATTCCCCCCAGCTCGATATCCACGTAATCCACATCCATATCCATAGCATCCCAGATCACCCGTAGCCTATCCAACTCGTCCCCCTCGTACTGCCCCCCCTCCCACTTCGGCCGGTAGGTAAAGATAACCGGCAGCGGGCGGTTCTCCAAAAGCTGTTTCAAATCTTCCTTCATTTTGGGCTCACCGGAACGGGGGGGCGCAAGCAACCATCCGTACAGGTGATCGATCCGGACCTCAACAATCGTGGCCCCCGCGACCTTTGCTTCGTACATTTGCGCCACCATTTCGGAGACGGTTTTCGCGGTCAGGGGGGCGCATAGGTGGCACCCCCCGGGGGGTGTCTCCGGCCACTCCCTGAAGAGGCTCTCGCTTTTCTGGGGCGTAGCGCGCCAGGACCACCGGGAGGCGATCGAGGGCTCGGCACTGGCGCTGATGTCAGCCGCCATTTGGGGGGAGCTCCTGCCGCTGCTAGAGGTTGCTGTTTCAGGGGAGTTTGCGGACAGCGATGTCGGGCGCATGGGAGAGAAGAGAGACGAGAGCAGATGCGAGCCGCCCGGCTGTTGTCTGCTGCTAAAACGGGGTCTGATGGGAAAAGTGGTCACACGAGAGGCTTGAGAATGATGAGTTTGAGAAAGTGATGAAGGCTGTGCAATGTGTGTTGAAACATAGGACTTGCGGAGGCGCGCAGAGGGCCTGGCTTTCAGCAAGCAGACATTGGCCACCACTCCTGCGTCCTTGACACAATTTTGGTATCGGTTGCTGGAGCTTTGCTGCCAAGAGCCGACTGCCGTCTCGAGCCTACCGCTGCCAATCCTTGCGAGCAGACCGCATTCTGCCATGGTGGCAGCACAGGCAATTGGGGGCCAAGATCAACAGCATTGGAACCTGAGCGCCATTGCAAACGCCTATGCCAAACGGTCCACGGATAAATGAATGACTTCTTTCGAGAGCTTCCTTGAACTTGAAGTGGTGATGTTTGATCTATCTGTGACGACGTTGCTCGAGCGCGTATAGCCGGTTTCAACGCCTTAATATTGGCGTTTTCGATTTAAGAAAGCTTGTTCAAGAAGGCCCTGTAATAGCAGAGGCACCATCTACGACTCGGTTTTGAAAGCTGGGAAGATAGCTTTCTATTATTTTAATCGAGGCCCGCTCGCTTGAGCATTTACTCTTACGAAGAATCGCTTATGAACTTTCCAAAAAGCTCGTATTGGATAATGCTATGGTCCTGGAGAACTCAGCTTTCTTCAACTCCTGTTCAGTGAACATTCAGAAAGGAAGACCTGCACTGAAAGAGGTGGTGCGCCCATGAGGGGTCAACATCGCCCCTGATTAGGATAGTGCAACTGCAGAACGCTCAAAGTGCTTCTGTGGAGGTTGACAGCAGCATCAGTCGGTTGCTGACAAGAGCGCGCGCACCATGAACAGCCGCGCTGCAAGTGCGGGCCTTTTATGGACTCATAACTCCGCTTCCCTCCAGCTGAAAGGTTCCTGTTTGCGACTGATCCCTCCTGAAGGCAGCTTGCATGTTGCCCGTCTGCTTGGTGGCGGTGGAAGGGTGGTGCGGTGGATAGCGGGAAGCGTCGGGGAGTCCTCGCTGAAGAATGCAGCGAAAGGCCGCACGCGTGGTTCTGGGCGAAGTGGGAAAGGTGGTACAGTGCCAACTTTATCACGGAGGAACAGTGATTCAAGCCTGGGGCCGGCGCATGGTACAGACTTGAATGGCGCCTCCGAACTGGATGTACATGGAACTCGACGAAACGGAGAGGAGGGGGAAGCGCAACCGGTCCTGTCCGAAGTGAAAGGGGAACCAAAGCACGCCCAGAGGTCAGCAGCTGCTGCACGGACAAAAGCAGGCCCAAGGTTGATGACGGCAGAGTCTGCGACAACCGATAGAAGCTCAAGAGCTTCGAGCGAAGGCTCAACAAACTCGAGGTTGAGGACAGTAGAGGCCTCCATTCCGGACAGCAAAGCGCCGGTGTGCATTCAGTGCCAGCGCGCAAAGCTGCCTTGCGACTATCAAAAGATTAAGTCCTCTTCTGACAAGCGAGCGGATACGTGCCGGGCGTGCCTCGCAGTGATCAAAGCCCGGCGGCTCAACCAAGACATGGGACATCTGAAACTAGACGTGGATGAGGCGTGGGCCAGAGCCAAAGCCTGCACCAAGTAGGTGGATTCTCGTCATTTTGCAGTTTGTCTCGGCTCAATCTTTGTTGGTCAACAGCAAGCTAGCATGCGGAAGTGGTTGCCGCGACTCTGTTTGAGTGTGTGTCGTTAACGGGAGGGTCAGCCTGCGGTTGGCTGGACTAGTTGATAAGCAAAAATGGTCAATCGTGGCAGTAGTTCCTTAGCAGGACTGGCCATTCTCTTGGTTCTCAATTGTCACAACGTGTGTCGAGTTGCCATTGTCTCGTAATGCACTAAAGATGTGCCAAGCGCCGAAATGTAAAGAAGCGTCGCCAGGTTGAATAACCTCTTTCTTGACTTGCAACAGACCCAATTCCCACGGTTCAAAGTTGCGCATGATTCTCAAGAAGCTGATAACTCAATCCTACCATCAGGTGCCACCTTTGAAGGAGCTTCGCGAGCTTTTCTTCTTACTTTTTCTTGTCAACTATCGCCAGGGGAACCACGTCGACTACATTCTGCGGCACAGTCTATAGTTGCACAAGGTCTGAATATTTTTCGTCATTATCCAGGTGCCGTCATAAAAAGGAGCTCCGCGACTATAAAATTCTCGTTTATATATTCAGGTGCCACCACATAAAGGAACTTCGTGACTTCTCGTCCACAAGCGCCAGGGAGACTAGGTCGACTGTATTTGCGGCACAGTCTATAGTTGCACAAGGTCTGATTATCTTCTGCCAATATTTATCTTTTGTCAATATTCAGGTGCCACCATAAAAAGGAGCTCCGCGACTTCTCCGTCAACAAGCGCCGGGGCGACCAAGTCGACTACATCTGCCGAAGCTGCCGGAGCGTCTCCGCCAAAACGCTGGAGCCCCACGTGCCGACCGACGCGCCACAGCGCTGCTTAAAGTGCCAAGAACTGAAACCTGCGTCCGAGTACAACAGGAACATCCGGCACTCGACCGGTCTCTACGCATCCTGCAAAGAGTGCCTCAAGGAGATGGCGCGGGAACGACAACATCGGCTCGAGGCCACTGGCGTTTATACCCCGCGGGAGAGCAAGTTCTGTTGGCGGTGCGAGGTGCAGAAGCCCATCTCGCTGTTTTACAAGAAGAGGGGCGCGTACGACGGGCTGACGAGCGAGTGCAAGGCGTGCATTTCGGCGGAGAAGAAGCGGAAATATCGGGCGAAGAAAATGGGGGCGAATTTAATACGAATTCGGAAGGAGGAAGCCATTGAAGACGAGGATCGGGGATCCGAAAGAAAAGAGGAGGCTGCGGGGAAACAACCATGAGTGTGTTCAAGAGGCGAGGCACAGAGGGCTAAGGGAACAAACTTAAGGCAAGTCATCGGCTGCGATGCTTCATTTGCCACTGCGGGCTTTCACCTTCCGGTCCCCCTGCTTCAAGATGGCTCTTCCCTTTTTGACACAGGCGCCTTAAAGCAAAGCCTTTGAGATTGCAAGTCCTCACTTGCACAATGTGCCAGGGGCTGCTTCAAGAGAAGGTTTGATGGGCTCTCGAGTTTGGGTCAGAGCTTTGTCAAATTTCACAGCCAAAGTCTGATAACTGGCAGTGGGCATTATTGTTGGCAACCGCTGTTTAATCACTTCCCACATTCCAAGCTGACGTATTTGAAGTGAGCTAGCCCCAAGATGAGAAGAAGCAGCGCATTGGACTTGTGTGACTGTTGGTGTACACTAAGTCTCTGTGGCTTACCCGACTGCCTTTTAGAAGAAATTCTCAAACCGAAGTCCGTCACAAAGTTCTGATGAAGATGCATTCCGTGGAGGCTGATGGTCATGCCAACCTCAGCGGAAGGATGGCGACTCGACTTGTAAGTTCCTGGAAGTGCTTTCAAAATTGCCGACGTTGACACGACGAATCAAATGACTACCTTTTACCTCCCCAGGTTGTTGCTGACGGCAACAGAAGGGGCTCTACTCTCTGGTATCGACCAGGATGCGCAGCCACGACTTCCCGCGAATCAATCTTCACTCTACGAGGTACGCCCTTTCTTGATGCTACAAAAGCGCCAGCTTTCATGCCGGGATTGTTTTCGAGATCGGTACTGGACTCGACCAGGAGACGAGTTGTATCTTCAATAAGTCTCATTAGCAGATGGTTTCTATCCTGCCGGAAATGGCTGTGCATCTTTTGCAGAGTATTCTAAGAGGAGCTGCTTATCTTAGTCATATTTGCACGACGATAGGCGGATTGTATCCGAGTTGATTGCCACTTGTTGGCTCTCAGCGAGATATGTACGAAATACGATTTCTGCGTCTTTTCATTCCTGAGTCTGGTGGATTCGGATTGACACGAGGAAACTTTTTGCGACGTACTAGTCCCGAAAACGAGTTTCCCCTTGGTTCAATTTTTGTGGTTCGACTATACCTCTGACTGAGCTAGCTTCTAAGAAGCTTCTTTCGGACTTCGCTTTCCAACAATCAATCCTCAGGACTATGAACTGATACACCTTTCGCACCGACTTCGCTTCAGGGAGGGATTGCTGGACCGTCCGGACAGGCGAAGAGTCTGGCCACCCGGGGAGCTGCAAGGTTTCCATATCCTTATGGTAAAGATAGTAAGGTGGTCAAGTTAATACCCTAAGACACTTGCTGGCCTACAATGGTGCTGACCTCGGACTGACTGGAGCAACCGCGGCAGGGCTTTTACGAGCATGATTTGGGACAGATGTCTGTGAAAGGATAGTCAATTAGATCCTCGGAACTGTCACTGGAATTTTCTGAGCTTTATTGATTGGTCTGTCTTCCATGTCATTCGTGCTCACCTTTGCTGCGTGGCCATATATGTGCGCGACCTCGTGGTCCCGTTGCTGAATGGTCGACCGAATAAAGTGGTACCACCCGAACGCATGCATTGAAGGATGGTCATCGTCTGGCATGTCAATGCACGTTGCTGCTGTTGAATGCAACACTTGATCTCAGTCATGCAGTTATTATTGCCAGCCATCCTCGAAGCGTGCACACGGACATGTACTGCGTCCACAACAAATGATCACTGATGCAGACTGCATGATTGCATATTCCGATGTTTCCTCATGTTAGGGGCTAGATTGCCTTTGCGAGTATCCAGAAACATTGGCCCAGAACCGCTCATTCCCGCATGCTCAATCTTCTGATCGTAGGCACAAAGTCGATCAGCGACTTGCATGAATGTTACATGGTTTGAGTTGCTTCGGAAACCGGGCCCAAGACACCGCAGCCCTGGCTCGTTAAATCTCAATCAGTGCAATCGCTCCCCAGTCGGATCCATGCATGAATTTTGCAAGACGATTGACACAAATTCAAGCCTCTAATTATAAGTCGGCGGGCCTTGAAGCCCTTCACAAGCATGGAGTCAAGTACGTCATCGTGACGTTTTGGAACAAATGCACGCCTACTTCCCAAGTCAGCTCCAAAATCAGCTTTTTACTTAATAGCCCGAGGTTGCAAACCCTGATGATTGACCTAGATCTGCAGGAGACACAATCGATCGTAGCAAACAGGAATTATGCAATCCAGGTGACATGACTTCACTGCCTCTCCAACGTCATATGACTGGTGTCTTTCTTAGACTGGTGCTATTTGCTGTTACGTTCCCTTATTTGGAACGAAGCGGAGCGGCCTCCTCGGTGTTCATCTGTCAACTCTGGTAATCAAACTTTCTTCTGTCCTCCAATTGACGCTTGCTTGTCTCACGCAGCCAACGTTCTTCGGCCCAACTTGTGCGCCGGTTCCAGTCAACGGTTGAATGATGAGTCAGCAAGGTTTTTTTTCCCATGGATCTGAAAGGCGTGGGACTTTGTGAAGCGCAAAGTGTGACTTTGTGATGCGCGAAGTCGTCTCCTGCCATGCATGCCCAACTAATTAAACTCCTCTAAGACTCCTAGCCGGTAAAAAGTATCTTCATGCCTGCCTGTTGCTAGAACCTTGCTAACTTTCGGACAGCTAGCGCCGGCCGCGAAAGCAACTATCATGCGCGTGCGCGGCCGCGGGACTAGGACCGACTTCGACCAAACCCTCCAAACCCTCCTTCCCTTCCGGATCCTGGCAAGCAATCCGCTATCTCAGAAGCCTGACAAAGTAAACAAGATCAGGCGCTTCGTACGCGCCAGCTTCGCACACCAGCTGACCATCATCGCCATCATGGGGCGGGGCTTGTGCATGATGCCTGCGCCTTGGGAGAAGGAGAGGTACCAGAAAGAGGTGCAGAAACGGAACCGGGACAGGGAGGAGCAGGAGAAGGAAAAAGAAGCTCAAGCTGCGAAACGGCAGAAGCAGGAAATTGAGGAGCCTGAGGACTCAGAGTCTGAAGAGGTAAATGATGTCGTTTCACAGCTGAGTTTGTTCGGGACGAGGAATGATTACTCTCCTTAAGCTTTGTGCTCGTTGTTTCCCACTTTAACGCTCTTTCAGCCAGATGAGTTGGCCTGAGCTGGCAGGGTCACACATTGGAGTTGTGCTCTTGGAAGCTGACTACATGGAGGCTTCCCTTTTTCGAAATCATGGTAGTGGACCTCGCAAGAATGAGACGATAAAGAACTCGAGTGTTTGTTCAGATTCTGCACGAATAGTCGCTGATCAGAGATTTCAGAACTTGCTGACAAAGACAAGAAAGGCCTGGATCATGAGCGTCTTGTTTCATGCTCAGAGCTGGTTCAAAGGCTTAACTTGGCCAAGGACTTGATAAGGACACGTGTACTATTGGCTTTCCTGAAGGCTCAGAAGATTGGTACTGAAAGTTTGCTAAGCTCCCTGGTTCGAAGCCTGGCTGAATTGGAGAAAGCTTTTCAAGCGGCTTCCATTTTACCAGAAACATTTTCTGCAAGCATCGAGATCCTGCAATCACAAGCACTCCTGATATATCGTCTTTTGCAGATTGATTACCTCTTGCCATCTATTCATTGTATTGCACACATAGCAAGCGTCAAGCGTCAGACTCTTGTACTTTAACGAAGTTTTAAAGGCGGGGGTTGCAATTGCTCTGCTTAATCAAGGCAGCCAGACGAAGCCATGCATACCGCGTATCTAAACAGAACGCCGGCCTTGTGCAGGAGTTTCACGAAGAGAGCGAAGAGTTCCTAGGGTCTCTGGACATGGGAAGAATGGGCGGGATCTGGCCGCACTACATCCGCCTCATGTTCATCTCCGGCTATCGTTATGTTCAAAGCCTCGACGCGGCCGCCCTGCCTTGCGACAAGCAGAAGATCCTGGATGCCATCCTGAAATGCTGCCCGTCTCACAAGCACAAGGTCAAGAACATCTTTGAACGCTGCTGCAACAACGCGTTCCATGCCCTCTACATGGACACAAACAAGAGCGGCGCTTCGAGCCTCTTCGGCGGAGGTTTCGGCGGAGGTTTCGGGCGCGGGGAGTTTGGGCTTGAGGGACTGTTTGACACCCACAATATGTTCGATGAAGCAAGCGTCATGGACGGAAGTACAAGAATGTACCTAGGCGTAGCAGGCTTGGACCCGATCGCGGAGCTGGCCCTCGTGCGCCAGCGCGATCTTCCCCCGCTTGTCGTGCGCAGGGCGGCCGCGATGCTCAAAAGCCTGAAACCCTTCGTGCCGCAGACGGCGGCGGACCTGGCGGAAACACCGTACGATGCCGCCGACGAGGACAGCGTGGATGAGAACGGCTGTGTGCAGCTCCTCAAGCAGTTCATTCCGCTCTTCGAAAAGGCGGCCGACTTTGGGGACTGTATCGCAGAGCAGTCGTGAAAGTAATATTGCAGTACTAGATCCCTTTTTCGAGTCCGTTTCCGACTCGAGACCCTATGTTTTTAGCGAGCTAGTCTTTGCTTTTTTGTCGAGAAATCCTTTTGAATGCAGACATGAGTAGCAAAACAAAATGTTTTGAATTCCGTATTCGAGCTGCAAGAAGAGCGGTGAGCTAGGTCATCTAGTGACAGTGCCCCGTCAGCATCCTAGACATGTCGGCCCTGAAGGTGGCACTAGGCTGATAGAATCTGCATGCACATGCACCGTCTGCGGTCAGACAAAGTCACGCAGTGATGTGTGCGTGACAGATGCTCGACTCGTCTTCGCACGAGGTTCCTATGCTCAAGAAAGTGATACCATGATCAGTGCGCAGAGCGCGTCGATGGGTAATCAGGAACCTGCTTTCAGGCAGCACGCAGTGATCAACTTGTCAAGTCAGCTAGAAATTTTGTCATTGGGCCGCCCGGCGGCCAAAGACGGGTTTGGGCTGCCGTCAAGAATTTCGGTATCGTTGCTCTCTCGATGACTCGCTGCAGCGCCGGCCTCCTTCATGTATCGTTGGTCGAGGGGTATCATAACGTTCCACCTCCGCCTGCCTCAGGGACATACGACCAGATCTTAAACAGGTTGCAGCCTTAACTAGTGTCATGCGACGGCAAGAAGTGGTTCCGGAAATTGAACGAAGTACTTGAAAGCCAGTCACCTTCATATGCAAACTTCGATTCCTTTGAATACGTCTGTTGTGAATGAAGTATGTGAGTTCTATGGACCGTCTTCAACAGGACCAGATGATCAGAACCTGGCTTCTCTTCAGTATTGACAATCGCCGCTCATTGGCCCATCCGAAATTGAGGACACAACGTCATGCAAGCTTCAAGTTCTTAGTATCGACCAAGAATACGTGTCTGCTGCCAACCAAACACAATAGTCAGCTGACCTACTTAGGGCAAACGTAACATACCAGAACAGGTCGCACATCATATATGCGCCAACAATGCCGGGAATCATAGCACATGGTCACAGGTGGCCAACAGTGACTTGGTAGAAGCAGATGGGCATAGGAGTATGTCGGGCTCTAGCTGACCTTGCAAGCAAAAGCAGGTTCGTCACTCGTATCTCAAGCTTTGAAGCAAGCTTCGCATATATATTACCTGACTTCCTGACCTTTGTTCGGTACTAAGCCAGCTAAGCTACTCCCAGTGCGTCTTGGAAGATCACATCCCTGCTCAGGAGAAGATCTGTAATATATATGTGCTTTGTATCGCACCCGCGTCGCATGAAGGCAGCTGCATATTTGAGTTCATACTGAATCTCTGCAGGAGCCCTCTGCTTGTGGTTGGCCGGACTTGCAAGCTGGCCATCGAGCTCAGCCTCTCACAGTACATGAGAACGCTTTGGCAGTGCTCATGTGCTCAGCAGATAACCCCGACATCCCCCCGACAGCGAAGAACTGCCGGGACGACTTTGGCACTGGGTCAAATCCAATGCCATTCGAATTCCAATTAATACGGTCCACATGGCAAGACGTGCACGTCGACGAAATCAACCGTCGCGGCGGCGTCGATATATCGTGGTTGAGCGTACGGATTGCATACGAGCCGTAAAGCTTCGCAACGTACCTATGTCCGTACGACGGTCAGAGGCAGCCGGCAAGAGAACCTGGACATGGCCGGCCTACAAAAGAACCCCGGCCGGTGCCGAAGGCACCCCGCCGGCTGCTCAGCCGGCTGAATATGCAGGCAAATAGAGGGCTCAGCCGGCCGGTTAAGCCAACTTGCCGACTACCGAGCCGACAAAACTGGGGGGGCGTCGGCAGCTGACCGGCCGGGACGAAACTCCGTGGGAAACCCTGGGACTCCGAGTCCCGACTCCGATATGGACCGAGCATTTCCCAACCGGTACGACTTTGTCGGAACACCGACCATCATTTGGACACAGCACAATGAGCACATGTTGGTCGAAATTGCACGGGAATTCAACCCGGTTCGGAAGATTCGCGAACAGTTCGAGACACGTGCATGTCATTCTCATCCTAGATTTTCAGGAACCCGTGCCGGCCGGCAATCCGTACCATCATACCACGCCCTATGTGTACCGTACATAGATACATAACACCTAGCTGAACTTTCGGCGACAACTTGAACAGTGGCTGCCAGGAAATTCTCCAGCCTCAAGCCTGTCAAGGCTGGACGACCAGGACGACTGGACGTCTCGATCTCGAAAGCATCTAATATGGAGTCGGCATCACGAAGCAGCCACCTGGTGTTACGTACATATATACATGTTTCACATCTACAAATTAATAAATCAGCCTGCTTTTTTGACAAAGAGCCTTCAATCATATGCAGATGCACAAGCACCAAGGGGAAACGGCTCAAGAGCTCCTCCGGAAAAACGCAATGGCTTAAAAGCTCTGAGCCTCAGCAGGCGGCTACGCAAATATAGACTGCCAGATCTCCAATGACATGCGGCAGCAAATCTGCAGCAGAAAAAAGAACTCCAAAAACATAATGTGCCGCACCTCGTGTCCGGCGGTGCGTGGTCTCATGATTTGTACACTTGTTCACTGGAGATCGGGTTGGAGATGTGGAGAGCAGCTCCAAAGCTGCATCGATGACGCGCTGATCTTGTCTGAGTACTGCAGTAGGCGCACTGCGCTTTTCCCTTCCAGAAGCTTTGATAACTGACGGATCAGAAGTATACTAAGGACAGCTTTCCCTGGTCCACTCCATCTCAGTAAGCTGAGGCCGGTGCTTGCAAGGTAGCTTGTTTCTAGCAGGATCAACCAATACGGTGTGTGAGCACTTCAATGCCAGTCGCCTTTGACAGTCTTCTCAGACGTCAGCTGTCTCACTCCCACCCCGCCAACAATAACACAATTCTCCAATTTTAAGGTCTGCCGTTTTCTTGTAAAAAAAGGTAGTGCATCGCGATCGGGATTCTCCGCCAGTGCCACTTCCTTATAGTTTCCGGAATTGGTACAAGCTCAGCTCGCCGATGAAGTCTGGGGGCAAAGTTGAGATGGTGTCAGCTTTCTACAGCCTGTTCCATGGGAAGCAGCTCTTGACACTCATTGCGCTGGTAATGTTTGCCACCCTCTCCCTGATCGTCACTGCATCTGTGAGCTCCCAAGGGCTGCGCACGACTCTCCTAGGATATGGCGATTTCGCTGGGGGCCTACTTGCGAGTGACGAAGCGGATAGAACGGCGCAGGATGGGGCGGAGCATTTGAACCACAGCTTTGCACTGAGATTCAACGGAACGGAGGCAATGCGGCCGATGCAAGAGCTCGGGGATTCGATCATTCCCGCCTTGTATGCGTCGCACAGATACAAGGAGATGCGTGACAAGTATCCAGGAAGCAAAGTAAGTAATCAACAGCGACTCCTGGTCTTACCGGTCTTTCTGAATCCTGCCATTGATAGTTTGCGAGATAGAGCGTGTCGATCCTTCGTTGCAACCTTGTCTGTTGTCTAACGATCTCAGTAAGGGGATACGGGTTCATGTATCCACTTGACTGTTGTTTGTATGGAAAGACCTTGACTCCAAGCAATGTTCTCCCAACATCTGTGCACTGCTGCCTGTCCATCTTTGTCTCTTTCTCAGATCCTATCTTTGGCGAGGCTATCAATCCTGTCTTTGACCCCTCATCAATATTCACAAACATGAAAGGCTTCGCACCTAGAGTGAGTGATGTCTTTTTATCTGGGCTGCCTAAGAGCCCATCTGTCTTTGTTTTACGCCAGCTCGTTGATTGATCAAAACCCTGAAATCACGCGCAATGATCGATCAGCCTGAAATCTTTCACAAACAGTCTCTTTCCTTATCATCACAGAGCACTTTTCCCGCTCCATGCTTCTCACATTGGCTCCCCAAGACTCGCCCCCCTGTGAATCACCGCAGCACGCATGTCGAGGCGGCTGTACCTGTTACAAAGCCTACCCGTTTTTCGTGAGAGCAAGGCACAAAACCTTCAAATGTTCCCCCCTTTCTTACAGTTCTTTATCCGGCGGCCGATCCCGGTGGTGGGCACTCCGGTGCTGAACAACGGACACTGGCTGAAGCGCCTCGTGTACAGCATCGATGTACCGGTGCGCATGATTCAGATCATCGTTGGGACTATGCCGGGCTCTAAGACCATGGACACGTCTGTAAGGGACGCGCTTGAGGAGCTCAACCAGAGGTGCGCGACGAGCCGTACACTCGTGTTTCCGCTCTTCTAGTTTTCCAAGTTTTAGATTTTCGGAAGCCGCGTCTCATCAGGAATGCTTGGCTGCTAAAGTTATCAGCTCCTGGAGTGTACACAAACTCTAGCCTTGGAGAGTCTCCAAAATCACAGGCAATTCTGGCACCACGGTCTGCTTTTCAAGCTTTCAGGAATCCGGGCTTCGCCGCTTTGAGATCTTTACGAAGCGGAAAGCAGGTTGGAAAGGCCCCTTTCTCTATTTTGACGGTCACCTTTCCGTCAAGGGACAGTCCAACGCCTTGCGGCAACTTCAATCTGGATTTCCGACTTCCGTCTTTCTTCTTTTCTTCTCGGCAGGTCTTTAGTTGCTTCGTCGCCTCTTTTAAGGATAGCGCCCATTCTGACCAGCAAGATCCGAAGGCTCTTTTTCCTCCTCCTTCGAGATCATAAAAATCCTACCCAGCAGGACAAAAGCGGGGGCTCTTCACGGTCGACCGCTGATTTGGACTGTGACAGGGGCTTAGTACAGGGTCCAAAATCCGCATAGAAGGCCTTCAAACGAGGCGCTGGAACATCTCGGATGCCACTCGAATACTTGAAACAACTTCAAAAGTTGTTTCCGTCTACATTTCTCCTTCTCAAGCTGCCCCCCAGCTTTCCTCCATCATCGACTTAGCCTTCAACATAGGCGATAAGGAGTCCGGACAATGTCGGCAAAAGGCACCCTCAACTCTGAAAGCGTCTGAACTTTCCGAACCGGACCTTAGGACTTTCTCTGTCTCGACTTTCCTTTGTTCAGGCTGCGCCGCGGTTTCGTCTCCTTCATTAATCGCCGTTGCAACAGGGTTCACCAAGGGGGACCCGACGATTCAGAAGAAGGCCTGCATTTCTAAGCTCAATGCGAGAGAGCGTTTTGTCCGAACACGGTCCGAATCGCTTTGCCCCAGTCCGAAGCGGGTCCGAAAAGTTCGAGCTTAGTCCGAACACGTCACATGTCCTAACACGTATCGAAGATGGTCCGGATTGAGTGCGAATCCGGATCGAACCGGGCAGCAGATTTAGAAGGCTTTCGAACAAAGGGTTTCCCGCAGTGAAGAAGGCTTTCTCATTCGAGAAGGCAATCTGGGCACCGACCTTATGATTGAAAGGCGCTTTGTCTCTCCGCCTCCTCTCAGGCTGCCCCCGGGTTTCTTGTCCGTCGTTGACATGGGCTGTAACATGGGCTCCGGCGGCGGGTGGAACGCAGTCTTCGAGCACAACTTAGACGCGCCCTGGTACCTTCTGGTCAGCGGTGACGTGGCATTCGCCCCCGGCGCGCTCGCGCGCATTCCCGACGAGCTGGAGGACCCGCAGAACGAGAAGATCTTCGCGTTCATGTACTCGCAGTTCCGCTTCTTTGCGCTGCGGAGGGAGGCGGTGAGCGGTCCAAAGTGAACAAATGGATTGTAGAAAAGTTTCACACTTAGGGTATTTTGGGTGTACATGGTTTCAGGGTGTTGCTTGAAGTGTTGTCGTCGCTTTAGGCGAGCGTCACGTGGTCTCGTCTCACACGCTTACTGGCTCGTTTCGCGGGCGGAGAGGCTACGGTTTATAGTTCTCCAGAATTCAAATGGTTCCCAGATGGAGTGAACGTCCAGTATTCGTGGTCGTCCTAGCGATTCAGTAGAAGGATCTCGTCCGTAGTATGGTGATCAGAGCGGGTCAACTACGGCGTCATGTTTGTGGGTTAGGGGTCGTGGTTAAGCCACTGCCACCGCGCACGTGCGTCTAGCGGTTGCGCTTTACAACAATGAAAGTTGTTCGATGTCTATTCACGGGAAAGAAGTACTGCTTGCGGGATCATACCAAGGGCGTTTTCTTTCTGCATTAATTGAAGCACGATTCACGACATAGAATGAGATCTGGATTCTCGTCCTCAAATGGTCTCGTTAGACTTGAGCGTTTTTAAGTCGCTTAAAGTATAGAAGCGCGACGACCGATTTTGTGACCTCGCCCGCTGGGGAAGAGTCACGTGGAAAACGGACTTGATTCGACAGGTGCTAGAGATTTGGCACCCACCTAAGACACGCCAGTTCATCACTCAACTCACTATTCACATAATGACATGCACTGTAAACGAAAGGTCGACTTTAAGGTCAAGGGCGACCCTAAACATACAACATTCCAGATTGTTTTCGCCCAGTGGAAAACTTCGAGATCGTTTTGATTGGGACTGTTGCATCCTAAAACCTTGAGTCGATCTTAAAGCGGCCTATCATTCATAGCGAGATGAGGATGTGACGGAGGCTAGAAATCGGCGCGCGCAGCTCGACCTGGTGGGCGTGTGGGACGAGAACATGTGGCCGTCCTACTACGACGACAACGAGTACCAAGCGCGCATGGAGCGCGCGCAGGCGCTCACGCCGGGCGTGCAGCGCATCTGCTACATCGGGGAGCCGATGCCCGACGGCCGTCGATTCGATGAACCAGCGCACATCCACGGCGGAAGCGAGTTGCTCGGGCCGTACGCTGACGTCTGGCTGGAAGAGGGGGCGGAGCGAATCTCGGGGGCGCTGCGCGCGGAGCCCAGGTGTGTTCCACAACTGTAAAGCCTTTTAAGTCACTTACCGTTTTCCCCTGAAACGGCATCCTAAATGCGGCGAATCTAGGATGCTGTATTGACATAGGGGTGAATAGAGGGGCGGGGCGGGTCTCGGGGGCGCTGCGCGCGGAGCCCAGTTGGGTGTCAGAGCTTTCCGGTTTTAAGTTTGTAGGGTTTGAGGCCTCTGAAATTTGAGTTTTTCGTTGGTGGACGTGAGGGTTGAGAAAGGGGCGCAGCGGCCCTGATTGAGGAGCCCGCGTGAGTCTCAGGGTTGCAAAGATTCAAAATGTTATAGGGGTTTTGAAGCTATTGGATAGCCAATCAGCCTCAATCTGAGGCTGGTTACCAGGCTGGTTATCGACGTAACTTGGATGTAAGCAGGCTGCAATCAGCCCCAGTTAACTGCCAGTTTCCTCTCCGCAAGGCAGTTTCCTCTCCGCAAGGCATTAGGATTCTGGAATGATGTTCAACAGCAGAGAAGCGAAGAGTTCCGAGTTGAACGGATGAGCACCCCTGTACGGGAGGGGCTGAAAGGCCCAAACGTCCACTACAAGAAGATTCTTTTTCGTCTTCTTCTTCTTCATCTTGTCGCTCTTCTTCTCCTCTTTTTCTTCGACTAAGAAGCATTTGGCGTGTCTGACAACTTAGGCCGGGGCCTGCTGATTGAGTGTAATTTCCGCCGCCGGGACGACCAGCAGTTCTTGTTTTCAGTCACAACTAAAGAAACGGTCCTGCAGATTGGAAGACATGCGCGTGGAATGACGCGTTTTCATGCTAAGCCCCTCCCATTTCCATGGCGTCTTCGCCTAGAATCGGCAACGTCCTGACCTTTTCATCCTGGTTGGACCCAATCGCAAATGCCTTCCAGAAAGGAGTCAGCTGCTCGCATCGCCGGCAGCTCACCATCTGCCCCGCGCTTCTGGCCCACTCCGGAACCGCCACGTGTCCCTGTCTCAATCGTCTTTCCGTTCCGGTCGCCCAGGTTGGCTGCCCGGAAGGGTCCTTCCGGGTTCAACTCTCTGCGGTTCATGATGAACAAGTACAACTTCTCGTATTGGGAAATGAAGCCGAAGGAGCAGCTCGAAATCAGCTGGCGCCTTCCCTTCAACAACCCAGAGAGGGGGATCCCCCGCTGGGTGCTCGACCCAATGGTGCGCGCGGTGCAGGTACGCGCGCGGCCTGCCGCCGGTTGCTTGGGTTGATGCAAACGAAGTGCTGTTTTCAGGTTGCATTTGAGTTCGTATCCGAAATTCTGCGGGAGATGCCCTTCTCGTTGTCTTGGGTGGGTTGGATTTCTCCTGTTCGGTTGACCGAGGTTTATTCTGACTTCGGACCGGCCTGGTAAAGGAGTTAGACAGATCTCCATGCGTGATCGATCTGCAGCGCTTTAAAGGCAACAAATCGATCCCTCGGGGTTGTTCTGTGCTGTGAATTTTTGACTGAAATGAAATGAGAGCGCGGCGCCCTCTAGAGGCGATAGTTGTCGAGATTGGCAGATTGATCGTGCTTATTCCAGGCCGCTTTGCGTTTCTGGCAGTGCTAGATATGGAGATTGCAGAGCTCCTTCTTAGGTCGAGTGCGAAGCCCGCGAGGCTTCCAAACAAAATAATGGATGAAATGGACAGTAATAAGCGAATACGCCTGATCTAGAAGACAACATCCAGACGAAAAGTGCCATGCAACTTGCCTTGGCTCCTTCTGGCATTTAGTAACCCCGGCCAGAATTCCTTTTGTCAAGTTTTGAGGATTTCAAATTGCCAGACCGTCTCGTTCACAGGCTAGTTCTTTGGGCTTCTCAACTGCGCTCCTGTAACCTAGACGACGACCGCTCGAATGCGATATTGCACCGACGTGACGTCATCCAGAACCACAGTTCTGACCTGGCTGCTCGACTGTCTTGTCCGATAAAACCAGCCTGAGGAACAGAAAGCATCCGCTTTCTACCTTTCGCAAATTGTTTCTATACAATCATTTACGTACTTTTGATTCGACACTGTACCGATCATTCACGTACTTTCGATTCGAATACCGATCATTCACGTACTCTTTGTTTGACAACGACGTACAAGAACGCAGCCTCACTTCAGCTGCTTCTTCCCATCTGCAGATGTCGATTTGGAACCTGGACAACGACATGTTAAATGCCGTTTGGGAGCGGTATGATTTTTCGGGGATGCTCCCGGGGGACACGCGGACCGACCCGGAGCGCGAGTGGAAGGACACGCACGGGAACGAGCTGCAGATGGTGCTGCCACGTGGCATCAAGTTCAACACCGAAGCATTTATTGCGGCGCAGGGCCCGCAATGCGTGTCGGGCTTCGCGGCCGCGCAGGGGCTCGTGAGCAACTTGTTGAAGATCCAAAGGGGCGGGACGCCCGAATGACGCGCGTGCTGCGAGGCCAAATGACGTTTGGCCTCGAATTCTTGCAGTTATTCTATGCAAGAATAACTGCTATTCTTGCATAGCAGTTAGCAGCTTTGTATGGTGTCAACATGCAAACGGAGAACAAAATGGAGCTTCGCACTTCCAGTTGGAACTCCGGAAAGGATACTCGGGACCAACTGTTTGTTGACACTGCGTTGGCGCATGCCAGTCAAATTTTGCCTCAGAATTAGTAGATGCAATATGAACGTGTATAAGCGCTTTGGAGAGCTTAGGGCGTATGGCTATATCATTAGTACGACGGCGAGTTGTAGAGATCTACATATGTAGGACAGCACTTCAACTGCTTGTGGCGGACGGGCCCGACGAGAGATTGCAAACTCTTACGTCTTTTGGCCCATGCTTATATATCTGCATATGTCGTGATTACCGTCACGTACAATACACCTGCAGTTCTACCGTACCGTCCAAGTATGTACATTATGTCGCTCATATTGCCGGATCGAATCCGGGTCATGCCTTATACAGTCTTAACTCGTAGTCTCATGTCAATTAGTAATTGACATGAGACTCATATACCAGTTAGGCGGCCGCATGACGTAACTGGATCTGAAAACTTAGTGGACTCGGTTCAGAAGCATTTACGTACTGTCGCGACCAACTGTCCATATATGAACATGCGGCATGTATTTGGGCTCACTTTGCGCGTCCGATGCGGTGGTCCGTTTCTAGGCATGCCAGGGGACACGCGGTTCACATGACGTTGCCGACTTTCAGGACATGTAAACTTTTCGGAAGTAATATAATGCAATTAGATACTTTCTTGAACTCCGCAGTCAATAAGTACGTACGGCCCAATGCAACTACCTACTATAGAAACCTAGACGTGCAGGGCCATATGCTGGCAAAAATATCGTCTACCTTCAAATTTTAAGAATCACTAAACATATCCGGACAGGTTCACGTCCCGATCAAGCACAATACTGGGCCGCATGCAATCAAACAGCCGCTGTAGTTCATGGCACACTCAAATGCCTCTTCAGTACCTTCAACCGTTGTAAAGTAGCTGCAAACGCATCCGAAGAACTAAGCCACGTACCATCTACATCAGCATTCTGGAAACCGTACCTCATTTCCTTCAATAATCCTACTTCTCTGCTATTTTACTCAAGTTTCTGATATCCGAACCTCCTTCCTTTTCTACTTCATAAAGCTCCCAAGAAACAATAGATAACCAAATTGTAGTGCAGCCGCAACGTCATTTCATATGCTGGCATGCCAAGCTCCAACTACCTCCCCTCCCCATCAAAGCGCTCCGGCATTACGATTGTATTCCCACCATAGGCCGAGCCACCCATTTGGCCGGAAGTGTACTCAGATCCGGAAGAAGACTGGCTGTATTGACTCTGCTTGAATTCGTCGCTGCTACCTCTGCTAGAGCGGCGGGGCCCCGGGGGCTGACCATAACCGGCCGGGTTTGGCGAAGGACGACCCGGAGGGGGGCGAAGCATGCCTGGGGAAGTGGGGGTAAGCGAGCCCGAGCGGCTTTGCCTTCCCGGTGGGGGAGGAACGGACGAGCCCGAGCTTGTCGGGCGCAGATGAGCGAGCTGAACCTGCAGATTAACGTGTCTGCTTCAGCACTGAACAGAAATACAACAAACACGAAACATTACCTAGATTTAACATAGTAGATTCAGAAAAGTAGACGACAACTGCAGAGAAGCATGATATGACTGGCTTCGGAGTTAACAACAGTCCCTGGTTAGACCAGGTTGCTAAGATGGTGTTTGCCAGATTCCTCGAGGGATCGGGGAGTCAAGGTGCATGCCGAACATGGGCTTCTGCTCTGCTGGCATGAGAAGCTTGACGGCAGCACATGCAACCCTCGCGCGCAGGACTCCAGCCTTGCAATTTCACCACTCTACTCAGCGCTACCCCCGAACCACTGATCAATCACACACTCGCCTCCTCTCTACTCGCTTCGGGTCGAGACCAAAGCGCAATTATGCTTTTCCAAAACTGCCCGCTGCTTAAACCAGTCGGGAACTTAAACGCACGTTTCTCTCTTGACAGAAAGAAAGTTAACTCCAGAAACTTAACAAGATCTTTCGTCAGGACATACCTGCGCCGGCCTGCCCATCCCGGTCTCCTCGTCCTCGTCCCACCGCTGGTCGCCGTAAGGGTCCACCTCTCTCTGCGGCTCCCTATGCTCGTCGATGATGTCGAGGGCGACCTCGGCCGAGTGCGGGCCGCTCGCCTCGCTCCGGTACGAACCGCCGGACCGGCCTGCTGCAGAAAAGATAAGTTGGAAAGCACTTCTGCCTCTTCGGATTCTTGAGCACGGTTTCACGTCAGCAGAGTAACAAGGTTCTTTTGCTGACGTGAGGCTATTAGAAAAAGCCTCGCGGTCTCTTGGGGGGCTCGGAAGAGGTGCAAGGGGAAAAAGAAATGAAAGGGCAGAACTGAAAAGTAAGAAGAAGACTCCCGCACTTACTGTTAAGAGCGCCTAAAACTAACACCTTCGCTTGCTGAACAAGCGCATTCAGAGAAAAGTATAACCCTCAACGAAAACAAAATGATGCAACTGGACCACGCTTTCATGCCATTGTACTTCTACGCCGCAGCGCATACAGGGGAGGCTGAATACAAGTACTTCCGCTATTGCAAAATGGTTAGTGCTCATCGCGTCTGCCACTTACGAAAAGAGTCGCTGGTTTCTCCGAACCGGCCGAAGCAATATGCGTTTAGTGCAAGAAGATCGCTGATTCTTCGAGACCTACCCTGCATCGGTAATGCGGCGGCAGGCCCGGAAGGGTACCCCCCCTGGCTGGACTGCGAGTACTCCCCGCTGGACGGCGCCTCGCTCCCGAACTCACTGCTCATGTACGGGCCGCCGCCGAACGGCACCGAGTCGAAGCGCTGCGTGGGCTGATAGTTGGAAGTCGAGTCGGGGCTCAGGCCATCGTCTTCCAGCATGCGCACGACCTGCATGAGAGGGAAAAGGAACATGAAACGGATGTCGGAAGAATGTCAGAAACATGAACAGTCTGGAGATAGGAGCTCGTGGGAGTAGGAGAGATTGCGAGCTGGGACATATGGTTCATGTAAGGCTCCGGATGGCACCTCACGTTTGTGCTGAACGTGGTAGATAACAGGGTACAGTCAGGCACCACTGGGCCAAATGAACAACTCGAAACGGGAGGAGAGAACACGGCAAGCCCTCCATTCCTTTGATTGTGTGTTGCGGCAATACTACAAATGCACGCCTCCGCTTACGATCAGAATCCTCGTACTCAAGCAAGACCCTTCAAAGCAACCTCTCGAAGTCTCCGAATCTGCGACCCACCTGCGTCATGCGGGGCCGCTTGGTGGCGGTGCTCCGGATGCAGAGCATGGCTGCGCGGATGAAGCGGTGCATCTCGTCGGGGTCGTAGCCCGAGGCGTTCAGCCGAGGGTCCACCAGCTCGTCGTACTGCTCGCGCATCAGAATGGGGCGCGCCTGCGAAAACAGAAAGGAACTTTTTGAACCCTATAGCCGCTGGAACGAAAGCGTCTCTTAACTTCTGGCGTATTCGATCAGCGGTCCGTGGACCGTTCGTTACTGCTTGAGCATGTGATGCGTGCTTGAAAGGAGGCGAAAAGCGCTGCTCTGATCTTTTGGAGGCATGAAATCCAAAACGTAGGACGTATGATGCTACAAAGGTCTGCGGTGGTCCCACGTCGTGAATGGGTAGGTGTGCTGTGAATCTTGTTCAGACGACTAGGTCTAGGGAAGATCAAAACCTTGTGGCATAACAGGGGACGCTATTGGGACTTGAGGGGGCCGTCCTAGCACTCCCAGCAGAAACGCGAGCTGGATCCGCTAGATTCTCAAGCAAAGTCGCAACACGGCAGCACTAGCGTTGTCTTGGGCTTCCATTTCTCCATTTCCTCGTACCAGTCCACCTTCCGCCTAGCATTCATATCCCAAGCTGCGTCAAATGACCCAAGTCCAGCAACGGAGAAAACCAATGTCAACAGACATCAACCACAAACCGCTGCAAATGATTGAGGACAATTCACTACCATTTTTGAGACGTTGCTTCGCTCACCCATTCCACGAGGCTCTCTTGGCCCGCTGGCTGCGACATGTCAACGGGGCGCCTGCCGGAGATCAACTCGAGGAGCACAACCCCGAAGCTAAACACGTCGCTCTTCTCCGTCAACTTCCCCGACATAGCATACCTGCGACCGAGACACCTTGTCAGTCACCAGGTTTCGTGGCTGCTTCTTACTGCGTCAAAGTTTCCATCGGGTTTGTCAAATTTCCAATAAGCTCGGGGCATCGTCGCTAGTCGTGGACCGTCATTTTGACGATGAAAGACATCCCACGGACCAAACTCGCGCACCACAACTCAGGTCTAACATGTGGGCTGGCAGATTTGAGGCAAGAGCTGTAGTAATGAGGCCAAGGTTGCCACGGTTGTGTGACGCAGCCAGGGCTGAGCGGTCAGATACCGCAAGCGCCAAGACTACGTGCTGCGGTTGCGCCGGTTGTTGAAATAATAATCAACATTCTTGTGTCAGACTGCAACATTCACCGGTTCAGGATATCCAGTGACCCGAATATGACCATGTCTTTCGGAATAATGCCAAAGGGCTTGGAAAGAGCTTCGCTGGAATGACAACTTTTCAACGTCAAGGTGCTTGGTGCTGCCAAAAGGGGGTCTCAAAGTGGTATTGCTGGTTCCCATGGCGAAGCTCTGGCTCCTTTTTTGGAATTTCAGACAGAAAGCATCAGCACTTCCACCTCTTGTTGATACACGGCCTTTTAATAACACTCACTCTGGCGCAAGGTAACCAAACGTCCCCATGACACGTGTCGTCACGTGAGTGTCCTTCTCTCCGGCCAACTTCGCCAGGCCAAAATCGGCGACCTGCAATAAAGAACTTAATTCAAAGAACGGAAGCAGACGCAAACCCAACCGCAGTAATATAGTGGCCAATGGTTCAAGCTTGCCTCACGTTTGGTGTTGTCCGAATGCGGAACAGCACGCGTGTTCGTCCGTTGCAATGGTCAGAGTGGTTGGATACTTGTCACGGAACTCGAATGAGAGTCGACTGGATGCTAATGATGACAACAGGGGCACGCCTCTCCATAGGGCAAGATGAGAAAGCCACAGGGCAAGACGAGAAAAAAGGAGAGCTTCGACGCTGCACAAAATTAGTGCGTCACCCTCACCTGGGCGTCAAAATGTTCGTCCATGAGGATGTTCGAGGCTTTGATGTCACCTGCGGGAAACAATGCAAGAGATAAGAAGACAAGGAAAGCACCAGGTAGCTGAACGGACCACTAAGCAGACCTCGTACTCGGATCGCAGAATGTGATCTCTTCTCGGTCACACAAACAATCTTTTGCAAGCACGACCAAAGGTTAATGACAGTGACAGTTGCAACATCATGCAAGCGACCCGAAAGGGAGGACCAAAACGGCCTCTTGAGCGAATTCACTTCCTACCTCGTCCAAAAACAGACGGTGCTGCTTCTGGTGATAATGTCGACAAGTAACAAAACTCACGATGAATGATCCGCGGGTGGCAATCCTCGTGGAGGTATGCGAGGCCCCTGGCAGAGCCAACGGCGACCTTCTTCCGCGAGGCCCAATCCATAAGCGGCTGGTTCTTGCCTGCAGCAAAACAAGACGATCAAGTGTGAACAAAGCGCGGACAGGAACGGAAGGCAGACATGGGAGACATGAGTATGTAAAGCAAGACGAAACGCTTGTTCTTGCCTGCATTGGATCGATCAAGATTGACGAAAGAGCATGAAGGACGACAGTCAGACGTCCGGGACATGAGGACATGTGCGGCGAACAGAAAGGGTTGTCCTTGCCTGCAGCAGATGGCAACAATCAAGCATGAACAAAGCTCATGCCGGAACGAAGTCAGACGTCCGGCAAAATGAGAACGTCGAGAGCTTGAACAGGAGGTAGAGAAGCATGACATATGGCGACCGGAACAGAGGGCGACGAGAAACTTGTAGCCATACCGAGCTCCTCCAATGGCGGATTCATGATTGCATGCTTGCAAAGCCAGGTGGTCGACAGATGAAATTCCCTTCACAGGGCTGATGATGCAAGTTCGATGGGGGCCTCCCATCCGCTTTTCAACTTGACGAGTACAAGAAGGACTGACAGAAAGAAGCAAGTAACATAGACCACGAGGAAGGGCTTTGAGGATTCACAGGCTGCATCCCTTCCTTCAAAAGGAAGGGTCGATCCTCAGATAGTAAAGCTGCAGGCTAGGTTTGAGCGTCAGATCAGCCATGCTTTCCCTTCGTCAACACACACTCCGTCGAGAACGAACCAGCGGAAAGATGTGAGGAACAAAGACGAGACAAAAGGAATGGACTTGAGCTCATACCGTGCAGGTTGGACTCGAGGGTCCCGTTGGCCATGTACTCGAGCACTAGCAGGCGCTCCTCGCCCTTCATGCAGTACCCGAGGAGCGTCACCAGGTGCCGGTGGTGCACGCGCGAAATGACCTCCACCTCCGAGCGGAACTCCCTCTCGCCCTGAAAGGAGTCAAGGAAAGAGAGTGTTAACACCTCATGACAAGTCCTAGATGCAGCTGTGCAAAATCCAGTACGGAGCCAAACTCAAACTATCTTAGTAGAGAGAACGATTCCTGCTCATCACGGCTCCCTTTGAGGATGTGAACTTGGACTTCTTCTGGTTAACAAATCGATTCCCCTTGTAGCAACAAGTCAATTTAGGAGACATACTGGTAAGATTTCCAGAGATGTTGATTCTTTTTTGCGGAATACAGCTTGCTTGTTTGCAGTCTCCTTTTTTGGATCCTATCAGAACATTTTGAAACGCCACTTGTCAAACTTCAACACAAGCTATCACCGTAGAAGGGACATGAACAGGCAGTTCGTGTGGCGATTGGCTGAACAAAAGGGTGCAACCATGCACTGATGGTGGTCTAGCCAGCTCTTTCTGTGCAAGATTGTCCCCCAAATTACCAGAGATTGGACCTTACCTCTGAAAGACTTCAGACACCCAGGAACTTCTGGAAATGAATGAGAAACAAGAAAGCAACAACCTCTGTTGCGACTCAACCGGGAATCCTCCACATCCTCTAGCCCAGGCAACAACCTACCTGGTTTCTAGGACCTCAGCTGAACCAGACCTCCTCAAAGAGGACTCTTCACTGTAATCTACAGATCACTGTTGGATTTCTTGCAGGGGGAAAGTTACCTGGCCGCCGAGGCCCCCCAGGGTGAGCTGCTTCACAGCAACTGTGACCCCCTCTGATGTCACCCCCTTAAACACCTTCCCAAAGCCGCCCTCCCCTAGAAGGTTCGTGGGGGAGAAGTTGTTTGTCGCCGCCCTCAACTCCTCATATGTAAACAGACGGTGGCTATCGCCAAATGCACTGGGAGGGCGGGGAGGCGCCTGGAGCGGAGAGACCATTGCCGGCGACTCTGGCTGGCTCTTTGGCTCTGAAGGAGCTTTCGAGGAGGGTGCAACTAGAGGTGGCGGAGCCTTCCACTGCTGCCGCTGGTTTTCATTGGCCCACTCGTTCTGGGGGGGTGCTCGTTGCTCGCGCTGGATGGCAGGAAGTTGCTGCTGGGGGGGGGGCTTTAGAGGGCCAAAGTTGTCACGAGGGGGAGTGCGCGACGGCGCGTAGTTCTGCTGGCGGTTGTCTTGAGCAGCAGCTGGAGAGAGGATGTAGCTAATAAGAAAAGTGCAAGATCAATGAACAGATCAGCTTTTTCTTGATTTTTGGCTGCTCTTGTAAGGTTCAAGCGTAAAACCGCGCCCAACGTTCAGACCTATCCAAGAAGCTGATGACGTTTGAAAAGGTTTTGAGTGCCCATAGCTTAGGTGGTAGAAAGAATCTTGAGCACAATAGTGAAGCTGCAAAGCAAACGGCTAAATCTGGGATTTCTGAGCCTACTTTTTGGTCTGAAACAAGACAAGGAGCTTGCATCGTAGAAGCCAGATTGCGCGCAATCACTGGTCTGAAAGCTGCATCACAAGTTCCTGGTATAATGCAGTCTCCTTTTGGACTGGTGCACGGCCGTCTTCCTGCCCGAGTCGGTACAAAACCCTAAAATGGAGGAGGCTCTTGCAGATGTCGTCATCATTGCAAGAGGCTTCCTTTACCATAATGCGTTGGAAAATGTGAAGCTAACCTTACGTGCACACTCAAACTCAAACGGTCTACATAGATGTGCTTGTCCTGCTTAGTTTATGCTTTCCATATGAGCAGCTAAATTGCAGGAAGAGGAGCTGGTTCATCAAATCACAGAAGATTGATAGATGTATCCTTCCACAGGTTGCCTGACCAAAGAAAGCTTTCAGTCGCAATTCCGGCCCAGGATTATCCTTACAGCATCTTGATAACCTCCTTTGTACATTCCATGACCACAGTAAGAACAACAAAACTGCTGCAAAACAACACCTGATTTCGACTAATATGAGACATGTGGCTATAGGCGTCAGTTTTCTTGAGACAAGGTGCTTACCCTTCAGAAGCGCCGCCTGGGACTGCCGCCTGGTTGGAGATTCATACGCTCTCCGCTTCTTAGCTGGCCGGCAACAGCACCACAGTAGACACAATAAGACAATGACAACCAATGCTCCTCCCCCTGCAGCAATTCCTATAATGGTCCCCGTGCTTAAACTTGACGATGATTCGCTCCCTGAGTTGGAAGGCGGCTGAGGAGCAGAAGGGGTGACGGGGGTAACAAGAGGGGGAGGGGTTGGGACTCTACTTGTAGGACTTGGGGTGACTGGCACATTGGGACTCGGGGTGACTGGCACATTGGGACTTGGAGTGACTGGCACATTGGGACTTCGAGTAGCTGGTGGAGCTGTGGTGGCAACAGGACTGTTCGTAGCTGGCGTCGGGGGAGTGAAAAAAGGCGCGGCAGTCGTTATGACTGGCGAAAAGGTTGTGATAATTGGCGCTGCTGTGGTAATCACTGGTGCTGCTGTTGTGATGTCTGGAGCGTCGGTTGGAGCCGATGTTGTTGCCACAGGTGGGGTAGTCACGGGGGCCGCGGTGGTTGGTGCTGCAGTTGTGGCAGGTGGGTCGGTAGTTAGGACAGGGGTAGGAACGGGGGCGGCTGTCAACACTGCGGGCGGCGTGACGGCAAGCGTAGGAGCAGGCGTCGACATCTTGCTCGACTGTCTCTGAAAGTAAAACCAGATTCTTCACATCCGCTTCTCTAAGAGCTTGGCTAGGGCAAATTCCGGCCAAAGACGCCTCCTTTCTCCAACCCGCTGCAGAGCAACATGAATGGTGCTTCAAAATAGGTACCTACCTAGCTTCTTTTGTCCTACATTCTTACAATACAAGGTACAAGCCGTCTTTGAGGCACTTTTTGCGACTTCTGCATCCAATTCCCCTCGA